AAAATGACGCGCCCCGCAGGAAAAGCAGGAATACATAGAAACGACGAAAGACCAAGGAAACGAGCGTGTCGATTTCAGATTCGCTTATTGACGATTGCATCTCACGGCGACTTAGGTCTATTGCATCATTACGAAAATAACACCTCTATTCGTATACTTATCAATTTCTTTTCTCTACTACTAGTACTACTACCCATATGTCTGCATCCTGTCAAGGTGTGAACGAGTTCTATTTTTAGGCTGCTCCATGTGATAGCGAATTTCTTGCCTCCCTGTTAACTGGAAGCCAGCTGACTATTTTAGGGAATCGGGTTGGTCACTCACGCCATCATGCCAGCACAAGACGTAATACCAATCGAATACGAGGAGAGTTATTCTTATCTATTTTTACATCCTGAGTTACTCACTTCATCTTGGCTGTAAGATGGTCGAGCCACTGGCAACACTGGGTGACCATTCCCTTCTGATACTTTCCAAACAGTGACGGCTGTTCTTTTCGACTGGAAAGAAGAGGCGGTGGATTATGGAGATACTGGAGCGAAGGGCGGATCCTTGAGCTACGAACTTCAAATTGATGGCGCGGACGTCAGCACCAAGACCGTTAGTTCTCCCCTACGATCCTTGCCAGAGGATCGTGGTAGTGGAAGAAGACTAAGATCGATCTGGATGAAATCGCGACTCAGCCCTCGGTTTTTGACGAGAGGATCACCCTAGAATTTTACCGGCCCCCGCTTGAATACGAGAATTCGCACCGCTTCGACCCTCATGGGCGATGGACTTGGCGAGAGGAAAAGGTAGGTATTATCGTTATCGTCTGTACCTCGATCGCGGGGCCGACCTTCAAAAAAATAGAGCGTCATACGCAAAATTGATTTCCGTATCATGACATGGGCCTTCATAACGTCCTTCGCGTTGGAATTAAGCAAATGCCGACAACTTTCTCAATGATCTAGGACTCAATAATACCAACGAAGACCAACGATTTCAATCTTGGCAATGTCCTTTTCAAGTTGTCGTTCCTTTGTGCAGGTGAATTATGTTTTATGTATTTTGTCGAAGAGCCCACTGGTGTCCAAAAGGGTCGGACCTCATGTGTGGGAATGCCCTAATCAATTGATGTGGCAGAGTTGTGTTAGGCTTCATGCAAGGTGGCTTCATCCCCGACATCGTCCTCTATCTTTCTTATTTCTACACGAACTTAGAATGTGAGTTCCTTCAGCAAAAGATGAGGGCTGTTGATGCCTCCCGGGCCAACTCAGATGAAGTCATGGTGCAGGCTACAGGGAAGGTTTACTGGAAGGTAAAAACAGTCGCGTTTCTTTTCTGAAATTGACAGCTATTGATTCCTATTATTGCAGGGAGGAAATACTGATACTATTGTGGCAGTCCTCGTACCTTGCCACTGTTTAGTTGACGGGAGTCCCTCCTGTCTTCCGCAGAGTCCTACGAGACGATCCAACCAAGTCCAGTAGGCATAATCGACAACGGTTGTCTATTAGAATGATAGGGGAGGCGGTCCAGGACTGGGGAATGCGGCCACTGTATGCCTTGGGACTAACACATCTAGGTGAGATCCCATATTGCACTTGGATATGCAAAAACTGGCTTACAGTGCTATAGTCCCAGGAGTTCCGCCACAAATCTACTTAACGCTTTCCTTGCGAAACTTGGGCTTCGCAACGACGCAGACAACACTCCTCTCGGTCCCTTCGCAAGTCCTTGGAATGTTACTGCTCCTTCTAATGGCTTTTGTGAGCTATGTAAGCGATCAATAGCCGCGTAGCAGCAACCATCGTACTTCAGTTCTGGGCTTTGCTGCTCTTGATTGCCTTGTAGACGTTCAATACCCATACATCACAGTGGGTGTATTTCGCGGTGGTTTCCCTGATTGCAGCAATGTGCTTCCCATTCAAGTCGCAGGGGCCTCCAGAAACTCGTACAGTGCCCGGACAAGGTATAATCTTGAACAAACGAAGGTGAAGCAGCGTTGACGGAGCTGTGGTATAGAACGGTTTCCGCGAGTGTCTACAACATGTTTGTCCAGACAGGGGGCATAATTTTGGCTGGTGTTCGAGTGAACATTTTCCTAGAGTGGACACACTGGTTGATAGGGAAACATCTATCACAAGGACGACAAACCAATCTGTGGGTCTCAAAAGTCCTGATCACTTTGATGTACCTTTCAAAACTGATGAGTTCGGGCCAGACAAACGAGGAAACAAAGACCTAGTCGCAATCTGCTCCTACAACATTCTTCTTTACCGTATCGGCACGTCCTTTTTCTATCGCGCTTTGGACGCAAGAGAAGGACAGAATCTGGGCATCATAGGCTGCAAAGGTAAAACTTTCCAAAACCAGGGAACTGGCAGTAAGTGACTATGGTCTCAAGGGACAACAGGAATACTTAAAAACCACAAAGGACGAAGGAAACAAGAGGATGGACTTCAGGTTCGCGTACTAATAGGCGGGTATAATTGATGCCCGCTGGGATTTGATGCGTTCGCTGCACGGAATCAAATGGTTTAGCCGTCAAGTGAGTACAATATGCTAGAAAAGTTGAAACGCGGCCCAGACAGGAATAATCCGTCCTTTCTGGTCGACATCGACCCAACGCTCGCCCTCCTTGTCGGGGTTTCCCATTTTATCTATCTCTCCAAAGGCTCGATCCCATCCTAAACCCACAGCAGAGAGAGTGCATATCGTGGAACTATTTCGAGTATCAGCACCCATTCGTGGACCCAGCGAGAAGTGGAAGGACAAACCTCATCGCGCATATGACTGCATCAGGGGAATGGACATTCCTCTCAGGCCATAATCCGCTGATCAAGGCAAGATCAACAACGACGCCTCTAGTGGCAATTATTCGTGATTGCAATCCCAAGTCGTTGAACCAGCTTTGGTAATATTCCCCAGGACTAGCTAGATCGCGGAGACGAGAGTTGGCGGCTTCGTGGAGGGAGAAGGTCTCGCCTTCATTCTTCTCCGAAAACTGTCGATGGGCCTCCGGTGAATCAGTCGCAAGATAAACCACTGGGAAGGCATCTTTTTCCTGAGGATGTAAACGTGACCACGTCGATTTCAGGGCAGTCAGGTAGTCTTCGAGTGGTATTTTGCGATCCGGAAAGGTGTATGAGAGAGTTTTACGGTCGCCTCGTCGGATGTGTACGGATAGGTATGGGCTTCCTGAAACGCCTAGCCGACTGTCTATGTCTCGAATGAAGGATGCCAGTTCAGTGCGGGCGAGATGAATGAGTTCCATGTTCTTCGCATTGGGAATGATCGTCGAACCGAACGAATGAAGGGCGGACTCAAAGATGGGCTTTAATCTGTTGAGCTCATGACCGAAGCTAATAGACACGTCAGAGGGACTTGTCGGATGGCTGAACGGCAGAAAAAACAAACGGGTCTTCATAGTGGTTCGAAAACGCATGACTGAAGTGAAACTTTGCAGTTCTTGAATTGATAACCTGAAAACAAGGTAAAGATTTCGACTCGTGTTGAAAATATCAACACTATGTTTCTTACCCAATGTCTGAACAAATGAAAAATAAATGCAGTTCGAGAAGGATAACACCGCTACTCACCTCGCCGTTCGGGGACATGCAACCAACTCTGTCAAATTTATCTCGTCATAAGGGATTAGCTGCTTTATAAGAACCCCACTGACCATCTGGTGGAGGTGCGCGGCATCCTGGCTGAGGACCTAGTTGTTGGGCTCTTACATCTTCAAAGTGATCTGTCCATCTGCGATATGCGAATATAAAGCGGGCAGAACCAAGAAGAAGCCGTTGTCACTGACTTTCCTCGGTTCCAATATGTATCGTCAACAAAGAACGTTCGGTTACGCTGAAAATGAAGCCTCGTGTCAATTTCTAGATTGGGCTTCATATACAACAGTACGCACCTCGCGGGCTAGAGCCGCTGCTTGTGCCATGAGAGCCAAATCCGCAGCCAGACCCGCTGTGCCATCCAACATATAAGTGATCGTGCTTGAGCAAATGGCGTCGATCTCATCCTGTTCTGGGTGTTGCACGTCCATAATGCCCATGGGACTGATCTCCCAATAATCTCCGTGGGCCATGTACCCCTGATGCATCTTTGCACATTCCACCAAATATTCATCTGGGTGAAGGGGAAACGTGGTGTAATTTGCGTAGGATAAAAGGTGTGTGTTGGCTTCGGAATGGGTGTGAGATGATGCCGGTTGTGCTATTGGCGTGTTCGTGGGCACAGCTGCCGCAGACGAGGAGTGGTATGGTCCTTTCACGACATATCTGTGCAGAGTTTCTGGTCGCGTGAACGACAGCACGATGAGGATAAGCAATATCACAGCGAGAAATATCCCCAATGCCAGCGGTAGCCGCGAGACGGCCAACGAAAGCACCTCCGAGGAAGTACGCGCACGTCTTTCCCTGTTCTCCTTCGTGATAGGGCTCCGTCGCCCACGTGAATGGTGTACAGAGAACCTGGCAGTCGAAGAAGAGGCAAGGAGTGGTGCAGATTGCAGCGCGGCGTCATGATGGTCGTCGAAGTCCAGTTCATTTGCTTCAGCCTCAGAAATTTGGAGTTTGGCAAAACCTTGCTCTGCGCGACTTGTTCGTGACCCACTGGCACTGTGAGGTGTTCTAGGTGTTAATTGCTGGTCTGGATGGTATGGTGGAACATGTGTCAATGGTCGTGGCCGTGGCATTAATGACGCGGATTTGCTCTGTATATATCTCGCGCTACAAGCACTGCTGCTGGCAGCGTCAAGCAGGGTGCGTCACGATGAAGAAGGAGAAGAGAGGATGCAGGTCTGGAGGGCGGCGGCGCTATATATGTAGTGACGATCAAAATAGTTGGTTACACTGGTTACTACAGTCTCAGTAATGGTCCTGCCACGATGAACATCTAATCAATAGATCATTGAGGCTGAGTACATCTAACTACATGGTACCTGTAGAAGCTCATATGCAAACGACGAGAAAGGTCCGGGCCTGGAAAAGCATAAATGTCATGAAAAATCCATAAATGAATCTAAGGGTGGACGGGAGGGGTAGGGTTGATAGGGAGGGGGAGAGATGGCGTGTTCGGGGGGTTGCTGGGCATGAGAGGGCTAGCAGAGGAGGATGGATAGTATGTGGCGCTAGCCCCAGCGTTGGAGCCTGCATCTGCTGCCTCCGCGCTTTCCGTAGGGGCGGGAGAGTTGGAGGAGCTTTTGGATGTCGCCGAGGTGCCCGCTCCGATGTTCTGGACGTTCTGCACTGGAGCAGCAACATTTGACGAGTTGTTGTTGAGCGCCCGCATCACCTCGGCGGTCGCCGCTTTGAGGGAAGCCATATCATCTTCGCTAACCCCGTCAACAGCCTGAGTACCCAGCTGTCCACCGACTGAGAGCTGTTTGAGTATGGACCCCAGGACAGGCCCAAGAATCGGAATGCCGTTAACGATCTGGACAATATTACCAGGAATTAGGCTAACGTCTCGCAAGTCGAGTGAAGCTGAGAGAAAGGTGTCAGATGGGGCACAAGTGCTGCTTGCGTATAGAAAGATGACTCACGATGAACTCTCTCGACCAGGATGTCAGACCTGCCGTTCATGGAGGATGGAGTAGGAGTCGCACTGGAGGGATGGCAATGGTGCAGGGAGTGCGTACTCTGTGAAGGTGAGCATCCTGCATCTTCGAAGTCCCCAGCCGGCGCAGCCAAAGTAGAGGAAGAGGAAGAGATCGCTAAGGCAGCAAGAATGACGGAGCTAGTTGAAACCTTCATAGCGAAGAGTAATTTGAGAGCGTGGGGGGTTGGGATACTTGATTCGTCTCGAAGACCGGGGGTATTGTCAAGGGATAGGAAAGAGGTATGAAACTATCTATTAGAGCTGCTGGGAAGGCCTTATACACTGCAATAGGAGACGAGAACATGTCGGGCAAGACTGAAATGGCGCCCCAAGTTGGTTCTGATATGTCCTGGCCAGCGTCATGGAGAAAGGGATACGTGGTGCAGGCCTTCAGCACAGAAGATGTGATATGCGAATGCACATACCTTCGACGGGCTGGGAATCATTGTTGGTGGCAAAGGAAGTGCACCCACAGGGAGGGTACAGATGGGCACGTTCAACCACCTCTCCCTCGGTATTCCATCTCCCATACCTCTTGGTCTCCGTATCTGTCGCGCCTTCTAGGGCCTGGGCCACCACCTTGAGACATCCCTAGAACCGTGTATTCCCATAAATTGGAAAGCGATCGACGCATGGATGTTCCAAGGCAGGACGAAATCAAACACCAGAAAAGCAGAGCTGCGCTGCAAACGTTGGAGACCCAAAATACAGAATTAGAGACCATCATTAGTGGACACCACGCATGAGCGCTTACAGCAGAAACGCAAAAAAAGCGAGGAGGGGAAGGAGCTCTGCGACCTTGTCGTTTGCAGAATCCATGATGACGGCGCGGAAGGAGTAGTAACACTGCGCTGGACACGATTGGCCAACTCGGGTAGCGGTGCACCAGACGGTCCAGATCGCTGTCTCTTGGGCGATCTATGTACACCCTAATCCACATACGCGCCTATATGCGCGCACATTCCGCTATCCATCTGACCAGCAAAGCGGCAGCAACGGAGTGGTTATTCTTGCGTAGCACCCTCAGGAAGAAAAAAGAAACGTTGCTAACTTTTCTAGTCACTCATTGGACGATGGTGCCTGGGAGTCTGGAGGGACCTGAGGACTGCTGAGTTCGAAATGTTTTTGTGTATGAGAGATCCGAGAGTGCCCTTTCTCTGTCAGACCCACTGGCACTTACGTCGCCCATCGAAAGGTCTTCACAGGTTACCACATCCATGTAAGTATGTAAGAGGTCCATCTATCGCAGGGGCACCCAGATCGTCGGGTCTCCAGCGCAGTGGTACTCGATGGAGATTGGCTTCCCAGATTTCCCGTATCCACTGTTTCGGGTTTTCCCACTTCCTCTCCCGTTTCTATATCTCATCCCCACCTCTTTCTTCTTACAGAACACGATGAGCATCCCCAGAAGGTCCTCAGAATCTTCGTCACAGAGCTCAAAATCTCCGGAGGTTCTTTTTTTCCCGGTTGTTCCCCAGCCAGGGCAACTAATCGCTCGACTTGTTATCAGCACACCGACACAGTGGTACCTGATCAAGCTTATGAGGACATCGAAGGAGCATCTACCTCTCCTAGTCTCATCCCCACCGACCCATTCCAGCTCCGCGATGGCCTTATCTCAGAGGAACAGCTTGCTAGCCTTCGACAACGCCGGAAGGGCAATGCAGTGGCAAATTACCAGACTCGCCAAAACAACGTTCGTGCGTTTCGAAATTTTACTTTTGTGGACTTAACATTGGCGTCTAGCTCATTACCTCGTTGCTGAAACCCATGGAGGAGCACACGGAAGACGCGAAGATAGAGGAAGAAGCTGCTCGCCTACCCGTGAGTGGCCATCAGTTTGCATCATATCTTGAGTGAATCTCGAAATCGTTATTGCCGTAGGTGAAAATTGCCATCTACGCCAGCCTGATATCCAACGTTGCGCTATGTGTGCTGCAAAGTAGGCAGCCAACCGTACACCCCGTCTTGCATCCTAAACTATCCTCAGTGTATGCCGCAATCTCCTCTCTTTCATTATCGCTTTTGGCGACCGGTATCGACTCGGTTTTCGACATTGGAAGCAACATCTTGCTCTTCTGGCTCCATAGGAAGGCGGCCAAATTGGATTCCAGAAAGTGGCCTGTCGGTGGTGCCCGTCTCGAAACAATCGGCAATATTGTCTATGGTAAGCCATTTCACCATTCATGCCACTGGCCGCGACCACTTACCCAGATCTAGGTTTTCTGTAGGCGTCTCGAACTGTTTTTCCCCGGGTTATCTGAGCCTCCGTGTACAGCATGGGCTCTGTAAACTTGGTGGTCATCGTTGAATCCATTCGCACCCTGATTTCCAAAGAAGGGGACGATCTGACGACCTTCCATCTCCCGTCTATCATCGCGGTATCGGCAGCGCTCGGTGAGTATTTACCCGCCCGACTACAAACGCTCCTAATCGGCGTCCAGCCATCAAGTTTCTTCTCTTTGTCTACAGTTTCTCTATCAGAAAGTCGTCGAGTCAAGTACAGGTTCTCTGGCAAGATCACCGAAATGATTTGTGGATCAATGGATTCGGTATGTATTCTAGAAGTTAACCTCCCCAATACTCATTCTTTCCAGGTATCCTCATGTCGACTGGAGGAAGCAAGCTTCGCTGGTGTTGGTTTCTCCTTATAGTTTCGTTTACCCCACAGCGGCTAACGCCCTTCAACAGATCTTGACCCTATGGGAGCAGTCATTGTATGTCTTCCATCCTAAATCCTTAGATACCTTTAATGGCTCGAGCAGATTGCACTCGGCGTCATTATTTCCTGGGGTCGCACCATCTACGCCGAGTTTGAGCTCCTTGCCGGGAAATCAGCACCTCACAGCTTCCTGCAATTACTCATCTATAAGGCGGCCACATTCAGTAACGAAATTGTCAAAATCGATACTGTTCGTGCGTACCATGTTCGTGCACGCTCCAATTCCTCGTATGCATTGGCTGACACTCTGACACACCTATACAGAGTGGACCTGTATGTGGTTTTGAAACTTTCCTTTTTTCGGTACTCATCGTGTTTTGACAGGACTACTTTGTGGAAGTAGACATTGTGATGGACGGGAGTACCCCACTGTGGAAGGCACACGACGTTAGCCAGCAATTGCAGGATAAGATCGAGGTTCTCCCCAATGTCGAGCGGGCCTTCGTCCACGTTGACCACGAATGGACCCATGCTCCTGTACGTCTCTTCTTCCGGGATTGCGTGTAATGTCTAAGCGGTTTTCAATAGGAACACCGAAAAGGACAGAAGCTCTAATGATGCTCACGATAACATGGACTCGGATGCCTATCCCCAAGCATTTATTCCCGAATTATGCCTCATTCGAATTAACGATGATACGTGCAAATTGCCTGGCTCAAAATAGGATTAGAATCGCGAAATAACAATCGAATAATACTTACCATATGTCCTCGCGCAAGGTAAATACTGACCTGTGCCCAAAGAGGTGATGTAATGCAGCTGTGCGTCGAGTATCTGCGACAGCGCGCGAAAATGTCGATTTGGCGTTCATCTGACAGTAAAAAGCGGTTAGGGTTACTCGATGACAAAACATAGAGTAAAGATTTCTTCAGACTTGGCTCACTCTGAAGTTGAGGCCGCCATGAAAGCGAGGTTTCGCAGTTGTCTTGGCTAACTTCCGTGGTCCTGACATAGCCTTGACACTGAGTCAAGCCTGTGGAAAGAACGCCGGCTCAGTCTGTACACGACGGTCGGAGATGGTAGTTGGTTCCACCCTCGTTGCTCCTGGCCCGCACAAGGAAGAATTTGTCGAGTTAGAAAGGCGTATGGTGGTACTCGCCTCGAACATTCACAGTGCCCCTAGGGGACTTGAGGTACAAGGTCCGGCGACGTCATGGATGAGAACGGCCAAGGGCGGCGGCACTCCTAATCCGGAAGTTGAAACCGATGTAGATTGAACCAGTAGCTCTGTATATACACTCCAGCTCTAGAGCTACATCTACAATCCACTCTCCCCTCCTTTCTCGCTTCCCTTTCTCTTCCTTAGCCACGCATCGTCGGCCTTTCTCCGCCGTCTTCTGCCACTGCCATCTCCGTCTATTCTCCCGATCCTTTAAGAGAAAGGGGCTTCACCTTCTAGCCGCACGCCGATACCCTGTCGCACGACGCGACATTCGTCTGCACACCCTTCGGATCGCTTCTCAGAGACACATCTGATCCATGGTACGCCTATGGCCACTCTCGTCCTCGCGATCGACCAACATCTTCGCTATATACTAGGAGTCCCATCACCAAGATCCAGAGGAGTTTTACGTCAAGCAGGACAGGATAGGTTCGTTGGAGTGTCGAAATCCTGTCGTTGGGGCAGCCGAGGCCTGATCACCCTCTCAATCCAGGCAAAGGGTCCTTTGGAGAGGTTTATAAAGGGTGCGTTTCTCTCGCATTAACCCCTATACCACTCTGTTAACCTCAATCTTTGGCTGTTCAGCTATGACAAGCGAACTCAAAAGACAGTTGCTATCAAGATTATCGATCTTGAGAGTGCAGAAGATGAGATCGAGGATATACAACAGGAAATTCAGATTTTATCTCAGCTAGACTCGCCCCATGTCACCAAGTACTTCCTTCTCCTCTCTCATGCGACTGACCTAACTCAGCCAACAGATATCATGGTTCATATCTCAAAGGTTCCAATCTATGGATCGTTATGGAGTGAGTGCCAGCGTCTTCTCCTATTCTCTAATGTTTTGACAATCTCTAGGTACTGCTCGGGTGGTTCATGTTCCGATCTGGTAATTACGTTCTCTAGGAGGCGAATTTCCTCGCTAATAAACGGTCTCTTATCCCGCAGATGAAGCCGGGGGTGTTTCGAGAAGAGTACATCGCCATTATCGTTCGGGAGTTATTGCGAGGTTTGGAGTATCTTCATTGCGAAGGCAAACTACACCGAGACATTAAAGGTAATTCCTGAATCAAACGCTTTTGTATCCATGCGGTTGACACGCATCTTACAGCTGCAAATATTCTGCTCTCCGCTGGCGGTGAGGTCAAATTAGCAGATTTTGGTGTCTCGGGGCAACTTTCGGGGACCTTGTCGGCAAAAAAAAATACTTTCGTTGGGACACCATACTGGATGTCTCCCGAGGTGATCAAGCAGAGCGGCTATGATCATAAAGCCGATATTTGGAGTTTGGGAATTACGGCTATTGAACTTGCAAAGGGGGAGCCTCCATATGCTGAGTTACATCCCATGAAGGTTCGTCGCAGAGGACAACTATTGTTGCTTGGCTCACACGATGCCACGCAGGTTCTTTTCTTGATACCGAAGAACCCTCCCCCAACACTCGATGGCAACTTCTCCAAACCTTTCAGGGAGTTTGTGTCGTATTGCTTGCAGCGAGACCCACGAGAAGTAAGTGCATCCTCGTGTAATAAGAGTCCTTCTGTCTGACATTCCCAGCGTCCATCCGCGCGAGAGTTACTCAAACATAAGTTCGTTCGCATGGCAAAGAAGACGAGCTATCTAACGGAACTGATCGAACGACATGAACGTTGGAAGGCAGAAGGCGGCGAAAGACAAGAGGAAAATGATCATGATGTGGACACTGAGCTGTAAGTTTAACTTGACCTAATCATTGTCTCTTGTCTGAAGTCTCTCGTGTCCAGGCCAGACAGTGGCGATCCCGAAGATCTGTGGGATTTTGGCACTGTTCGCCACGGAGGACGACCACACACCATTGGGAGATCACATAACTCTGTTCGTGCAGCTGGCCCGCCTCTCACTTGGGAGAACAACGGCGCCAATCCCCGATACGATGAACGAACGGAATCTCCTGCTCCTCGATCTTCAGTGGTATCATATAGCTCCTCCATCACAGCGAAAGGCGAGCTTCCTCCTTTACCCCCATCAGCGGGCACTCCACGCTTTGAGCAAAGCACTGTTCGTCATATGCCACCTTCTCCTGTTGAAAGAACTAGGACAAGTCCAACTACACCCCATCCTCCGCCTCAACGACAACCGTCAAACGAATACGAAGATTACGACGACCAATACGTGGACACGTACTCGTCTGCGAAGACGAGCATGTTACATCATAAAATGCAGGAAGTGCAAATAGATGATGACCTACCGGACACCACTATGCTCGACTCGGTCATTTTACCCGCAATCGCTTCCGTAAGTAAAAGGTTCTGCTGGTCTCTCACAACAGCTACTCATCTATACCGTCAGCTTTTCCCTAGAGTATCAACACAAGAAGCGCGAGTGGCTCTAAGTGCCCTACAACGAGCCTTCACTGAAGCAGAGCGAATAATTCCTGGGGTGACACTGGAACTAGTTAACGAGATCGTCGACTCTGTGGAACATGTGGAGGAAGAGCGATGATGTAGCACTTGGACCATCTGGAACTAAGATTCACCCGAGCTTCCCGTCGTCGGATCTACGTACACATGTATCCTTGCACAGTTGCTCCTCAGTTACTCCTTCACCTACTGCGTCGAATATATTGCTGTCTAGTCACTGGTCTCATGCTGATCTCCAACCTCGCAACTCTTCTTGCTTGCTCGCATCCAACTTTACCTAGTATCACAATCGAAGCCTACGGATAATAATATGAACCCAATTTTAAATTTGATTCCACGCGACTGTCCTCGATAGATCACATACGAGTAGAATAGGGTATATGAGAGTCTACGCGGCCTCTGCTGGGACAGTCCGCTTCTTCTTGCCGGTTGTCTTCTTTTTGGTTCGTATGACTTTGATCGGTTCTGGTGTTTGTGGTTTCGGAGAGTCATCGGGCACTTCGTACTGCTGGACCGATGTCGGTCGAGAACGGATGGATGATTGACTCGAGGGGCGTGCAAGTGACGTGGCTTGGGTTTCTAGATGGGATGGCGATAGAGCACTGCCGAAAGGCATCTCTCCGTCTCTCTCAATCACAAATGACTGTGATGAGAATGCCTGCGAAGTTGCTCGAAGTGAGGGTAGCCGGGTATCTACATAACATGAATTAGGCAAAGACAAAGACTCGTACAAACCAAGGAAAATGCGCACCACTTGGTATAGGTGGCATATCATCCAGATGAACTACTGGTATTAAGTCGATGTCCTCTACAACTTTCGCAGGTTTGTCGTCAATGATGTAGTAAGGGTCGTCCCGAAGCTGGGCTAATCGCTCTGCTTTACGCTATAACAAAACGAGTCAGGATTGTTGCTAAGAAAAGAGAATAGTGAGAAACCTTCTCTTTCTCCTCCGGTGCTTCATGATCCGATTCCAAAGGAGTCAGAGTCTCCAGCGTTCCATTGCCATTGCCTATAAGCTCTTTCTTCTTCCCTCTTGTTGCAGAGGAAGCTTCTTTTTCCTTTCCTTTCTTTGTCCTTTTTTTCTTCTTGGCACTGGTTTCATCTCTATCTTCAGCTTGAGCTGGAAGCGCTTCGCGGGGTGGTGACACAATCCAGGCATCCAAATCAAGACCCTCTGGGACGGGTACGCTAGCTTGTGCTTTCGCTGCAACGGGATTCAACTCGTACGCGCTAAACAAAGGTTGGATGAGATAAAGGCTCTTTGGAAACCTGGGTTCGTCAGAAGGCACTGAAGTCTCGAAGCCGGAAGACGGCCCTGGTGTTGGCATTGGAGAAACGAGCTGCATGTTCGGACGATACGAATGCAGATCAGCAGAAATAAACGTGAACAATTGAAGCGCATTTGCAGCCTGAGAATCGGCAAGCGTTAATAACTTTCTTCTAGAGAATCATGAAATTACAACAGACCCGTTCTTGCACCTCAATGTGCTGACTACCTGCAAGTTCTTTCAGACGGGTGAGAATCGACTCAACGCCCTGTTTGACCTCCGGCAGGCGGTCATCGGCCCATCGTGTAGCCAAATCTTCGACCCAGAACCCAAATATCTTGACAGCTGCTTGGATATACATTGCAAGAGAATCAGGCGAAAGTTTGTTTGTTCCTGGCTGTAGGAGGTACGGCAAAATATTTTGAGGCTCGGAGAGCTCCCTTGTAAATTGATTGGTACCGGAAATAATGGAGTTGAAGGAGTTACTAACTGGCAATATTCACCGCATATCCAAGCAGCTGCCCACAGAATCTCGGAACAACTCCCGTCTTCAGAGGCGTTTCTTAAGAGGATGTCGTCGCAGATCAGACTGTACATCAGCTTCACAGCGTATGGTCGCGTGGCTCGCACCCTTCCGACGATGTCAACAAGCTGATCACGGATTTCCGCACCAACGTTTACGTTTGCGACGTGAGCCAAGTCAACCAGTACGGAAAGATACCAGTCAAAGTTTGAGACGTTCTCATACGTCGACTGGGAGCCCATGCTCAGTATACGTTGCGCCAGAGTCAACCGATACGCTGGGGATTGACTAGGTGATGGGAGAGCATTTAGACTACTTCTTGTTGCCGTAGTAGTGTTTTGGACGAGTGACTCGACAGCAGACGGCAACACTGATGGCGAATCTCGCACGAGGTGGGCGAGTAGCTGTTGGACAACAGACTGTAAATTGCTTTGGTTGACCTGCACGGTTGAAAGGTCAATAGTGAAACGCCATAGCTCGTAAAGCTACCCACCATCGCAGAAACTAGCTCCAGCGCGCGTATACGAATGCTGACATCTTGGTCGTTGACGCTCGAGAGAATGTGTCCTGGTAGTCGGCTACGAGATGTGGGTGAGAGGGGACGATCTTTGCCATTGCCAGAAGGGCGATGTACTTCACTTTGTGAAGTGATTAATTGACAGTGATTCCAACCTACCGATGATTCAAAACTCACAGTTCTGGTCAGCATCTTCAATAAAAGCAGCCAGCTTGGAAACACAAGTCTGTGCAAGACTGTTCCCAGAAGGGCCATGCAACATTCCGCCAATAATGCATGTGTGTACGCATTCATACAACAGTGAAATAGCAGGGGTGGTGGAGATGAGGTCTGTTATGGGTTGTTGTAGCTTCCTGACCAGCCGTGGTTCATGAGGGGACAAGGAGCCAAACTAAGATGGGTCAGAATTAGCGACAACGAAGTACGCGTGCGCTTACTAATTTAACTATCTTAATGAGCATCCAATTGTTGGATGAGGAGGTGAGGAGATGAAATAGCTGAGGTGCAAGGGATAAGTAGTCTTGTGGATTTTTCCGAGCAAGTTCGCAGAGGACATTGACTGTAGCGGCGATGACAGCTAGCCCAGAGTTATCGCAATGATACCGTCAGAATAGAACGAAGACGGCGCACAAGGGTCGGGGTCTTCTAGCTTCTCTTCGAGACGAGCTCTTGCGTGGTGAATGGCATCAGGATACTTGACAAGGGCTTTGTAAAGAGCAAGTATTGCGCGCTTTCGTATGTGTGCCCTCGAGTGATTCAGCATTGCGACTAATTCGGGAGAGAGATCTCGAGCTAGTTCCGGCGTGACGATATGAGAAAGACCGTCAAGAGATACGGCAATGTCGGCTGGTGTAGAAGTCAGGTCCTGGACGATGAATATGTTAAGGAGTTTAGTTTGGTCGGCTGGGCACTCACCTTCTTTAACAGATTTGTTGTGAGCATGAGAACGTCCGTGTCTTGCTCAAAAGATTGCGCAGCTGCAAGATATCCAATGCTCTTGAGGTGGATTTTAGGAGCTGACATGACTTCAACGACGTGGAATGAAGCCCAACTCATGTCATATCCTAACATGTCCAGCTGTAGGTTACGGGTTGAAATTGGACTCTAGGAATCTCCTTCACGGACAACATACATATGTAAGCTTGAGAACGGCCCCGGCTTTTAACTGCATGTCGTCACTCTTGATCTCCTGCCTGATCTCGTCGACGGCCTTCGCAATGAATTTGGCTTCATCCTTCTTGTTGGCGCGTAGACCACGGACGAGATCTTGAAGAGTACGCTCCCACATGCAGTATAGGGATGCAGGCAGTTATATCTGGAAAGATATGCCTTCAGTAGGCGAATGGTACGCCCGGTGCCCGTTGAGATGTCGAGAAAGTGGGTATGTAGTTGAGGTTGACAGTGCCGACGCGATTTACCTTCATTAGATGTCGATCACGTGCTTCTCACTAGCCACTAGCCAATTGATGGGCGGCGGCAATTGCCATTGGCCCTTCGGCCAATGCTGCAACCCCCCAAGCGCGCAGTTGACGACATCGATGACCAGGCACGCTGAGAACCTCCTTCCTCTTCGGCAACAGACACGAGGACTTCTCGACTTGTCCAAACAGTCCGCTTTCCCGTTCTTTCTCCCACTCATCGACAATAAGTAGTTCCCGTCTTGTGCGGAGGCTGTACGTGGCTTAGACCGCTGCCCTCACTCTCACCACGCTGATTCTTACAGCTAGAAAGCCTCGTTCTCGTATCCTTGAACCCACTTCCTCCCGAACCATCCTCGTCTTGTCGTTGGCAAGTTTACATTATGCTCTGGTCACTGCGTGCGTTCGCTACTGTCTCCCTGGAGCCACCATCCCGAATACCTGCTGCATCTGCGTCTTCACCTGCTCAAACCAATGAAGAACTCACGTCTGCATCGCTCATCAGGCTCCCTTTTACCTCTCCGATGGCTGCGCTGGCCAGCCCGAATTCCCCGACGCAGGAAAGTTCCGTCGCGACCCAGCGTTGGTTCTGCCACTGCGGTCTCGAACAAGGCGACTTTTGTCCCTATTGTGACTATGATCAAGCCGTACGGAGATCGTTTGTACTAGAATCGGTCACGGAATGTCATCTGGAGTCCCGGGTCGTCGCGGCACCTCAACCAATTGCGACCCCAAAACCACGCAAGTTGCGCAAGTCGCGGCCTGATTACCAACAACTACAGTACGAACCCCTACAATTGGGCATTGTCACAGAAGCTCGTCCACATTCAATTCTATCTACACATTCGAGAACCCCTCTTCTGAATCCTACCCTACCTGCAAAATCAGATTACCTACCGGTGCAGGTTCACAGGACGTCAAACAAGTTGGAAAAAAGAAGGAGATCGCATTCGACCTCAAACTATGTTCGCTCAGAATCTACCTCATCACCGGAGAGCATCCGAAGCCCACCGAGGAGGATCAAATCGAAATCATTCATAAGGGTAATGCCCTGATCTCGCCTGCGAAACTTTGCTAATGACCCAATCTCGCGCAGTCTAAGAGCATATCTGCAATAGGCCCTCGACCAAAGGCGGTTTCAAGTAGCATCAACACAGACGCCCTTGTGTCACTGGCATGGACGGGGGAAGTTGTGTCACCGATGGCGTCTTCTGAATTCACGCCGCTGGGTTACGACGCGTCTCAAGCACCACAGCCACCGAATCCTCCTCCCATTTCTCGATCTTCATCCATTGTATTTCCACAAGTCCCCACCCTTCCTAGGGTCAGATCAGAAACGTCGATCAGCGGAAATATACTTCAAAAGCGGCGCTCCATCCTTCGCAAAAAGGACTCGGAACCAACTACGTCGACAACCCAAAGACCTTGGACACTTGCCATGGCGATCACGGATGACAGCATATCGGATGAAAGGCTGGTGGACGACCTGGAAGAAATGCGGATCAAGGAAGTGGCTCCCTCCGGACCCTCAAGTTTGGAAGAGCTGCCCCTTGGCTTCGACTCTCCTCCCATGTACCGGACACAGCTTTACGACTCCTACGCCGAATACCCCGTTGAACCAGGCGAAGCCGTCCTAGAAGCACCAATGCTCCCTTCCGACTCCTCCTGGACGGCTGCTCGGCAAGTACTTCTTCTTTGTAGAGAATTAGTCAGGACCGAACGTCGATACTCCGCATCGCTACGTACACTCATCACGAACGGGACGAGTGCTACTCCTCCGGCTTTGATGCTCTCACATCTGCCAGCCCTCATCACAGCCAGTGACGATTTACTAGAACTCATGGAAGTAAATCCAAGCGTGCGTGGTGTATCCGAAGCATTTTTAGCCAACAAAGACAATTTGGAGGCAGCCTTTGTAGCGTGGAGCAGTATAGTCGGTCAATTCTTTCACGAGGACGATGGCCCGAAAGGCAAGACTGATCCTTTGCAGACGAATTCGGAGCCGTCGAATTCGGGAAGCTCAAGATCACGCGCTGCGTCGACCAAGAGTCCATCAATGGAGAGTCCAACTGTCGTCATCCTCGAGCCCAATAAGATTCGGAGGAACAGCAAACCTCGACCTACCATTCGTGAGTTGGCCATACTGCCGACGCAACGAATCGTCCGCTATGTGCTCTTGTTCAAAGGTACCTTTAGTCCCTTTGCATTGGAACCTCCCTGTTGAAACTCTACTTAAGAACTTAGCGCGCTTGCACCTGCCGCCGTTCCTTCGTCAGCCGTTGTTGAAGAGGCTCTGAGAGCCGCACAAACCATCGCTCAGAACGCCAACAATGCCCAAGGCCATTCTGCGTTCAAACCTTGCGTTTTATGATTGACTTATCGGATCCGGTAGAGCATTTTACCCATCGTATATGCGCTGTTGTATTGCGAGATACCCATCCTACCAATATACACGCTCAGGAATCGAGAATTGGCTTTAGCCTCGCCGATAAGCCGTGAAGACAAAACCAACGTCATAATTGGTCACGAGTGTGAGTCTACTGGACGGCTGTCGGTCAAGTGGCACTTCATGTGAGTCGAGTGGGTTCTCTACTTCTATCTTTGTAATGTTTAGCCCACAGAACAGATTCGCGCGGTGAAAACATATGTTGCACCTCGAAATGGCCGACATGTTCCCGCCTTTCAAGGGCGACCAAAGATAGTGTTGTTGACTCAACACCCCGATAACCGCCAGCAGACGATTTGCAGGACAGAACATGAGCACTCTAAGTCAGGATGGCCCTTACCGCATGGGCGACTTCGCGATAGATGATCCTCGACCGATGAGGGTGGTGGTGATAGGAGCCGGTTATGCTGGTATGTGCTGAGTCGTGGCTCAAACGTTCAACTGAGATGCTCTATTGAAGGTATTGTTGCTGGGATCCGGTGAGGTGATTTCACGGCCTTGTTGCGCCCCAAGTTCTTATCATACGGCTTTAAAGCTTCCTCCAGAGAGTTCCAAACCTAGAGTTAACTATATACGATGCCAACGCTGGTATTGGTGGAACCTGGTATTCTAACCGCTATCCTGTCAGTACTTCCTGAATGATATCACTTCTTCGTCTAATATATCTCTTTAAATAGGGCCTCAGTTGCGATATCCCCTCTCATGGAGTAAGTGCGTCTATCCTGCTGAAGCAACAGGTTTACTAACGGTCTTCTTCATACATTCAGTATCAACTCACGTTTGACAACTATGCATGTCCTTCAATCAGATACCCCATCTGCCCTTCTCAATTTGATCTCTATAGACTGGTTGGTCGGCTTTTTACGCAACAGGCCAAGAGATCCAGAAGAATATGGAAACTATTGTCGACAAGTACGAGCTGCGGCCGTATATCAAGCTCTCGCATCGCCTGACGTGCGCTCGCTACGCCGAGGACACTGGGAAATGGCATTTGACAATCAAGAAGCCTCGAAGCAAAGAGGACATCTATCCAAAAAACACCACTGGGAAAATAGGTAAACCAGATTATGACACATGGTACGAGCTTCAAGATACTTGCGATCTGCTCTTCCTTGGGGTTGGCGGTCTCAGTCGTTGGGTGTGGCCTGACATCGCAGGACTTGATTCATTCAATGGGAAAGTTATCCACAGCGCGAACTGGTACACAGGCACAGACCCGGAAAAAGGTTGGGAAGAGTCGATTAAGAACTGGGGCGACAAGACAATTGGTGTTATCGGCGTGGTAAGGCGGTTTTATTAATTCCAAAGGGAGCTATGTATTGAGGCGTTTCTTGTGCAGGGTTCTTCTGCGATTCAAATAGTTGCGGCGCTGCAACCCAAAGTGAAACGCATCATGAACTATGTTCGAGGGAAAACATGGATTTCTTCCACATTTGTAAGGGAGAGGCTGATGAAGCTATCTGGCGGCGAGGTTGTCGAGAATTGTGAGTTAAAACGCATCATTTTATTGGAGCGCATAACGGAATACATTTCCAAAGATCACTTTACAGAGAAGGATAGGGAAGCATTCAAAGATCCAGACTACTACAGAGAATTCCGTCGTGAATTGGAGAGGGAAATGAATGTTTGTGGCTTTCGGCGTCTCACTCCACCCGTATTGATAGGCGATGTTTTTAGGGATCATATGGCGCCACATTACTGAGTAATCCCCTAGTCGAGACTGCTCGCATTGACTTCCGCCAATCCATGTTAAAGAAACTGGAGAAGAAGCCGTGGATAGCAGATCATCGTATGCTTTCGAACGTGCCAATGAAACCAACATTTTAATACAGTTTTGACAGTCATCCCAAGCTTCCCAGTTGCCTGTCGTAGACTGACTCCTGGACCAGGCTTTTTGGAGGCTCTCTGTGAGGATAATGTAAGTTCTGGGATACTTTACTCTGGCGTATGGCTTGAGTCCTCATAGGTAGATTTTATACCCACCCTGATTAAATGTGTTACACCGACCGGCATTGAGACCGTCGACGGAAGCTCCCAGGAACTAGACGTAGTAATTTGCGCCACAGGTGTGCATGTTGTTTCCTTCTTTTGGGTTGAAGTTGAAATGCGTCCGATAGGCTTCGATACTTCCTATCAACTCGACTTTGATGTTATTGGCCGCGGAGGAATGACCATGAAACAGCATCAGACCCCTCATCCAAAGGCCTACCTTTCTATTGCTGTCAACGGTTTTCCCAATTTGTTCTACGGTTTTGGGCCCAATTCGGGAGTCGGATCTGGGAATCTCTTATTGATTATAGAGCGTCAAGTGGACTACGCGGTGGCAGCTACGTTGAAGCTGCAGCGAGAACGACTGAAGAGTATCGAGGTCAAGCCGGAGGCCGTTGAGGCTTTTGAAGAGTATATAGATGTACGTGCATAACACATGTCTTGTTGGGCGAAAATTAACTGTGACATAGGCTTATTTTCCTACTGTGAGTCACAGATATTTAGTTTTTCGTCACAGGACCGATTCCGAGGGAAATTCTCATCTTCCTAGACTGTCTTTGGGACGAAATGTAAATCATGGTACAAACAGGGAAGGGAAGAAGGTCGCGTTGTTGGCTTATGGCCAGGTAGGTTTTGAAAGATCTGCTATTCCAAGAGCTTCAATGTATTTTCCCTTGTAATCAGGGTCTTCAATGCACGCCCAGAGAGTCCTCACTCATCCTCGCTGGGAGGATTACAACTACGAGCTTCTCGACAATGTCACCAACCCGCTCTACTGGATTGGAAATGGAGATACTGTGGCAGGCCTCGATCCGACTCGGTTTGACTGTAAGTTTGATATAAAATTTCTGACAGGGCCTGTCGACTTATGCCGTCCTTCAAGCCTCGTGGTATTTAAAGCCTGACCACATTGACTATCCCCCTGGTAAGCCAATTACTTGCACACGCTCACCGGAGATTGTTTGACAAGTTGACATCAACTTCCAGTCCCGCTTCAGCCCCGAGCAATTTGATCCACCGCCGATATTTGCGAATGTCGATGAAAGAAAGCGTCCATGTAAATTTGTACAATACAGTAAATATACACCACCCGAAAAGCCTATTGTCAGTAGAGAAAAGTCAAATCATGCCCTCGCGTTGGGCGACAGCTACCGGAGTACGCTGTCCCATTGCACTACCAGGTCGATTCGCAGAGCGCGGAGGCACAGGAGCCGGACTACGCGGAACCGGGCTTGCCCTTGCAGACCGGGGTGGCCTCTCCCTATAGCCGTCACGGCCGCTGTCAGATCTAGTGTCCCGGTAGCTATACTCTGAACCATCTCTATCTCTGAAGCTGTCGGAACGTTCTCTCATTCGGTACGGGGTCGCACTCATTGGAGGACGAGGAAGAGGAGAGGACAATGGCACCATAGGCGCAGGCGCGGAAATGGGCGTTGTGGCTTGCTGTTGCTGGACAGCCGACACTGGAGGGCGGGCACGGGCCATCGCCGACGGAGGATAGGCAGCATTGGGCCGTGCGGAGTACGTTGGAGTGTTGATGTCGAAGCGCATTGCGTTCGGATAACCCGATCCCCCGGGGCTCACGATCGTAGGTGACTTGATTCCTGCAGAAACGGGTGGTGGGTATAGAGATTCTCCGTTTGCAACCACGAGCGGAGAGGGGGCCTGAGACTTGGTACCAACAGGTCCTGGCGAGCGTCGTCGATTGACGGGTGGCGGCGCTGCTGAGAGCATCGGAGGAGGCGGGGCAGTCGCCGTCGTAGTCTGCGGTTGCCTCTCAACTCCTTTGGCAAGGGTAGCTGAATATTGTCCACTTTGCTTCGAGAGACGATGCTGGTTAAGTGAGAATGAAGGAGGGAGTTTGTTCTGCGCTTTAGGATTCTCCAGCAGCGCATCGTCCAAAAGGTATCGGAAATCAAGGCCGTACTCTTGGAGAAGCTAGCGGGTGCCCTCTTTAGCGAAATGATATTTCGCACAGAACAGCGAACGAACCTTTCGACTCTGTGCCTTTGTAATGTTCACAGCGTCTTCGACGACCTTGGGATCGACATCCTTGGAGTAGACCTGCCGCCTGAAAATCTCTGCATAATCCTCAAGCTGTTGTTTCGTCCATGTAATGAATGCTAATCAAAGGTTTCAATGAAACTTAAGAGTCATCAAGGAAAAGAGAACACACAGCTAGCGACTTCATTTTCCTTGAAGCTGGCGAGATACCAGTCCGCGGTATGCTTGATCCCGGTAAAGTATACAACCGCCAATTCGCCAACGTATGTCCTGACGTCACCCTCAAACCGAATTTTGCGCGTTAGGCCCCGGATGACCTTCGCCCGCATTTCCAAGAATGTTGCCCTGGCAGCAGCGCCACCTTTGAGACGGTTTAGCAGAGAAATCAGCGAGACAACGGATGACTTCCGATTGGAAGGGAGTGCAAGTGATTCGAGAAGAGATGATATCAGCTGACTCGTGAGGTGGAAGAGTTTGGTAGAGAGGAGAGGTGTCACTGAAAGCTTTGCTTGCCCTGAAATGAAGAAAAATCAGAGGGCTGTCGTCGCATTTCGTCGTAGGACTCACCTTTTTCAACTAGGTCTACAGCTTTGCTCCATTCCTTAAGGGCTATCGCCACTGTAAGGTCGTCTGACCATTCACCGACCCATCGCGCATCTCTTTCCGCTTTATCCTTCGCGTCCGTCCCGAGACCAGGAATATCACCACCCTTCTTTGCCAGGTCTGCCATCCATTCAGGAATCGGAGGTGCCGGAGAGTTGCGCTAGTGCAATGGTAAGTGCACGCCAGGGTCGACGAAAGAAATGAGAATATACCCCTCCACCGCCACCTCCGTGCCACATGCTTTTCCTCCGCTCGTGCTCGCCTTCTCGCTCTTTACGCCGCTTTTGCGAGAGTTCTTCTGCTACCTGTCGGAATTGCGCAAGGAGGCTCTTCTTATCACTTGGCGATTCTGTACGATACACATGTGTTTCCTTCCCGTGTCGTATTTTGAATACATTCGTCATGTCTAAGGGGACAGTTAGCTTCAAAGGACGAGCTATGAAGAGAAGCAATCGAACTTGGGGAATCTTTCGTATCTAGAACCAGCATTTCGTTCAGAGCCCAACACTTCTCCGCGACCAGTTTCCCCTCGTTGACAGTGGATCCGCCGCCGTCTCCTCCAACCGGTCCGGCATTGCGTCTCCTTCTCTTGGCTACGAGTACCGCATCGTCCAGGACCACAAACTTCACTTTTCCTGTGACCTTGTATGTGGCAGCATTAAGACTGAAAACATTCTCCATCTCTCCTACGATATGTCGGCCAGGAGTCGTGGGTACGAACTTGGAGGCGCCTTCAATTGTAGCATGCAGAGTTTGCATCTGATTAAAGTATAACACTCGCAGGTCGGCCACGGAGGAGCGCTTGTAGGTGGACAAGGTCAACGAGGACGTCGAAGTCGGATCAGGAATGTAAAGTGTGGACGGCATGGACTTGTAGTCAGAAAGCAGATCCTTGAGCTCAAGCATCTCGTTTTCGAGGACCGAGATTTCTTTGGAGATGAGTACGAACTCGGCATAGCTGTAAAAAAGGGATTTCATCAACTTCTGGGTATTAAGATGGATCAACTGGAGCGTACTTCTTGAACACACTCCGCTGAAGCTCAGAGGATGTGTCCTTGATGGCACCACGGAGCGAAGATTGTAGCGACTTCAGTTCCGCCTCCGTCGAATTCGCCAACTTGAGTTTAAGGACTGTTCAGATGGAAGACGGTCGGTACAATGGAAGGGTGCTGGTCAGATGTCTTACGACTCACAAGAACCAGGATCAAAGTCCTCAGCATTGAGAAGCTTTTTATCATCGCTGACTACCCTGACATCGTCTCGGGTTCCCGTTCTATCTCTGACGTCCTCCTCTCCGTCGCGACCTGGCGTCTCCGCTCCTTGGCCAGCAGGAATTAGGCCCATAAATGATGGCATCGCGGGTACGCCTGTGAGCTGGGTTGGACTGGAGATGTCGGCATAACGCGTCGACATGCGCTTCTTAATCTTGTCATCGACGCGGTTCTTGCCCCTGTCGCGTGGTGTGGGTCCGGCACCTGGTTTTGCGAGTTTGGTGGGGGTCCGTTGGGCCTTGCGCGGCGCCTGCGACGGACGTGAACGAAGAGAGGACTCCATGGCGGTAAGAGGGAATGAATCTCTTTAGAGATGTGGCCGCCTTGGTGCAAGCCCCAAGCTTTTTGAGGTTGGAGGGCACTTGAGCAAATGGTGGTGGTTGTAGTCAAGACTCAGCGATGTGCCATAGGATCAGACTACCAAATCCGGACAGTGTTACACAGCTGTTGCCAAGTTGAACGCATGGGCATGGCTGACGTCGATGATGCGCCATTTAATATTATTTACGGGTGTGCGAGCTCAAAAAGAGCTGGGAGTCGTGGGCGGCCGCGGACGTGTTGAACGGAGGCGACTGGTGACGGTGCCAAGGGATTCAGTCAATTAACAAAGAAAGGAAAATAAATAAGCGGTCAACCAACCCAGCCTTCCTTTCTTGCCGATCCAGCCTCGGTCGGGTTTGCCTTCCACCACCATCATCCCCCATGGCCATGTACGCGCCTCAGCCACAGTCCCCTCCAAAGCCATGGACGGAACAGCAGCCCCGCCATTCATCCTCCAGGGAGTTCTCATCGCCCCCAGATCCCCGCCAGTCCCAGTACATGTCCTCCACGCCGTCCTCCAGGGAGCTTCCCAGTCTCCCCGTCAACCAGTACGAACCAGAGCAGGAATACTACGACGACCACTCCCCCGAGCAGGATGATGACAATGACGATTTCTTCAACGGAGCTGCTAATGGCGGGCTCCATTCTAATTCAACCTACAATCCCGCCGTCGATTATCGAACAGGATCCGTTGCAACGCAATCCGTTCGCTCTCCATCCCCCCCGCCGGGGCCTATCCTCGACCATTCCCATCTACGCCCTGGGAACCAGGCCTCCCTCCTCTCTCATGAACGTACACTCGAACTCTACCGCGCAAACGCGAAGAAGACGCAGGATCCCGACCTCCAGTTCGAGTTCGCCGTCTTCATGATCGATGCCTCTAAATCTATGCCTATTCCCGTGCAAACCCCCGGAAACGTAATGGAGGTTGAGAAGGCCATCGACAAACGCGAAGACCTCATTCGGGAAGCCATGGCGCTCCTCAAACGTCTCGCCGACCGAGGTCATCCTCAAAGCCAATACTTCCTCGCCGACTGCTACGCAAACGGCATTGGGACTATCAAGAGCAAGCAAGACTTCGATCGTGCATATCCTCTGTTCGTACTGGCAGCCAAGCATAACCACCCCGATGCCGCCTACCGTGCTGGAGTCTGTTGTGAGAACGGTTGGGGCTGTAGGCGGGAATCGGCGAAGGCGTTGCAGTTCTTCCGCAAAGCAGCTGCGGCTTTACACCCCGGCGCTATGTATAGGCTTGGCATTGCGGAACTGAACGGCGAGTTAGGTCTTTCGAAAAGTCCGAAGGAGGGCGTCAAGTGGTTGAAGAGGAGCGCAGAGCATGCTACAGCCGAATTCCCTCATGCACTGCATGAATTAGCTCTCTTGCATGAACGCGGAATCGACAACGTGCTGTTCATTGACTGCGAGTATTCGACGGAGCTATTAGCCCAGGCCGCAGAGTTAGGTTATGCCCCGAGTGCATACCGACTGGGTGAATGCTACGAATACGGCAAGATGGGTTGCCCTCAAGATCCTGCATTATCAATACACTACTACGTGGGTTCTTCGTCGACATTTCATACATCTGAGCTCATAACCTCGCCAGAATATTGCTGCCCAACAAAATCATCGTGATGCGTGCTTCGCGTTGACTGCGTGGTATCTCGTCGGCTCGCCAGGCGTTCTTCCGCAGTCTGACACGGAGGCTTTCTTGTGGGCGCAAAAAGCGGCGGACGCAGGCCTTGCGAAGGCGATGTATGCCGTTGGCTACTTCCTCGAAGTCGGCATTGGAACTCCAGTCAACATGCAAGAGTGCGTTCCCTTCCGTTCATCTATTACTGTTCAATGACGTGAGACTCATAACGTATTTGATAATCAGGAGCATTTCCTATTATAAACGCGCGGCGGAGTTGGGTGATAAACGAGCAATCCAGCGCCTGCGTGGGTCTCAAAGCCAGCCTATGCCTCAACCCGGTGGACCTGGTGCAGTTCTTCATCGGGGCCAAGGAGAAGACATATCCGGCAAAGGTGGGAAGGACAAGGATTGTGTTATCATGTAGCCGCGGCCTCAGTTTACCTCTCCTAATGGCCGGAATCGTTCGAGCTATTCCCTCGAGCTGTACCCGCGGCGGCTATTCTATGGCGTAGAGGTGGTTCGCTTCTTCATTATTTATGCACCTGTTTTCCTCCAACCTATATTGTCATCTCTGAAGCATCTTAAACTATTCTGCATTTTTACATCCTGTAATTACACATCCTCTCTTTTGGTCGACTTTGAATGGACACGTCTGTAAAATAATACCTTACATTCTCTTAGCGTATTGGCTCCCTTTTTGAAAGAAGTTGTATTTAGATGGTGTCAACTGAGAATGAAGGATAGATTAATTCGTAGTGGGTCAAGAAAGCTCCCCTGAGGATCAAGTAAGCAAATTTCAGAGACCCTTAGCAAGGACCCCTAGCTCAGTGGTAGAGCGTGAGATTCCAGCGTGCAGCGCGAGTTGTCACTGTGATAGCAGTGGCGCCCCGCGCTTCCAGTTTCCTCAAGGTCATCCGTTCAATCCGGGTGGGGTTCACTCTTTTTGTCCTTCTTCCTCATCCGAGTCGCGACTTCTTGGTCCTTCCGGCTGCTTGTCCAACTCTCCTAGGGTTGTTCGCGACTGATTTTGTTCCGATCATCGCAACTAGAACGCTGCACCTCGCTTTGTGATGTGGAGTTGCTCAAATCTGGCCAATTCTTGGGCAAAAAGTGGCGTCCGAAACTGTACGAAGAAACGCGATAGTTCCTCTATATGATCTGAAGTACCGAAGACCTTGTATCCGGTCTTCTAACCAGCACTGGTTAGAATCTCAATGGCTACCTGTATCCCCCCTTCGACCGCCCCCGTGAACCCCATTTCTCTGTTCTCCTCCTTTCTCCTCATGCTTGATTTCAACCGCCTGGACCTGCTTGAGGCTGACTGAGCAATTCGGTTGTTTCGGCTGACTGGACCCTGGGATTACCAATCCTCGTCTCCTTCGTCGAATTTGAGTACTTCGGCTTCTCGCTAGCAAATGGGTCAGGAGGGATGTCATATACTTATTTAGAGGCATGACTCTCAAGTCGACGTCATTCCTCCACCCTCTGCATTCACATACAACACTCACTGTCAACTGCTCCTCCGCTGATATCTACTCATACTGCAATTGCCGCTGTTGCCAAAGGCAAATTCGATGCCATCCAGGTCCCTACGGAGACTCCTGGCGAGGACGAAGTGCTCGTCAAAGTGGCCTATGGTGCCATGATAGCCTTCGATACCTATGTCACCGACCGTGGGTTTTATGTTCAAGAGTACCCATGGACATTGGGATTCAGTGGCGCTGGGACGATCAAAAGGCTGGGCGCCAAAGTCAACGGCCTGAGCGTTGGAGACCGTGTATGCATGTTGACGTCGTCTGTTGGGCAGTTTTGACAATTCGAACCCGCGGCAGGTTACGTTCTTTGGGATGGGTCCGTCGCGAAGTAAATCACTGCAAGAGTGTTCCGTCCAACCTCGAAGCGTTGTTTCCAAAGCGGGTCCGGTCAATCTACTTTAGTGGCGGCCCTTCTCATGTTTCTACTCAGATTCCCGACAGCCTTTCTCTTGAGGAGGCATCCACGATCCCTGACAACTTTGTCACCTCGTTCTACACCCTCTTCAACCAACTCGCCTTGCCCCTCCCATCTTCCTTTCCTGCTCAGACACCTCCGCCGCTTTCGAAGACACCCATTCTGGTATACGGTGCTGGGTCTACGGCAGGAGTTTACGCCATCCAGTTATTGCACCTCGCCGGCTATAAGAAGATCCTTGCCACTGCCTCCAAGAAACACCATGAGTACCTCCGATCCCTAGGTGCGACCGACACATTTGACTATAACAGCTCCACGCTCGTGGAAGAGATTGCAAAAACTGTGGGCGAGGATGGGAAAGTCCTCATCGCTGTGGACTGCATCACCGCAGATGGGACGCTGGCAATTCTTGGGAAGATTGTGAGCCCCCTTGGAAAGATTGCGCTTCTTCTCCCAATAAAAGAGGGAAATGCGGTCATAGGAGGTCAGGAACAAAGGATGTACTTCGAAGTCGCGGAAGACAGCAACCCTTTCCCCAAAGGCACAAAGATAGTCTATGTCAGGACGTTCAACTACCAAAAGGTGAGTTTTTGGTTGGACTGTTCATCAACAACGTTTGGCTTAACCTATCTGCAGGATGAATACCTCAAGCAAAACTTAATGCCTAAAATTCTCCCGCGTCTACTCGACTCAGGATACATTAAACCGACGCAAGTGCGTCTGCTGGAGAAAGGGTCCTTCAAAGAAAGAGTTGGGACTGGGCTTGACCTTTTGAGGAACAACCAGATCAGTGGAGAGAAAGTTGTTGTCAAAGTGCCGTAGACGTTAGAAAATTTCACTATCTTATAATGTGGTGAAGTAGCTAAGCCAATTGTTGTGATTATGTAATACAGACGCGTTCTTATGTCGGACGCGGTACGGCGCTAATGAGCGCCACGTGCATAGATGTGGGGTATCACGTTACTAGGATCTCGTTCGTGCTCCTTCCGAACGCGTTTAACAAGGTTTAACCACCTCTACCACTCTCTTTTCTCTCCGCACCTTGTCAGACCGGACGGAATTCGCAATATCTTCCAACGACCTTGAGATCATTCCCTGATGATACCAGCAAAGCGTCCCGTTGCTGCCAGGCAGCTCTCTCAGCTAGCACAGATAGCTGCACCTGCTTATCATCGAGCGTCGGGGCGTTTGTTGACGATGATATCTGCTGGAACGACGCTTGTTCAGCCTTCTACGCCTATAAGTTCCAAAATATCTTCAACGTCCAAGGTCATTCGGCGTAACTATGCGTCTGAGGCCTGTGAGTGTTCCTCTCCTACAGTTTCGAGACTGCCAATTCTAATCATATTCGACAAGCCAATTCGAAAGCCAGCCTTCCTCATTTCGATAAGATACTTGTTGCGAATAGGTCCGTTACGTTGACATCATGATTAAAATTCTCCTACAATGCCTGTCGTTAGAGGAGAGATTGCTTGTCGCGTCATCCGCACGGCGAAGAAACTTGGGATACGGACAGTGGCAGTGTATAGTGAGGCAGATAAAGACGCGCTGCATGTCAAGATGGTATGACCCTCTTTGTGTGACCCCATCTTGGGTCTAACAAACCGGTTCTAGGCAGACGAAGCGTACTGCATTGGGCCAGCGCCTTCGTCGGAAAGTTATGTCAGTTGCAAGGCTTTTCCGGCTTCCGCAATTGTGACTTACACTGAATTGATTAGTTGAAGATGGAGAAGATCATTGACGTGTGCCATCGTAGTGGTGCCCAGGTATAGTGACAAAGTTTGACTTGTATGACGACTTGATCTCACTTCCGACAGGCAGTACATCCAGGGTAAATACGTGACGCTGTTCACTCGAACCTATCATTTTTAACACATTCAATTAGTTACGGCTTCCTCAGCGAAAACGCAACATTCTCGAAGCGACTCGCAGAGGAAGGCATCGTTTTCATTGGCCCTCCCGCGAGTGCGATCATTAACATGGGTTCAAAGAGGTATCAAGCACGCTATTCTCCGTTGTCCACAAGTTCTGACATGTTTATTAGTGAATCGAAGAACATTATGACCAGTGAGTTTCAATGAATAACCGATGTATATCTCATTGGCTCACTTTCTCAAGATGCTGGTGTTCCTTGTGTCCCCGGGTATCATGGTAATAATCAAGATCCCGATTTCCTGTTTACAGAAGCCCAGCGAATAGGCAAGCCAGAAAGAAATTAACATAATTCATCGCTTACCAAGGCTACAGGATTCCCTGTATTGATCAAGGCAATTCACGGAGGCGGAGGAAAGGGCATGCGTACAGCGACGACTCCCAGTTCAGCTGCATTCCATGAGGCTTTATCGTCCGCCAAACGCGAATCTCTCAAGGCATTTGGAAACGACACGGTTCTTGTAGAAAAATATATCGAAACACCGAGGCACGTAGAGGTCCAGATATTTGCTGATACCCATGGAAATGTGGTTAGTCTTTGGGAGCGTGATTGCTCGGTTCAGCGAAGAAACCAGAAGATCATCGAGGAGGTGAAAAGAATTATTTCATCGGAGAACCGCTTGCTTATCCTGAACCGTTATTAGGCACCGGCACCTGATCTTTCACCAGAACTTCGCGAAGATCTGAGCACCAAAGCAATCTCTGCAGCAAAGGCTGTTCGCTACGTTGGAGCCGGAACGGTGGAATTCATCTTCGACAATGACACCTCGAAATTTTATTTCATGGAAATGTATGCTTGGGTCTTCTCATATGCCCATCCGTCTAACTGGCCGCAGGAACACTCGTCTTCAGGTCGAACACCCTGTCACCGAAATGATAACCGGATTAGATCTGGTAGAATGGCAACTTGAGGTTGCTGCAGGTAATATGCTTCCATTGGCTCAAGGTGCGATACCCATGGTGGGACACGCTTTCGAAGCGCGCATATACGCAGAGAACCCGCGAAACAACTTCTTGCCCGATTCTGGCACATTGCATTACTTGTCTACACCAACACCGACCCACATATTTGCTCCAACATATCCACTAGTGGAGGCATCTGGTTCCTCGCCACTTCGGCCTACGGAAAAGTCTGCGTCTGGCCTCCAGATCATGCCATCTCTACGCATCGAGCAAGGTTTCACCCAAGGTGCACAGATAGGGGTGTTCTACGATCCCATGATTGCGAAAGTTGTAGTTCACGGAAGGGACAGAGTCGAAGCGCTGAGAATGCTACGCCGCGCGTTAGATGAATACCATGTTGTTGGTGTTTCTACGAACGTGGAATTCTTGAGGACTCTAGCTGGAAATAAGGCATTCATTGACGGCAAAGTCGAGACAGGCTTTATTCCGGTGGGTTCAGTGTCCCTGATGCCGCCAGCTTTCCCTCATTGTTGTACCCACTAGAAACACTTTGATGAGCTCTTCCCGCCTTTGAAAAGACCGGACTCAAAGGTTTTGGCCCGAGCGGGTCTTTATGCTGCAACCAGGCACCAGAAGCAAACACCCAACCCCGCTGCGACTCCCTGGACATCACTTGCTTCGCGTCGTTTCGGCGGGGATGAATATAGGTGCAGCTTCAAATTCCAGACAGAGGGCTTGGAAGAAGAAGCAACTGTTGTCGTCACCCAGAAGTCCTTGAGCCTGTGGGATGTTGTTGTGCAAAGAGGGGAGACCATTGACCATTTCCCTTCTGTGCCCGCTCAACTAGTGGATTCCAAAACACTTTCAACAACACTCAACAACAATGCTACCCAAACGATCATCGTTTCACAATCTCCACACCCGTCTGTCCCAGCATCACAAGCCCAAAATACAATGGAGCGTCTGCATGTCTTCAGCGAAGGGCAGAAAACAACCCTGGTCATACCCTCTCCGAAGTGGTTATTGTCACTTGGAGGTCGCGCACTCGGTGCACTCGGTGCCCTAAAAGCACCAATGCCCAGTTTGATTGTGGAATTGCGCGTCAAAGTTGGCGATCATGTCGAGAAGGGACAAGCGGTAGTAGTGATTGAAAGCATGAAGACAGAGACCGTCCTTCGTGCAAATGCAGCAGGTGTTGTGAAGGCTGTTGGCTGCAAGGCCGGTGAAATGGTCGAGGAAGGTCGGGAGCTGGTAGATATTGAGGCCAATGAATCATGACCAAGGAGGTATATCCGCTGCTGTGATATGGGCGAGTGTACTCTATTCTATGTATGTAAATCTACATGGAAGCAAGAGAGAGGCTTCCACTGGGTGTTGGTGTCGTGGCATCACGTCCTGGAATCGTGGCATACACCTTGCTCGTCTCGCTGGGAAGAAAAGGTGCACCGGATCCAGGTGGTTCAGGATTTTGGGTCCCTTCTGGTGTGACGATTTCGTCCTGCATATCGCGAAGAGGTAGGTTCGGCGAGTCTGCTCTTGCTGTCGGCTCAGGAGGTGCTGACTCTGAAGCTAGAGATTGTTCCTCTACGAGCATTCTGTGTTCGCGTGGCGAAATTTCTTCTATGGAATTGACAATTTCTTGGAAATCTTCTTTGCCGGTTGCAGGGCCCATGACATCCTTCATGTATCCATAACCTTTCGCCTGAGATAGTGTTTGGTGAAGCTCATGCGACTCAGCCTTCGTCACTTCGACACGAATGCCTTTGAATTGATTGACACAGAATTTAGTCAAACTCCAATGGTTCTGGAGATATTGGCTCTAGAAGCAAAAGGGTCAATTAATGACAAGGTTAATGACAAGGTTGGGGACAAGAAGGAACACTTACAACGCGCAAATATGACGGCACCAATGTTCTCTCGACATCTTTCAAAGGGTTCGACGAAAAACAGGATGGGTTCGATTCAGCACCTCGCGCGATCATGACTGAATGAGCGCCAGTAACCTCCTGTACCCGCTTCGCATCCTCCCAACCCTTGCAATCCCCATTCTCAATCACAGCAATGCCCCCTCCCATCCCTTCCACGAAATTGACGATCCCTCGTAGCCTCTCAATAAGGGCCGCATCCTTCTCGCGCATGTTGCGCGTCCGACAGTGCACTGTCAGAGCGCTGATTCCAGTGTTGATAATCCGCTCGACGAGCTTAAGGGTATCTTCTTGCGAGGGCAGGAGACGGATCTTCGCGGTCACTGTTATATTGGGAGGCATTTCTTTCCGAAGAGCGGAAAGGATCGAGCATAGCAAGTCCGGGTTCGTAAGAAGCGCGGCACCCATACCGGCGTGCGTTGAGAAGGGCTTTGGGCATCCACAATTCAGGTCGACACCGGAGATATCTTGCAGAACTGTCTTCGCTGCTTGCACCGCGAGTTCGGGGTCGGCTGAACCGATTTGGTAGATGAGGTAGGGCTTCTCGATGGGATGCGTCGTGAAAATCGCGCGAGAGACGCCATTATACGAGATGACGCCAGTTTCAGCTGGTAGATGTAAGCGTTGAATACTGCGGGTTGCAAGACATGACTCACGATCCACTTCTCGAGTCGCATGAAGGATTGCTTTATCCACAATTTCCGGTCCCCACACCAACGTAGCGCCATGTTTCAATGCGAAGAGTCGTGTCGGTACTGGTTGATTTTCTGTCAGATTCAAAACATTAAGCCTCCAAGAGCGACGACATACAAGCGCCAGAGCGAACCATAGGAGCCAGGAAAACCCCATTCTTGAAGTCCTCTTGAGTGAGGTGATCCAACTTTGCACGCTTCTGGGGTCTAGGTGAAGGTGAAGTAGAATGCGATCGACGCGACATGAAAGAAGCGAGGAATTGCGTGGCGATCTTGAAGTGGCCAGAGAGCTGGTTGGTTGGCATTCACGTTCAAGAATGTCAACCCTGTTGCCTATCATTATGTTTGGCATCGGACTCAAGTAACAACAGAGGGATTGCAATGCATTTCATTACCGCGTCTATCTCGAAGTACATCATCCACGGCTCGGCCAACCCATGGCTATTATGAAGTGTCAGGATTTAGGTCAGTGCGGACAGGTAGGTAACCAAACGTCGACCATCGAAAACACAAGTAACAACTGCCTCTTCAATTACACGATGAATCACAATGCCCAACCATTTACTTGCGCTTCTTGAGGCCATCATCCTTCTTGTCAACTGCGGACGACACAAGTGTAGCCTCCTCCTTTTTCTTCTCCTGCACGGGAGCCTCTGTCTTTTTGGTCGACTAGAAGACGTGCTTAGCACTGAGGCAAATGGACTAGAAACATAACTCACTTTGGTCACAACAGGCTTTTGGGCACCACCAACAATGCTGACAAGGGCGCCAAGCATTCCGAAAAGAGTGAAGAGAGCGCCAGCAAGAGCAGCACCGGTCTCAGGTTGGGTCTTGAACGCCTCGAGAGGATTCTCCCTGGCAGCCTCAATGAACGAGATGACACGAGTGCGGATGAAGCTGACAGGGTCGTCCTTGAAAGAAATCTTCTCATCCTCGTCCTCGTCGGCATCAGCGGGCTTGTCAGCGGCAACTTCGAGAGGTTTCTTGATCTCAAAAGTCTCAGCGGCGAACTTCTTGGCATCCTCAACGGAGTGGCCAATATACAAGTTGTCGAAGAGAATATCCTCAGTCATGGTCCAGAGCTCAATACCAACACCACCCTATGCATCATAGAAATGAGACAACGATCCAAGAGAGACAGGAAGTGACCTACAATCTTGTTGAGGGACTTGATGGGTGTGAGATCTTCGTAGAAGTTGGGGTTAGGGATCTTGCGAGGCGCCCAGACACCCTTGTAGGCAGGGTTGGAGACTTGAGGGGGTGACCACTTGCCCTTGTAGGCGGGGTTGTGGCGGTAGGGACTACAGTAGACGGTGAGGGAAGTACATGAGGCGACTGAACAACCAAACAAACCGTTTCCATTCACCGCAGCCAGGAGCCTCAGCGCACTTTGGATTGGGGACAGTAGGTGCGATCCAGTCACCATCTTCCTCATCATCCCATTCCTCAGGTTTGGTGGCGTCTAGTCGCATTGAGTTAGAAGATTTCTTGCCATGGAATACCAAGTGGAACACACCAGGGTCGGGAATAGACAGAGGCTCATCGTCAAGCCAACCCTCAGGCTTAACAGCCTCCTCATCGAGGATTTCGTAGGGTGCATCCTCATCCCAGTCATCGGGCTATAAGAGAGTGAGCGACAGAAGACGACGACAGCGCAGGCCAATGCAAACCTTCTTGGCGTCGGGGTCGGGGATCATGGCCTCATCAACCCAGTCTGCGGGCTTAGAATCTTCGGGGTCGTCAATTTCCTTGGGAGGGTTTACAGCAGGGTCGAAGTCCTCAAGGACGTTGCCCTTCTTCTCGCTCTCGCCGTTGATCAAGACTTCGAAAGTATTATCAGGGCTGCGTAGAAATAAGCTGCTGCAGAATGACATGGAGGTGAAGCCACTAACTTTACAATGAGGGTATACAAGTTGGTGAGTTTCTCAATGGAGGGACGGGGAGGGAGCTTAAGGTGCTTCTCCTCGGTTTCTCCGGTCTTGGGGCTCTTGTAGCGGAAAATGAAATGAACCTAAACCGCCGAGTCAGCAAAGTTGAGAGAGACGCGCGAGAGGGCGGCGACATACCTTGGTTCCAGGGCAAGTCAAATCAGGACCGAACATGACGACCCAAGGCGTAGTGTCAGAGAACTCTTTTCCGCTGGTCTGGAAACCGTCTTCGAGGAGTTTGACATAACCACCGCCACAGTTACCACCCTTCTGGTATTTCACCTCATATTGAACGACGAGGGGCTCGGTCTTGAAGTCAATGGGCTTGGAGAAGGGGGCCGAGATGGCATGGTGGGCAGCTTTGCTCTTCGCGACGAGACCCTTGTCACCTTCGATGAAGGAGATGGTAGGGTCCTCAACCTCCCACTTGCCGACATAGCTGAAGGTCTCGCCGCCAACGGGAGTCTTCTTGGTCGCTTCTGAGGGTGTCCATCTGTCTGTCCAGTCCTCAGTGAACTGTTCGACGAAAGGAGCCTCGATCTTGGTCGGCTGGAAACGAGTGTGAGGTCAGCGTAGGAGCGACGACGCGTGAAGAGCAAGACGCACAGTGAATGTGGGCTTGGGAGTGTCTGCCGACGACTGGGCAAGGGTGCCCGAGGCAGCGAGAGCCAATAAAGATAGCGCTACGCTTCGCATTGGATACGAAGGACCGGACGGGAATAAGAGAGAAGGAAAGGGTGGTGAACTGTACTTTCCAGTCTGCCACGAATATATCGTTCCTAAATACGTCCCGCATACGTGGCAGGCGTCTTTCTCCCACACATCACGTGGGGGCGGTCCCCGCAGCTGCAGAAGGCAAACAAATATCTGATTACGCTTGTCTATTACTACAACATCTACCCAAGAAGATCCGCATGCCCCGACGCAGAGAGCGCAAGCTATTGCCGTAAAACCGTCAGAACACTGTGGGTCTCGAAAACACGGAGGGATACGACGTACAACAAACTCGTCATCCAAATATTTGGACACCGCGATCTGGTCGCCGAGCCCTTTTCTCCGACGCGTTTTCAGTACTAGATCCCGCGCTAATGCCTGGCCCGAAGCGGGCTCCAGTGGTCGAAGCTTGATACTTGTGTCCGTAGGATCACCTGCCTATCGTCAGTCCCGCGAAGGCACTCATGTGTGAAAAGAATCATACCCGGCACGATGGACCAGTGGTCGAACACCTGCAAGCAGAATGCTTGCCCCTGCGTTGCCGTTCTCAAGTCTGTTTCAAAGCCATTTGCGTCGATCACGGGGATCAACGCCTTGACAGTGTAGAGCGGTGAGCCGGCCTTAGGGAGGTCCTGCGTAACATGTCCACGACGGCGCGCTAGCACCGTGTACACTGCGGATATGCAGTCGGCGGGTGCCTGAACCTCCACGTAGTATACCGGTTCCATCAAGCGCGGCGTCGCCTATATAGAGATCGGGGAAACAACGTGTCAGATATAAATAAACTCCGACTTTTAAACGAATTCTCACCATCAAGAATGAGGAGTAACAGACGCGACGAGCAGTGGGAACGATTTGTCCACCTCCGCGGAAGATTGGCTCCGCTGCTAGACTGGCATCCAAAATGCGGAACTTGACATTTCGCATAGCTGAAAGAAAATGGTTAGCGCGCCGTACAAGAGATTTAGGTCAGACCACTGACGTTCGTCACATAGAGGACCCTCTCGAGCACCCCATTGGAACCCTTGCTTCATGTGCTCCTTCACTGTAGCAAGATGTTTCTTGTCGATCTGCAAACAGGCAAATTGTCAATTAAAGCAATCCTGAAGCCGCGCCAATTAATTCACCTGTGATGGGAGGGTGTCATCTAGAAGAACGTTGGGACCGTTTTCATCTGGACCGAAGGCCCATATTGAACGTGAAGCAAGCAGATCCCATTGATATTTTTCTTGGAAGAAGGAACCCCTCTCCTTTGCTGACATGCGCATGTTGACGCGACCTCGTTCGATGTCTTCTGCAATGCCTCGCTCTAAAGGTTCAGCGATCATAGTCAGTTTATTCCTGACAAGTTGAATCAGTTTCCTCCATGCACGAATGCAACACAAAAAGCCTCACTTCTTGTTCGGCGTATCGGCGTAGCACTTCAAGGCGCTCGTCTCCAGTACTGTCTCGCAAAACTTGGTTACCGGGTCTGACACCTTGATCTCGATCTCTGAGAACAGACGACGCAGATCGTGCATAACGCAGTCGAGGTATAGTTCCCCAGTGCCGATAACAACGTGTTCGCCGCTTTCTTCGACCTTCGTAGCGACCAAAGGGTAGGATTTGTTGATGTTGCGCAAACCAGAAAGCATTTTCGGCAGTTCCGAAGGGGCAATCGGCTCAATAGCGATCTTAAGGACCGATTGGGTCATATGCTTGATCGGTCGGAATATGTGCATATCGTCTTTGATGTCAAATCCCGCCAACGTGGCTGTCTTCGAGATGGAGGCGTCAACACCGCCTATAAGGACAAGATTGCCAGCTGGAATTTCTTCTGCTGGGATGAAATATCTTCTCGGAAGTTTTTACAGGAAGCCTCAGAGACAACGACGCACGCACCTCGATTCACTTATCCATAGGTCGTCCACGACTGCCTTCATCATGTCTTCTTCGTCCTCTGGTGAGTAACCTTCTCCCAACACCTTTACTTCCATGCCTTTCCGCAGAGTCCCACTGATGACTCGTCCGAATGACCTGAATGATTGGGCATCTGTGGTATGGTATAACTTGGAGATGTGGACCATAAGTGGACCTTCTGGATCACAAGCTTTCATCGACAGTGCCAAATCTGAGGTTTGCGGGCCCAAGTAGGTTCCCTCGACCTAAATGACAAAGCTTAAGGTGAATGTGCCATGTAGCGACAGAAAGACAGAAACGGTACCTTATTCGCAGCATTTTGCACAGGGGAAGGAATGTGTTCAACAATCACGTCGACGAGTCCGGTTGCCGGACCAAAGAACTGATTCAGAATCGCTTTGAGGAGAGGCCTTACATCCATCTTGTACATGATTGGTTTGAGCTTGATGCCCAATCCTTCCAAAGTCGAACGAAGTTCATTTGTTTCTTCGCTGAGAACATGACTATACAGTTTGTACAGAGGGTTCAGGATGAAATGGACGAATGACCGAGGTGCTTCTGCGTCAGCTTGCTTTCGAGTGAATTTCCGGGTGTCTTCATTGAAGTAGATGTCTCCCCATAGACGGTCGGCGAAGGCTTTCACATCAACAGAACCTGCCAGCGATTCAATGTTGGGCCAAAAAAGGCATAAGGAATCGAACACACCGTATGTGTCGGCGTACATCTGAGCAAAGGAATGCAGAGTAAAACACCAGCTCATGTCAGTGCTAGCGAAAGCCACATTGCCATTTTCCGGACTCAATCGCAATTCTGGGTTTGGGTCTACCGAGCTAGTGCACTGGTGAGGTAGAGTGGAAACGGAAAGAACAGAAAATCTCACCTGATAAATGTGTTGATCTCTTCGATAGTGTGTTTGATTTTGTAGTAGGCATCAGCAGGGGGGATGCGCAACTCCAATATCAGTCTGTCAATTTTGTTGACGACCAATGTGATTTTAATTCCTTCTTGCAGAGCATGCCTCAAAATAAACTCTGTGCCCACCATAAGCTGCAGCGAAAAGGTGAGTTCTAATCTGTATATTCGAATGGTCGAAGAGCTTACCCCCTCGACCACGTCCACAACAAGCAGTATTCCATCTACCAAACGCATTGCCGATGCGACTTCGTCCACAAAATTAATATGTCCCGGCGTGTCGATAAAGTGTATTAAATGGGATTTTCCAGCAGTATTGGAGAGAACGAGGGACATAGGGGAAGATTTTATCGATATTTGACGCTCTCGTGACAAGACATGGGTATCGGTATAGCGTACCTGTATCATGGCTCGATTAGTGGAACCCAGCACCAAGGTTGTCACGAACAGGTTTATCTGCGTCCCACGTGAATTTATGAGTTTCAAATACGAGCATGTCCATGAGAGCCGTTTTTCCGTGATGCAAATGGCCCACGACTGCAACGTTTCGGACCATTTCTGGGAAAGTCGTCATGTTCAACAAAAACCTGTATCACGCGTCAAACTCGGGCTCACACCAGAGTCTGTAGCAAAACCGGCGCACCCTTTGTCAAACCTTGTCACTGGCATGTCCTTTTCCTCGACTGCCCATTTCCTAACCTTGACTGGCGCGACGATGGGCTCCGACAATGGTTGGGCGTCTTCTTCTTGGACCAATGTTTCAACATCAGCACCATACACGTCGCTTGCAAAAGGGTAGTATTGTTTGTCTTCGTGAAGGATAACAGCTCTGTGCGAGGGTTCTGGAGACAGTTGAGTACGCTTCAGAGAAAGACCTGAGTGGCATACCATCGACCTCCATAAGGGCCGTGTCTTCTGCGTCCTCCATAGGAACATCATCATATCCCTCTAGAGGGGCAGTCGACCCTGGCTGCTTCTGAAAGTGCTGCTGAGGGATCTCCTCTTCCTCCTCGTCGGAATCAAGGTCAGCGCCAATGTAGTTGCCGAACTCGTCATAGTCCTCGAATGATGCCATGTCTGGGATGAAGTTCGGCGGAGGTAGCAATGGTAAGAGGAGAGCTCCGTCGCGCAGAAATGTGGAGATAGGGACGTGAATGAGGACGCAAGTACGGATGAAGGGAAATTCGCGAGGATGAAGAGACGGGCGAGATATTTTGCAACTCCGTTTGCAACATCTGATCAAAATGTGACCCTAAACGGAAGGTCCCCCGAGGCCTCGAGCTGCTAAGTCTCTAAGTACATTTGGTACTTGCGCTACCACCATGACGTCCCTCCCCGACGAGACCCTACGTAAGGTATGTAGACGTATTCATTTGAAGACACATATGCTTAGCAGTCGCAAACACTTTCAGATCCTGATTCAGATACAGCAAACGGCCGTCCAGTCTCAGAAAGCCCTGAACTTGTCGATACAGCAGACCGCGTCCAAAGAGCGTGAACGTAGGATTTTCCAGCTTACGATAGACGAAATCAGTCACATAAAAGGCGATGTGAATCTTTATAAAGGCGTTGGGAAGATGTGCGCCGCTACGTGTTTTTGGGGAGATCGTATCTTACTTCTGTTCCATAGGTTCATGCATGTCCCCAGAACTGTAATGGAAGACCAACTCAAGAAGGAAGAGAAAGAACTATCGGATGACATCTCCAGCCTCAATAAAAAGGTGTTTTGTCTCGATTCTCCGACCTTCAGTCACTAATAGACTTTGCAGTCAAAATATCTCGAAAAGCAGTTCAATGATGCTCAGGCTCAACTACGTGATATCGTACGTCTGGTTTTCTTCTGCCTGCGGAAGGGCGCAAAAGCAGTGACTTTCTCCTAGTTCCATCACGCACCGAAACAGCAATAGCCCGATGAAGCGCCTATAGGAAACTATTCTCTGGGATCTCCAGGTCACCAACTTCAAGTTTGGGCAACTAGATTCAGCACGATATTGTCGATCCTCCGTCACTGTGCTCCAAGTTATTTAATGTACAAAGGGAAAGAAATATACCTACCTTGCGAGTTTGCGACTGCTCCTCGTGTTGTACCTGTTACATAATTACCATACCATAATATATTCGACATTGAACTAGAGTTGAACCCTTCTTACGTATCCCTCATCTTTTTTCCTTCCACCACGACACTGCGACTTCTGACGTTGACTCTCCCCCAAGTGACCCAGACCGAAGCTATTGAAGACACCGTTTAGTCGATAGACGCGTCCCCTCTGTCTTCATTTGTCTTGTTGCGCCAGTCGAGAAACTACACTGTGACAGTATATCTTGAGGTTCGTCCTTCTCTGACACGTGTTATACTTTTCACCCATTGATATCCTCGTCTCAGATCGAATTTGAACTACAAATGAGTTCGACTCATTCAAACCAACTCGCTGAACACCTCAAAGCCCAGGGAAACGAACTTCACCAGAAAGGCCAGTACAAGGCAGCGTACGATAAGTACAGCGAGGCAATCAAGGAGGATCCGCGCAATGCCATCTACTACGCAAACCGTGCTGCCAGTAGCTTGGCAATGAAGCAGTTGAGTCTGATGTTTCTCAGAACTAGCCCCTATCCGCGTCAGTCTGATCAGGTCACGGTGGCGCTCAGGTATATGGACGCGGCGGTGGATGCTAAAAAGGTTTCTCGTCCAGTTGCCTCTCTGCCCAGTTTCTGACAGTGCTTTACCCAGGCCACTAAGATTAATCCTAAATACGGGAAGGCCTGGGCTAGACTGGGGGTTGCCAATCAAGTGAGTGCCTAATGCGAGCTCATGAGGCCGAACGCAGCAATACTTAGACACCCTCGTAGGCGCTCTCAATTTATTCTGAAAGCAAAGATGCATGTCGAAAGGCTTTGGAATGTTTGCCTTCGGAAGACAAACCTTTAAGTGAATCAGACAAAAAACTAAAGACCCAATATACGGAAGGCTTGCGCGAAGCGGAGCAGAAGCTCAAGAATCCGACGACCATAAATCACTTTCAGGCCCCGTCGGGAGATGTGCCATGGATCAGAGCGGAAGCAATGGAGAAGGACTCATACAAGCGCAGCGGCTATCTAGCGTAAGTCCCAATCTCTTTGATCGCGAGAACCTAGTCAAGTATCATATGTGTGTCTTCATTACCGCAGGGTTTTGTAATCTTGGAGGCCTATCGGGTGAGTAGATGTGACGACGCAAAAGAAATCACCCGAATATTATTCTAGGAGTTCAAAGAAGGTGTGGACTCCATGAAGATGTTGGAGCAGCGACCAGGCCCCCCTCAACTTCATTGGTGGGGAAAGACAGGAGTAAGCATAGGATTCTGCTAGACCGTACAGCTCATTTATGTATTTCCTGCTTCAGGCCCTTGTAGACATCAGCAATGGCATCATGAAGGATTCTCGAGTGTTCCGTATTGATTCCGACGATTGGATCGAAAAATACAACAAGGTACCACCACGGGAGGTCTTCCTAAGGGTGTCAACTAATCCCATTCTACTCAGTTATCTTCGAAAGTGAAGCACATAAAGCCTGGAAGGAGGGTGGAGCCAACACGGTGAAAGACCAAGCCCTTCAAAGACTCAAACGTGAAGGATGGCATTCTGTCCGGCCAGCTCTAGCAACGACTGTCCGGTGAGGTTCCTTGTCAATCTGTTGGGCTCTAATACTACACTAACCAATACCACAGTGCCTGGATTATGTGTGGCTTTATGGCTATTACCATCACCAAGAGAGCGACTGTTGCAATGGAATATTATTCGCGCGTCATCGATATTCTGGAATGGGGTCGCAGAACTTGGGCTAATGTTCCAAAAATAGACCGAGGCGTAATCTTCGAGCTGAGCTTCATTCGAGGTGCAAAACGGCTTCGTCTGAATGCTCTCCATGAGGTGCGCTTCTTCTCAAGCATTGCCCTCGCAGACTCACTTTCGCACAGATCCTCGCCTCCAAGGTGAAGGATAGCCACTACATTCGTGAAAATCTGGTTGAATGGTGCCGTGATCTTATCGCTGAAACCGATGCGAATCCGCCTGCCCAAGGGACTGAAATAGATCCAAGCACTATTTTGGCATTCTGGGTGTATCCCAAGGGCGATGCCCTAGCGTATGTCATTTATTGCAGCATAAACTCGTTTCTCTGACAATCCAAATCTAGTATTCTTGGATGGCATCATATGCAACTAGGTTTAGCTGCTGAAGATGCTGAAGATGCTAATGCTAAATTCACGGAATCAGCTAGGTACTACATAAAGGCAGCTCACACTTTCCCCGAAGATGATGAAAAACGACCATACTACTTGAAGGTTGCTATAGAGGCATATTGGTTCCAGAACAAGCCCCTGGATGATGTTTTGCTCTTAACCGCTGGCATTTCACACTGTTTCCCCAAGGTTTTGGGGCTTTGGGAGCACTCTGCAACAATGAAGGAAATGGCGCAAAATGTTGTGCAAGCTTTCGAATTTGCATTCATATGTAGAGAAGCCATAGACAAGGGCGAAATTTCAATGAAGGATATTGTAAAACCCAAATCCTTGGTAAGTGACTCGTCATTAATCTGACATTGGAGATTCCAAGCTTCACACAAAACTTCTGTTTACAGAAAAGGACTGACAGATGGGCAACACCTGCCGTCAAATACGTATGAATGCTCGGATTTGCAGCAACAAGAAGAGATAGTCGTTACATTATTTACTCTGGAGGCATCTATAGACATTAAAAGTGCACATATCTTCCACCCATGACATGGCCCGTCATCTATCGCTTGTGGTATCGTAAGAATCTTGATGCAACTAAAGTTTCAATTGAGTACATAGTGGTTAAACCTGCGATAGAAAAATTCTCACTTGTAGTGACGATTACATTGAACACTGAAACCAGGGACAATATTCAGTAACCATCGAAGATTGTTGAGGCGGAGGTCTCACCGAAGAAAGCGAAAAGTATGAAGGCATCCCTCCATCGGTTCGAGAAGGAAATATTAAGTGGGAGATAGAATTCGTCCCCGACTAAAAACTGGCAGTATCGGCAGGCAGCGGTAGCCGTTTCATTGTCGATGTAACCCCCAAAGACGTCGGCGAAGGGCTTTGCCCAAGCACCGCAAGTCTGTCCAGCTGGGGGGTCAAACACCGCGAACTCATCAGACTTGCACCTTATTATAAGGCCACTGCGCATTAAAGAGTTAGCACACACAAAGCAAGTTATAAGGCACCACACACTGCAGCTCTGTTGATACCATGGCAGCAAGGGTACGTGTATAGGGATCTAATTCATACAGCCATGAACGCCAGAACCCATTCATGGTCGGGTAAGGAATCGGAACTCCGCAGAAGGTGGATAGGACAAGTCCGATAAAGGGATTGAAAAGCACCGCAACCTATCCGACGTTATGAATACATCCGTACCGACAACGAGGAGACATACCTGAACGCTCGGCGACAGTGCAGCAACCATCTGACCGAGAGTCACTCCGAATAACAACATAAAGATAATGATTAACAATTGGAACCCTGTGCCATTAAGGCCCGCACTCCCTTGACCATAGCCCATGGGGTAGACCTAGGAAGATAGTAAACGACAATCAAAAGAATGATCTGAAGTGAAATACCATTAAGACCCAGTATAAAACGCCACAAAGAATGCTGTATGGGATCTCTCCAATAAGTTGGCCGATGGCAAAGACATAGGGAGAGTAGATGCGACTGGATGATTCTTAAATGAAGTAAGCTAGTACGATGTACGAATAGGAGGTAGAGGAAATTAAGAGATTATACCTCGTATGAAGGTTCCTGAATTCACAGTGACCAGTCAACGCGAGATGGTTGAAGAATGCGAAGAGTACTTACGCCGATTGAATATGAACAATGGCTCGATCTGTGACATAACAATGGCCGGGAGTACGACAACCCAAAATCTGTCGGAACTAAGAATCCAGGGAAAGAGAACAGATAGAGACCCACATAGCGAAGACCCGGAACTGGAGTTCCCGAACGCTCGTTCCTAATTGCAGGAAGGAGAGTGATACGAACAAAGAGATCAAGGTGGATACGAAAAGTCGGCTGAAGATGTAATCCGGAGACCGCCACAGCGCTGTGTTGTTCCGTTGGACGACAACCTTCAGTTGGTACCAGAAAGGCGTCGCATCTTCGTCGATAGGGTTAGCAAGTTTAGGTGTATAACGAAAAACCGAACCTACAAGCATTCATCCTCCCTTGTTCTTCGGTTGGGCGCGATAAGGCCTCTCTCTTGATCGCTGCTATTTCCTCCTTGACTTTGCGACACTCCGGCGAATCGAGCCAGATATCCTTCCAATCTCGATTCCCGACACGAGGAGTGAGGCCCGCACCGATTGCCTCAAGCATGTACTCAGCTGGATTGATGTTCGACGGACACACAGCACCGTAGCGAGCAAAATATTCCCGAATCGTCAAAGAATCTTTGCCGATGTCGCCAAAATAAACGGTTTCACCGCCACGCTGGAGCAGAAGGAGTCGATCGAAACTCTCAAATAACAGCGACGAGGGCTGATGGATGGTGCAGAGGATAGCTTGACCCTGGTCGGCCAATTTTCTGAGGAAACGGACAAGATTCCATGCACTGCACATCTCATGTGAGTATTCGCTAGCTGGGTGCGAGACACAGGACACCAAGAAACATACCTCTGTGCGTCCAAACCAGAAGTCGGCTCATCTAAAAAGAGTAACAATTCTGGTTTGCTGGCAAGTTCAACGCCGATAGTTAACCGCTTCCTGGCCTCCATATCAAGGCAGAATACAAGTGCCTCCGAAAGGTCTTGAAGTTCAAGAAGCTCGATCATTTCCTCGACGTATCGATCCTTTTCCTCCTTGGGTACACTAGCTGGCTGTCGAAGATAAGCAGAGAAACGCATTGCTTCTCGAACAGTTGCAGTTCCTGTCCACGTAGCATGAGTTTCTGTCTGAAGGGTGCCTTAAAATAGGTTACCTTCATGAACGTCCATTTGCTCCGCTGTTACAATGATCGGATATCAGGAATTGCACGGCAGGTAAAAAAAGTTTCTCACCGTACGCAGTGCCTCTAGCGAAGTCCGACGACAAAGGTCTTCCATTGACAAGCATGTCACCTGTTATGACGCCTATGTTCTTGCGTTGGGCAAGCACATCCAGACATGTTGTTTTGCCTAGGCAGGGTAAAATGTTAGGATAAATGCAGCGAGAAAGAGTCGATTATTGCTTACCAGCACCGCTTGCTCCCATAAGTGCAGTTAGAGTACCAGGCTTCACAAACCCTCGCACGTCATGCAGGAGTCTCAACTGGCCGTTAGGGCTTGGTACATGATAATTCAGGTTCTCCCAGGTAAAAGTCTTGCGGTCCTGGAAGGATCGAGGCCTACTGTGCTCTAATATCAACAGGGAATAGGATTGCAAGGATTGAAAACTAACTTCTCGGGTTGGGTCCGACTCACGCCATCTTTCTCTTCTTTCTCCGAGTTCATTTCTCTTTGAATCTTCTTCTCGCGCAGTGCGGTATTCAATTGCTTCGTCTCCTGCGTCTCCTTGGCAAATATTTTGATAGCCATATTCTGGCCAAATTGCTGTAAACTGAGGTTAGACGTCGCAGAAGGCGCAAATGAGGATATGTGCTTGCAGGAATAAATTCGAGTACAGCAACTTGGGTGAGCTGGAAGACGATGAAGAAACCGAACAACACGGGGAAGTTGCGGCGCCAGAGATCCTTGACGTCTAAACCATATCCAACGGATAGGTATGCTGCGCCGTTTATGATATCGCTGCCACCTTGTGCTCCAAAGAGTGTGCAAGCTTGATTAGGTCCAAGGCCAGAACTAGTGCAAAAGTCAACTGGTACGACGAATTCGATTGAAGGAAACGAGTTACGGATACAGATTGAGGCCCAAACCGTTTCTCGGGATGATAGAATTGCCGTCACAAGTGAGCTAGTGAAAAACCTCAGCAGGAGTAAGGTCAAGGGACAAAGAAACATACAACAATGCGCATAAACTCGTTTTCCATGCACGCTTGCCAGGCTGTACACACTGTTGAATAGATACATCGAACTAGCACGTGAATGAGCCCTTACCATAAGCAACAGGGTTGATGTAATACTTTGACAAGAATTAGCGAAGACCAGCATGAGGCGCGAAATCACCCACGATCCAGAATAACCATCTTTTCATACTAACAACTGGTAAGATATAGCCAGTATACTCGATGCTAAGGATATCGAATAAGGTTTCGTAAAGTCTGTCAACGACAAAGAGACTCACAAATTTGGGATGAAGAAAACTGCGAGGCGGAAGGCAGCATCGAAATTGAAGCAAATGAGGCCGAAGGTCCGGAAGAACCCTTGCATGACGAGATACGCAATATAGTTGAACAAGTGGAACGTGAAGAACCCTCCCGCGGAGCGGTGAAGGCCAGACATGAAGTAGACAATTATGTTGAATACCAGGATGCGGACCGCCGAGAATGGCATGTCAGACAGGGTATTCGCGACAGCGGTGGCTGAGGGCCTGTAGAGGCTATAATTCGTCTGGGAATGAAGGTGAGGCCGAATGTCGATGCTCCAAAGATTGGCTAGTACCAACCTGCTTGCGCAAAATGGGGCGTCCGATCATTTGCATAGGCATCTGAAGGGCGATCTATGAGTCTCGTGGTCGGGACGTAAGCTCCTCAGATCACTGACCTCTCCAAAAGCATCGAGACAGGTCGTGAGTAGAGCCGAGAATATAACACCACCACGGGTGAAGGCACCGGCTGAAGTGGTTGGTAGGTTGATGAAAGCAGCACCAATGACCAGCGCGAGAATCTGGAACGATAAACGTTGGTTTCGAACAATCCGCGGCGGCGAGAACCAGAACATACCCATGCCAAAGTAAAGCTTGTATAGAGTTGGAACCTATCTTGGATTTTCTGCTGGAACTGCCTGATGGTGAGGGCACGGACTTGGCCAGTAAATCCAAGAGTGTAGGGACTCTTCTTCGAAACACCCCTCTTCTTGTCGGCCGCTACAGCTGCTCGGAAAGCCTCTTGATCGGCCTTCTCGGTCATCATGTAGTGCCTATAGTCTTCCAACCTGGTCGCATTAACGAGGGCACAGGACGATTTGAGAAATGCTGCTTCAAGTGCTTCGGGCGTCGAAGGGACGTCGTGCGCAGAGCGGCCAGGGGCAAATTGCCGTTCATTGCGGTCGGTACAGCCAGTGAGATAGTCGGCGGTCGTTTGACGAGGTAGAGATTTAAAACCTAAATCTTCGAAATACGCGCGGGCCTCGTCGGGAGGTCCGTAGAACACCTGGCGGCCTTCGTCGAGAACCAGAACTTTGTCAAAGAGGTCGTAAATGCTTTCACCGGCTTGGTACCTGGATAGGATATGGGGAGTCAGCTTCGTAAGTACGACTGGATCCTCTGAGTAGGACGACTTACAAAGTCACAAATGTGGTTTGGCCGAGAACATCGGTCATGACTCGCAAGCTTTTTACGAAGTCTAAGGCAGTTGACGCATCCAAACCCCGAGTGGAATTATCCCAGCATTGAACCCTAGCACGGGTAGCCATCATTTCGGCTATACTCACGCGTTTTCGTTCACCACCCGACACACCACGAACGAATTCATCACCGACGAGAGTCTGTTTCGTGTGCGAGATATTGAGCATGCGAAGGAGTGTATTCAAAACCTCGGCATCGAAGTGTTTGCGTGAAACACCGGCCAACCGGCCATTAGGACCAGGCGTCTTCCTAGGATGGCGAGATAAGGGATCGGGGTAAAATATGGATGAATAATCCACTTACGTTGACAAAGCGAATGCCAAGGTCTGTGCGACGGTCAGGGTGGCGATATGGATGTCATCTATCGTACAAATCGCAAAATTCAGCCTCCAATAATCGGAGTTCCGGTCCCCGGAGCACTGCACACACCTTCTGGGTTGTAAACGACCTCGCCTTTGTAATATTTGGCCATCTCTTGTGCGGAGATTCCAGCATAGAGTACTTCGCCAGAGATCTTCGCGTATTCGTCCCGTTGGTTGGCGATGGCTTTCAAAAAAGTGGTGCAACCAGATCCTGGGCAACCAAGGACGAGGCACATTTCCCCAGGTTTGAGGTTCCCTGAAGACCTGGGCAAGAACATGTTAAAAACAAAACCAAAGAACGGGGCTAAACATACTCGTGGAGAATCGTCCTCGTAGGCGCCTGTCGCTTCGGTAGAATATACGGCGAAATAAGGCCCCAGAGCCAGAATACAGGAGTCAAGACAAAAAATACGGTAGCGTCTACTCATTTGTAAGTCAAAAAATACGAAAACAGAGCAATGCTAGACGCACCCGCGAGTGTAGGGATGTAAATCTTAAATGACGGTTAACTCTGATTTGCGCCCTTCGAACCGTTGGGTGGACGCACCTTGCTGTTTAAGCCTCCTGCGACTTCAACCTGCAGACCATCCCAAATGACACCAACATTCTGTCGCATCAATGATTTATCCCTGTAAGCGCTGCCTCGAAAAACATGTGGCTAACCTTATGTTTGATACCGGCTTTTTGATTTTGGTCATTGGACGACGTCAAGTATTCACGAAGGTCAAAGGTTTCTTCGGCCTCGTCGACTTTCTCGACTCCTTTCTCGAGGTCTTGACCAGCTGTCGTTATGTCGGAAAGTCTGGCAGTGCTTTTCACGACTTCAGAGCGCTTGCTCAATTGTCTGGAAAGCTCGTAGAATTCTTCCTCGGCTCTTGCTACGTCGACATGATGAGAACTGGAAGCCTGCGAGTTAAGTGCTGTGGTGGACTGCAGATAGACGTGACTCGGGTCCTTGACCGGAGACTCCACTAGTGACGTGGGGTCAACCATTGGTCCTGAATTGGAGGGGTGACGTTCGTACAGGTTTCAACACCAGGAAAAGAGGTCCGTTATATATTACAACTTCGCAGAAGGAGTGCAGGCTCCTTTTAGTATACCTCCGGAGATGAGTGAAAGGAAGCTGACTCATGGCACATTCCGGAGGAGCTCGGACATCGGATTGGGGTCTATGACCATTGGCCAATATTCCTGGTGCCGGACGCGTAAGTGCACGCTATTTCGAGACTTGCACAGATGTTGGCGCGATAAGGGTAGGGAATTCGTCGAGATCTGGTTAGAAAGTGAACAGACCACGCTGAAGGATGACAGATCATGAAATTTTTGCAATGAACATGTGTGAACAGAGAGGAGACAGGCAGAAGTCGGATGCCGTGTATGCTATCCAACGAATTCTTTGGAAGGTGTGGAGGCCTTATCGGGACAAGGCTGCCACGGCATCACTGATCGGATTAGTCAATTCAGATTTTCAATATGCTGTTCCAAGTATCCGATCAACGGAGTCGCGTATCCTTAGCGTCCAAGTCGCCATGAAAGGGCGTGTGGCGCACGCCTTCGATCGTAAGCGGAGCATAATCGCAGCCATCCGAGCTACCTCTCACTCGTAGCCAGTGAGGCGCTTCTGCTATGACCAATGGGTGAAACAGAAGTCTGTTATATACACCAATTTTCAATGCTCGAAAAATCCAATCGCATTGGAGTTGGAGAACTCGAAGAAGAATTGGGCGTCAATTGTGCCTATGGCACTTCGGAATATCTTTCGTCTGTATATATTGTTCCGAGACTTTAAGACTCGCATCACCTCCAAGACTTTGCCCACCAATTTGTCACCAGTATTTCCAGAGCTACCACGATGACTCACCCATTCTTCCACAGGCTCCTCCACCCATTCGATGCAGGCGCCTTTCCATCTACTCGTCGCCGTCGGCGATATCGGCGTTGCCGCATGACGCAAGGTCTTCACATAATCCAAAACACACCCTAAACGCGTGCCTAGGCATCCTCATGACACTCTGCAGAGAGGGGCCCTGGGGGCGGGACCTTTGAAGAAGGGCTCGTATATCGAGAAGTGAGCGATACCCATCCGGACAGTCTTTCCGACGAAGTTCGGGACTTCTTCCATGGCGTTGACGTAAATAAGCAAGCTATTGGTGGTACTTGCGAGGGCTGTACTTTAGATAGCCTTTGAGTGCGATTCCCTCCATCCTCGGAGGTGCCGTGTTCCATAGTTAGAGGGATTAAGTTTCAGTAACTAGTATCCACCGTATAGATCGGGGACATGCAGTGTTCACTTGGCGTTAATTCGAAAAGTTCGAGGTTGGAGTGGTATATTCTGATACCAACCTGTATTTGACCCGCAGAAGGTATCCTTGATGCTAGATCGGCATTTGGAGAGGGTCTTGAGCATTCCTTCTTGCCCCGCTTTGTCATGCACATAGCACTCCTAAGTATGCAAAAGCGATGACACTACTCCCTATCGCGGGGTGTCATCAACTCAAGAAAGTCATCAGTGGGTGAGCGGCAATACTGGGTGTCCGTGGCTTATCCACCATGTACAAAATTTGCTGATGGGGACTTAGGCCCGAACCTTTCCAGATAGAGGAAAGTCTACTTGGAAACAGCTATGAGGTTCGTGTTAGATAGAAGCTCAGAAGGAATCGGAATAGGCGCGCGTCCGATGACGGATCGATACAGCAAAGAGATCTGGGAAAGAACGAAACGATCGGCCATATCACAATGAGTCATGCCACAAAGCGCGACGCTTGGCACTATGTAGTATGCACTGCAAGATGCTGTTAGTACATGAAACGAGAACCCCAAAAGTGGGGGCAATGAAACGTTGGCAATACGACGCAAAAATAGCCTGTATTGTAATGGAAAGAAATGGTTTAACGACTTCCAAATTGATATTTGATTATAATCCACTTACCACCGCCCAAAGTTTAACCTGCAAGGACTGTGGAGTATATAACCTTGGATGAATGGAAGATCTATCCATCACCCGCAGTCAACTTTTTTACTGGTGTGCGCGCTCTTGTCGTAAGGCCGTGTCGGCAGCATTCACGACTCCTCGTGGATGTCAGTTATATCAAGCTAGGGTGAGAACAAATTCAATCGCTTGAAGGGCAAACCACACAGAAAAGGAAGAAAATAACGAAGATGATCGTGAGAATCCTTATCCATTAACGCTGTACACTCCTGTCCAAATGTCTATCGTAGAAAGACCGCCGCAAATTAGTTGTAAAGATTACAATGAAGAATAACAAAAGGCGTCCAAGTAAGTGTCTGTTGGTAGCTATCTTGACGGCCTACCCCGAGAAGAAGATCGTCTGGGTAACACGTCTTCTTTGGCTCTAACGTCCAAGGTCACCTGAAGGTCGTGGTATTTTTGGAGGTCGACCGCCTCCGACTTCGCCACGCCAGCCAAATCATTGGGTAGCCAGATGATAGGTGGAGGCGCGATGAGCTCTGGCGCGTACAAAATACCTGCCATATCTTCTGCGTGGTCGGTGAATGGCAGTGGTGGTAGACGTGGAGGGGCGTCAGGATGTGTCCGTGCAGCTCGTTCGGTGGCCGCTAAGTCATCCAGGCTTTCAGTAGCTGCGGCGTCAATATGGGTCAATATTAGTGAATTTGATCAGATGGGCGAAGAAGTACTTACGTAGTGGCACAGGCCCCTTGTAGGTCGATGAAGAGGGCATGACGGCTAGTGTCAAGCTCATCATCTCAAGAACCGAAGCCATTGAGCCACGAGGCCGGGCGCCAGGAACACTACTACCAAGGGTGTCTGTTTCGTTATGGAGGTAACGATCTGCACCACTGGCAAATCTGTCGAGCGAGTTCCGCGTGATTGGGCTCAAGGAGTTGCGTCCAGGCAGTCGAGTCTTCCAGGTTGTGTATACCTCGACGAATAAAATCACGAAGACGCCAGTTCCAACCAGGATGCCACCTTCAACCCAGAACTCGCGCGACAGGAAGATGAGGCCTAAAAGAATGGGCTGGAAGGAAAGAAGGGTTCCAAAGCGACGGAGGAGCCATAGTTGAAGGAGGCCGCCTGTCTGGGAGTGTGTGCGTGCGTACACGTAGCCGACGAGGAAGCGGTGAGCTGCAGCAAAGAATTGTCAAGGACTACCTCTATGAGCATCAAAGTAAATATATTCATACCGATCAGAGTGAGAAGGAGCAAGATAACGACAGCGGGGGCGATGAGAGGGAAAATGAGAGCAAATGTGGACGCGAAAACAATAGCGAGAACACATGCACCAATTGCAAAGGAAGGATTATAGGTCCTGGGATATACAGCTGCGAGAATTGATCAGAACAATATCCGTGTTTTCATCGACAAAGGAACAGACCTCGGAAACGTTGTCGCGGGGTTACAGCATGTTTCTCTGCGCGAAAAACGTGCCATAGACGGAAAGGTTGGAGAAGGAGGCAGGCAGGGAATATGACAGCAACGTTGAAGACTAGAGCAAGACAAAGGACACTGATATATACGGCGCCGTTGGCGATCGACTTCGTGGGGCTCGAGTCGGTATTGAGGGCCTGCATAGAAAACAAAATGGCACCAATAGCCACGATCCACACAGTGCCGACGAATGTTAGAACAAAAAAGGTAATTTTGAAGATGAGGAGTTGGTTTCCAGAGATGGAGACGGATCCGTGGATGGTAGCGACCACTGCCACGGAGTCAGTTGAAGCGAAGTCCCGTTAGCGTTAGAAGCACTTACGGTGTATGACCGCCAGACCAGCGATTATGAAGAGAGTGGCAGCAACGGCCGGTGCAAGAATTGTCGCAAGGCCAGCTGCTATTGGTTCGGCTGTCACGAGGGGTTGCAAGAAGGGTATGTAATGAGCAACATCTGGCGCCGGGGCAAGGGCAAGCCCAACAGCGGCGGTAACTAATGCACACGGTCAGACGCGTATAAGACTCGTGTATGTGGAGACTTACGGGCAGCAGCCATGGCTATTGCAACCCCGAGAATAACCGCCCACATAACCGTTGTTTCCATCCAGGTTCTTTCATTCTGGAGAACGTCCCATCGAATGTCTTCCTTGGCTCTTCCTTCGATCATCTGGATGCCTGGGAGGAATCTCAGGCCTTTCCCGACTAACAGCCACCCATTGATGTCGGTGCCATTGGCGATGTCGTTATAGCTCTCTCTCTGGGCCTCAGCAATTTCGGCATTGATGACCTTCAGCCTGGACCGCCACTGGGTGATTTCAGCATACACATGGCCAAGATCCTCGAAGCCTAATCCTTCGAGAGGCCGCACGAATGGCTGCGATGGCTGAAGACGCAGATGTGGAGGAGGTACTGAATCTGGATCCCCAGCAGGCTCTTGGCGAAGAGGGAATGTTTCTCGTCTCGTCAATGAAGGGGGGTCTGATTTGGGAGGGCGAGGTCGGCGCATGAAGGAAGATGGTCCAGCTTGATCTGGTGGTATCCCATTGAAATCTGAGTTAATTTCATCGGGTCCGTCTGTCGACAGTTTCACCCATTCCTCTTCTTCCTGCTCTGGGATCGTGTGCACGACGCCGTGCTCATCGACGAAGAGGTTTTCATAAGGGGTGATTCCGTAGTTGGGTCCAAAACGCCTAGGGTCCGGTATAGGAGCCAACCAACTTCCATGGTCGGATGCTGGTCCAAGTTCGCCATCTTTCTCGATTGCAACGTGGCTACCGAGTGGCAGACGCCCATAAGCAACAGAATTTCGATTGACTTCCATGAATCTGCTCCCAATGACTCTAGAGTGAATTGAGTCCGATAGGCTCTGATGACGGTCGACGCCGGACTCTGCGAACTTCCCTCCGCTCACACCTTTGACCCCGCGAAGCTTATAATAGGACGAAGGAGCGACAAAGGAGGTTGGTGCAAAGGAGGATGACCCGAATGCTCGATTCATATGGCGTCTTCCTCGTGTCCGACGAGGTTGTGGTGGGCCCAAAGGAAGAGGTCGACTGATGTACGGTCTGCTAGGATCCACCGGTGGGGGAGGCACAAAATCCAAGATGGAAGGATCCGGGGTCGTAACACGGAACGAGCTAATATACTTGGTTTCCGCGATCTCCAGGTTCTCTAGGATCTCGTCTCGTTCGTCTATGAGGAGCGCCAGTCTATGCGTATCTCTGAACACTTTGGTCAATCATCGACACGGGAAGAGGAATGAGAGGCCGCACCCAATCGAAAATAGGCTTTGGATATCGACCTCAGCACCATTGGCATCATCGCGTCGATGCAAGGGCTGCTCTTCCTCTCTTCTCCGGGTAGTCTTTTCCCCATTTCTTGCGCGAATACCGCCATCATTTCCATTCCGTTTAGAAGCGTCCCCAAGGCTAGAACTAAGACCAATTTTCACGAGGTAGTCCTTGAGCTGCTTTTCTCCCCATGAAACGAATCCAGGAGCTCTACGCGCACTGATCCAGGCTAAGTCCTTTCCTTCGCACTTTATCTCTATCCATCGCCTTCTATACTCTGCCACTGTGTTGAACTCCCGGAGAATCTTGATCAAGGCTGGGAGCAGACCCAGAAGAAGAACCAAGATGGTCAGAATAACTACACGGAGACGCGCATTTTCGGGGTCGGATGGCGATATAATTGCTCTGCGGGCCAAAACTTCAAGGTTTGCGGTGGTTACATTGCGGCTGTCAAGCAACCTCAAGAGACGAAGTAAGCTGAGATCAGAGAGGGTAGAGTAGCCCCCTTCAAAAATAGCAGCGGATGGAAGGTTGACATTGCACGGGGTGCTGATGAGATAGAGGGGAAGGGCCCCACCAAGGGCGAGGACAGACCAGCCTAGAACGATCAGGAACGCCACCCAGAGTGCTCGCTGGCCCATTTCTTCATCTGAAGGAAAGAGCTTCGCGTCTTGGGCTGCTGAGCGACCAGCATCTGATACGTCCGAAGGGACATCCGGGACGAATGGAACTTTAGGAAACAGGAAAGCGAAGAAGGATGAACCGAGAGGTTTGGGTCGGAGACTTCGCGGAACCAACGGTCAGTTCGCGTGTGTATGTTAAAAAAAGGCGTGTATGCTCACTCCTGTTGTACGAACCACTCTCTCAACGCGTATATTTGTCTAAAGCGCGGCCGTACAATAGCGAAAATTAGCTGGGGATATTCGTGGCGTCAGAGTGATACAAATTTATCAACCGTCACTGGACGCACCCATAAAATGAACCCGATAGCGCTCGGAAGGATTATAGCCGCTAACATTCCCGCTGCTGCTCCGTCAAACCCGTCTCCTGGGCATATAGACTCTACGGTGGAGCCCACTTGAGAAACCACGCCAGACGAGGCTGAGGTAGTGGTAGACGCTGAGTCTGAGAAAGCAGGTGACGATGAGCCCTGGGCCTGAGTAAAGACTGATTGCGAGAAGGATGTGAAAGTGGTGGCAGATTCGGTAACTGTTGTAACTGCGACAGTGGTGGTGAAGACTAGAGGTCCACCTCCACTTCCAGGCAGGGAGGGACTAATTGTAGATGATGGTTGGTCTGATGCAGAAGGAAAGGGGGACGTGCTTGGAGGTATCGCAGGTGTTGAAGTGGGGTTCGTGTCGCCCACAGAGGTTGCGGGCGTAGTGGTCGTTGTTGTTGGATCGTTAGTGATGTCATGACGGGGTCGTACACGGTATTGTTGGTATATGTCGGGGCTGCTCGCTGGGAGAGGCGTCGGCATGGAGGGCCACGATGGGCAAGGGGTATATGGAAGAGAAGGAAGGGACGGGAGTGTGCGAAGCAGCGTTGACCTTCGCGCAGGGCACCAACTTTTCAACCACGAACAGATAACCCAAAAAAGGCAACTGACCTGATTCCGATTGGCTCCTTTTACGCCTTCAGCAATCCAGCTGGTCGCAGGACTCTCAAAGCCTGGCCGTGAACGAAGTGTAGGTCGGAATAAGTATCGGCGGATGGGTGAAAATTAAAAACGAGGACAAGGGATTCCGGCGCGTGGAGACTATATCTGGATCTGGTGCTCGACGTCAGAACAAGCACGTTGTCTCCCAGGGAACCCGTGGACCACTTGACCTACTTGAGGGTGGGAGTAGAGAGCTTTTAGTGCGAGGTTGCTATAGATATTCATTATTGTGGAACTTTCTCTTCAAAATGCACACCTCGATAGACCTAATCTCTCAATTCTCTCGCCCGTAGGCGCTTCACTGTCCACTGCAGCTCATGTCGCCTTACAAGCACCGACAGTTCGGCCCGCAAAAGGTTGATTCTCTACGAGTCGAACGACCTTTAGACTTCAAGTTACGCACCGGAAAGAACTTTCTAGAGATCAGTACTCTCATAACGAGAAAAAAAAACTATGGCGTTCGGAATATTCAAAAGCGACGCAGCAGCGAGCTCACAAGAGGTCAAAAAAAGGAATTTGAAAGGTGCTGCGCGAAAGTTCACATGGCATGATGCCCTGCAGGACATCTCCAGCCAATCAACGGGCCATCTGCGAGTGTGGCGCGGCATAGGGACTAAGCGGCGGATGTCATCAACAATTATTGTCCCCATATTCCTTCCATATAGGCGCTGTTCGTTCAAGCCTTCATAAGCGCTCAAACGACACCCACAGAACTGTCTAATAACTTAATCTAAATTTTGCTGTTTAATTCCTACATGCTATAAAGCTATACACATAAAGTACATACAAACAACAGGAAAGGTGATGCAAAAACTTGGTACTAGCAGCAAACACGAGCGTAGGCTATTGAGGTTGGCAGCAGGTTCTAATGTACAATCCGCCGTTCCGGATCTTTTCTTGATCTTGTTTCGAATTTGACAACATGTGCATGACCAGGATTATGGTGTAACAAAGACCGTAGGATAGGGTGCCGAGGACGAAAGGGATAGTGATGCCAGTTGGTCTAAGGTATGGTACACGAGAGAGTGGAGAGCCGGTGGGCGTGATGACGATGGAGAACATGTTTGGACATGATGAGGATGTCGGTGTCGTGGTTGTGATTGCGACTCTAGTTGTTCCAGAGAGAGAGGATAGAGGGATTGTCGTCGAATGAGAGGAGGAATGGAGGGAAAAGGAGAGAATAAAGAGTGTGTTGCGTGTCATAACAAACGAAGAGCATGAAAAATGAAAGCGAATAGAATAAATGAGATCCAGAACAGTCCGGACGAAAAAGCACGAGAACAGCAGCTGAGGAGAAATGCGAAGGAGCGTGGTCTATGCAAGTCGCGTTGCATGCAAAAGAGAGTCGAAACCAAAAGGAAAACGAATTGCCGAATATGATGGTGATGTAAAAAAAAAAAAAAGGTAAAGGAAGTGCAAAGTGCAGCGTCCAGGAATGAAAATCGTGGAACCGAGTGATCGTTCAGAGCATTAGGCCTTCTTCCCTGTCGATTTACCGACCAGTTTTCCCACCAGCCCATGCTCCGTCTTGATAGCCTGGAACACCCTGATCGTACGAATATGCGTCAGCTCGTCGTCCTGGTGCTGCCCATCGAACGACTCCGCGCTGCTCGTACTCTTATGTCCGTTCGAATGAATGCTCGGGGAGCTGTTCCCATCGGAGTGGGATTTGGTCAGCTTGTCAGGCCGCGGGGGCTTCGACGTCGGCGAGGGTGATGAAGAGCGAATGGAAGAGCCAGAGGAGCCAGAGGACGAGTGTGACCCTTTGAGGCTGAGAGGAGCATCGGGGCTGGGGCCATTGGAGCTTGGAGGGGTAAGTGTCGTAGGAGAAGGAAGGGCGAAGGAGAAGGTGCTGGCGTTTGTCGGGTCGTCTTCGTACGGGTCTGCAACCTCGTCAGGCCAATTGAAGCGTGCTCGCCTGAAGCTAATCCAAAGCACGCATCAGCACTGGGCCTGACTCTTAGAAATAAACTAGAAGTAAAACCACGACATACCACTCATATTCCCAGACCGCCTCCGCAAACTCCTTGTCCTTCACAAACTTCCTGCCCTCCTCGTCCCTGAACCCACGCACAAACTCAGACAGCGCCGGGCGGCATCCAAGGAGTGTATGAACGTACTTGCACGCGTGCATCTCCAGTTCGGCTGGGCCCATGGCAATGTACTGCCCGGTGGACACGAGGATGCCCGGTGACTGCACCGGATGGTGCTCGCTATCCCCGGCGTTTATCCAGTGGCGGTTGCGTGGCAGGGTGGCGTCGTCGCTGACGTGCCGGCGCGAGGAGGCGGTCGCGGCGGCAAGGGCGGTGTAGGAAATCCCGAGTCTGCCGGCGGCCTTGGCACTTAGGATCGGAGCGCCTTTGCGTGGTGGTTGTGTCTGTGAAGATGTGATAGGTGGCGGCACTGGAGGAGGGGTCACGAATGCCGTTGGGCTCAGGAACGGTGTTGACTTGGACTTCGAGATCGACATTGTCAGTGGTGCGGTTTTAGATGTCGAGGAGGGTGGAGTGGGTGTGGTCGGCCTCGCGGTCGTCGACATCGGCGTAGGAGTTGTCATTGTTGTCAGAGGAAACTTGGCCGTGGTGGGTGTCACCGTTTTGGCTGTTGACGGTGTCGGCGTAGCTGTCAAGGGCGTCTCTGAATTCCCGTTCACAGCGTTTGGCGTAGGCGGAGCAGGGGGAGTGCGCGTAAATGACTTATCCAGCGTCGGGCTGAGACCAGGTTGATAGTCCAACCCGAGTCTGCCTGCTGCCTTTGCGTTGACAGACGGCGGGACAGGAGTCCAGACTAAAACCGTTGCCTCGGCGGATCTGGGTACCTCAAGACTCGACCGTTTGCTCGAGCTGCCACTGCCACTCCCAGAGCCTTTCTTCCCAGTACCCGTCCACTTCTCCTTCTCCTCCTTCTCCTTCTTCACCTTAGGCTGCTTCGGCTGTTTCTCCCAGTCTATACCAATGGCTGACGGCTTCCAGGGCTTCAACCCCTTCTTCACACTCGCGAACGAGGGCGAGTCCGAGTTCGCAGCAAATAAGTCCTCCCTCTCGGCGTCTGCTCTCGCCTTCGCCTCCTTCGCCTTAGCCTGAGCAAGCAGCCCGATCGGAGAGTCCATAGCGGCAAGCTTGATCTTGAAAGTCTTGGTTTTCGCGACGCTCTTCCCGAAAATGTCGACTACCAGTTCAGAAACGAAATCAAAGGGTTCGGGCATAATGTTAAATCGCTGCTTGAGCATCATTCTGAAGATAGCTTCGAGCTCGCGCGCAGCGATTGACTGATTCTGCCATGCTGCATGACGAGAGTACCTGGGGTATGTGGTCGACTGGATTGGCCTTGGTCGTGTCTGGAAGACGGCTGTCTCTGAAGGCTGCATGTGGGGCGGTGATGGGGTACGTAGACAGGCGGTAACATTCAGTGGTCGGACAGTGGGTGATTCAGATAGCGAATTTTCTCTATCTTCAAATGAGGATGGAAGGGAACCTCCTTCACTGCTATGAAGCGTGGACTCGGTGTCGCCTGAGTCATCGTGTAATGTATCGTCGTCTTCGCTAAAGCCGAAGTCGTCATGAAGGTCGTTAACTGAGGGTGTGAGAGAGGAAGGCGGATCTTTCGGCGCAGTGCCGCACGGAAAGAGCATTTCGTCGTCGATGAATTCGAGGCGACCACCGTCGGTTAGAACGCGACGAACTTCGGACAAGAGAGAGCCCCACTGCTCGTAGGGAATACAAAGGACAAGATTGGCCATTCGGACGAAGTCAAAGGACTTGTCGGGGAAGGGCAATCTGTAACGAAGGCTGGACAGACGATGAAGGATCGACCTCAAGACAAGAAACAGGCAACTCACAAATTTCCTTGTACAAATTCGACGTTCTCCATGGTCTCGAATGCAGCAAGAGTAATATCTACGAGGTCGAATCCAGTAAATTTGGTGTTTCTCCAGACATTTGCTCCGTGCAATATCCAGTATCCTGGACCACAACCCAAGTCTAGGACGTTAGCAGGAGGCTTCTTCCCGTAGTCGTAGAAGGACGGCGAGCCATTGGACAGTCGCTGGAATAATATATCCGTATATCGATCGCTAGAGCATAGTCAGAATACAGGATACAGCGTAGAAAATGCGAATATATGCACCTCTCGAGTAGAATGGGATCATAAGCCTGCATGTACGGTGCATCGCCCTGGTATGGATGAAGTTTCATATTATGTCGCTTTGCCCAGATGCTCTTTGGGACGAAGTGTTGGGTGGGGTCGACATCGCCCTGTTTCGCGTTCCTAAGCATATGCTTACGAGAGGATAGCTTTTGGGTATCCTCCGGCTTCTGCGGGGGACTGAGCGACGGCGAATGAGAGCGGAGCGGGGAATCATCCGAGGACGGAGAATCAGAAGAATTAAATAAAGAAACCATTGAGCGTTTCTTCTTGACGCGGGGGGCGACAGGGGCGAGTCTGGAGGAGGAGGGAGAAGAGTCTTGGGCATTTGGGGGAGCGAGACTGTCACATAGCGGGCTCGGAGTGGTGGGTCTAGGATTGGAGACAACACTGTCCGTTACCTTGATAGGAAGGAGGCGGCATGCTTCCGTCCTCTCCTCCCGCTCCCGCTCCCTCTTCTTCCCCCGGTCCATGAAGTTCATCCCCATCCCCATCGCAGCGAACGCCTGCAGACCACCGATCGACGATACGCGCTTTCTGCAGGTGGCTGGCGGGCCGTCGAACTCAATGTACGGCGACTCGGTGTAGAGGGTCGAGAATGGGCGGTAGTGGCTCCTCCGGCGCGCGTGGCCGGGCGGTGGGGTGTTTGGCGACGGAGGCGACGGAGGGCTGACCTTGCGGTGAAGCGGGTCCCAGTCGGAGGGGATGATGTAGGAGAACGGGCGGACCGAGGCCATTGTGTTTGAGCGATATAAAGGCCTGGTGGATTGTCAAAGCGGCCTGGCAGGCGGTGTGGCTTTGTCTAGCGGGCCAGCAGAGAGCAGTCGGGCAATGGCGAGGAGAGGGAGCATGTGGCCCCGATCTCTGACCGCTATTCAGTATATGTGTTTTGAGTGTGTTTTGAGCTGTCCCGTTCCCGTCTCCCCTTTCTTCCAAATTTGGTAAATGCATACCCGGTACCCATTCCCCAAGCCCGGCCCGCCGCACTACGCACCCAACACCTCCACATTGCTCTCACAGATAACCACCCGGGCCAGCGACAAACGGGCCAACTGACAGTCATCACTTATGCTCATCACCCCAGGCAGTGTTCATCAATCGAATCAACTTCGACATATGATATAGACGTCAGACGTTCTGCAATACCCATAAATAACCAGGGTAAAACAAGACCAATGCGCCGCGTCCATAGTTACACGAAGGCCAAATATCTATCCTTAATCGTCGTCCTTCTTCGGTGGAGGCCCGCACGGCTGCAGCATCCGCTATATAAGACAGATAAGAAGCGCCTGCAATAGTCAACAACGACGACGCACCTCTGTCATCTCAAACTTAATCCTCCCAATCGCCTCTCCGTCTGCTATCGCTAGGTAAGAAGCCAGTGTCGGGTGACCGACGATCGACGAGAGTGTGTCACGGTGCTGGTGTGTGAGCCATTCGCTTGGAGAAAATGTCAGCTTGGGCAGACCCAGGTTCTGCGCTGGGAATGGACATACTATTTTGACAAATCGGCATGACCTGTAGATGTTCGCTCCAGTCAGCCCGGTTCAGACCCGTGTCGGGAGGATGGAGACTCACCAGTGCCGGTGTAACGTGCGTGGACTGTTTAGCTTTTCGTTAGTAATCGAACGACTTCTGTGAACGGGGGAGACTGACGGTGCTCTAGCTGTGTATTAGCAGTATACCTAAGTTCGGAAGACTGTTAGAAAACCACAAAAAATCAGCAAAAACTTTGCAGAGAACGAACGAGGTGACTGACCATGACGAAGTAGCGTGTTGATCCTTGTTGACATTGGTCTTCCTGACCATCACCGTCTCTCCGCCCACGGCCTGCTCCTCTTACTCCCAGTTCCCGAGTCGACTGTTGGATTACGTCTATTTTTGCCCACAAAGTATTCATCTGCATAGTGTGCAGATTATGTAAAGCGTGCATTGTACATGATACATGAGAAGTAACCCACATCGTGTCGATGAAGAGAATAGCATACGCAAATAAATTGCGAGACTGCTGAGAGCGCGCAGATTCCATAGCGCGACCCAGGCTTGCGTGGATATACGAGATCGAACCAACCAGAGAGGATGGAACATCTTCGCCGTGCATCTTCCAGGCAGTTGAAGCGAGGAATGTTCATCTGAGGTATTAATGCTGCCATCAACTTTTCGTTGCAGTTGGCATGACCTTCAAGAAAGAGTCAAAGATCTCAAGTTGATCTGAATGAAACAAAAACATACTTAACGTTTCTATGTGGGACAAAGACAGCCAGGCTCCTTACTCTGTTCCTGGAGAGGAGCATCAGGGAATATGTTCTGCAACAGTTTATCATCTAAAGCAGATGCAGCGGGAGGAGCGAAACTTTTTTCAAACGTTGCATCACTTGCGATTTTCTGTGCCACGCTCGTGATAGTCTGCGTGTACATCTTACGGAGGGGCTTCAAGTTCACCTGTGCCAACGCAGTTCTCAGCACAGCAGATGCTGGATAAGCCCTCTGGATGGGTCGAACGATGAACTGCTCGACATCTTTGTCAATCCCGGGCTTCATGTCAAAAAATGTACGTGGCGAGTATATCTCCTGCGCGCCAGGCTTCCAAAACTGTGCCCTAAACGCCGATAAGAAGTAGGCCCTCTTGTAGTGAACTTGCAGGAGTGCATCTGACTATTGGAAAGTACGGCGGACGATCATACGGCGGCCTTTGCTGACTGATCAGACGGGTATTAGCCATTGGTGACTTGCATTGGTGACAGAGCGAGAGGGCTACAACTGTATATGTACCAATAAACTACTTAAATTGTCCATTAAAAGAAAAGGGAGAGGAGGGCGGGTGATGAAAAAAGAGGGTAACGAGGGTATGGATTAGATCAAAATCTAATCAATGGATGTTGTCAGATGATGAGCGAGGGATGGCGGAGCCAGGAAGGGTGCAGAGCCTTACTGTGAAATAGATAGGCGCCCAGATGGCGGAGCCATGAGCGAGCTGAGGGACAGTAAGGCTCAAGATGAGAGAGGAGAGAGTGGAAACTCACAATAGGATAGTGAATAGATGAGAATAAGATAAACAAGATGACAGGAGGGATTCACTATCCAGATTGTGAGCTTAGGATGCCCGCAAGAGCAAGAGAGAGGAGGGCTTACCTGCACTGCAGAGATGGTGGTTGATAAGAAAGAAAGAGAGGGGGCGCAGTGCAGGTGTCAACCGTGGTCACACTCACGTGCCATACCGTCACAAGTCTAGCATCCGCCAAAACAATGGCACCAAGCTGCAATGACACGCAAATGGACCAGGGAAGGAGAGAGAGGTAAGAGAGGATATTGATCCGAGAGGCCAGAGGCCTCCGAAATTGCTCCTTTCCCTTGGAACCCGCATTTACGTCGACCTCTGCTGACTGATCAGACGGGTATTAGCCATAAACGGAGGCACACGACCATGTGCCTCCAGCTTGCATTGGTGACAGAGCGAGAGGGCTAAGGGTGTAGAGATGTTGTGTGTGGGGGATGGAGGAGGTGTAGAAAGATGAGAGCGAGGTCATGAGGGGTGAGGAGAATAGAGGTGTCGAAGGCGCAGCGCTGCGAGTTGAAGTTCTGCCCGAATAGTTGGGTTTTCGCGCACATAAATTTTCCAGGCTGCTGACAACCAGCATCCAATCGCTTGGATGACATCCTCAGACACTCCAAGAGAAGCATAGAAGGTTGCTCCCCCTGCTCGAGGTGAGTGACCACCAAAGGTTCAATCAAGAACAGCAAAAAACTTTGCATCAAACCAAGAGCGTGTAGGATGGCTTCCGTCTTCCTTCAAGAAAAGTGCAACATTGGTCCCATGAATGCTGTCACGGAGGATGACATATTCCTTGAGGAGGGAGACTGGATCCACCACATCTTGCGAGCTATGCAGGATGTCTGATCCACAGTAGAAACGATCCGCCTTATGATAAGGCAATCGATATTGTGCACGGCCATCGACAAAGATGAGGGAGGAGCGACGAATTATCTTACGCAAATCAAAGAGACATGAGTCATTCTTCTGAACGAGTTCGCCGCTTCAATGACAAGCATAAAAGCAGCAAGAAAGAATGGTGATGAAGAGTAGATCATCATATGACTTAGAGTCTCTTGCTATCTTGAGAAAGGCTGAAAGATGTTCAAGCCGTAATGGGAGTTTGCAGCGGATAGGATTGGCTCAGGTCTTCATCGAGCCACGGATTGTTGCCTGCACAATTGGGTGAGAACGACTGCTATCAAACTCTGGATAGAAATCAGCGAGGAAATGGTGAGCTCCAGACAGGTATTTTGGGCCAGAGGCGATGAATTGAGAGGTGTAGGCAATGTAGCAGGAAAGTGTCTGAGGTATTGGCTTAATTGGAAGAGAATGTGTTATACAAAACCGAAGGTAGTCGCGTGTGCCAGTCACATAACCTTGGGATGTGGACTTCTCAATCACGGTGTCAGGCTTCAACATTGTTTTGACTAAAACAATGTATTTGCTGCTTGCAATCAATTCACAAAAATATATCAATAAAGACACATGACCATGTTTCAAAGGATGTGATCTGACACATATGGATTAGTCAAGTCTATGACAGCTTAGTCATCATTGTAAATATGCTCCCAAAGACTTGCTATACTTTCACAATGCTTAGGTCATCTTTCTTACAGGCTGACTCAGACACTTACTAAGTTTTACATCCAAAACACTGTCGCATAAGTGCCAAGAACATAAACTCTATGTGCTTACCAATATTGAGCCTCAAACTGAGTCTTCTTGGCTCAATCTGAAACTCAAAAGACATAAAATGCTGTGCAATGCTATGCAAAACAAGCCCTCGGCTTAAAATGTGAAACACGAAACAAGTCCTTGGCTTAAATGTGAAACATTCACACACCTATGCAGCCACATTTAGAAATAGTATAAGTAGTAGACCAAATTGTCCATAGAAAGAGAATAACAATCCCAGTTTATCCAGTATCAAGAGACATCTCTCTGCAAACTAAGCTACTTAAAGCTTATTCTGACTTCAGTCAATTGTATCAACGTAAACCAGTCTGCACCAATTGCAGACCATCAGTATTGAATTATCACCGAAACTTCCTTGACAGACACCATTCCGTCTTATCGCACTCTGTCATCTACTTCCTGTCTTCAACGTCAATCAACTATCCGCACTTCCATTAACCGCCAAAGCGAACGCAACTACTACCAAGCTACCTGTCATAACTGTCATCGTCCTGTACCTTGCCGAAATATTCCACCATCTCAACGTCAAAGTAGATATTATTGTCATTGTGGAAATCGCCAGACAATAATTAGTCGAGTATCAAATCCCAGACAACATCAACATTGTCCACAGCAACCAACTTCAAGATCTTCTTCTAACAGATCTTCACCAAATCCGTCATCTTCCTTCCAACATCTAAACTTCTCCTTACCAATTGAAGTTCGAATCCAATTTCGACCTGGTAATCAAAGACCTATTGTCCAGTATCGAATCCCCAGGCATTAATTCTACGTGCCTATCTTAAGTGAAATATTACATTTTACTTACACTAATTGAAGACTATACAAATACTCTTCAATTACATCCTTATATCTTGGAACTTAGAACAATACTTCTGTCTAAGGCCCATCTACAAATATTACCATTCTAGTCGAAACTGATTAGTGGAACCTCCCTCATTGAACGATAGGAATATCCTGAACAAAGCAAGTTCCGGTAAACCCTAGTGAAAGTATTTTTCACGCTGACAGTGGACACTTGCAACCAAAGGGTCCTGTGGTCAAGGTGAGCCAAGTCCATCATCCGGCGACGGGGGTGAGATGAATGTGAACGCAACTTGCCCCTGCCGAGTGCAGCTAAAAGCACTCCCTCCAACGCGCCGGCAGGAGGACCCTTGGAGGGTCAAAGAGCTGGACACGGTCTGCAGGGAAACGCCGATGAAAGTCCTCAAGGAGGAGACGTGAAAGCATATCAGCGCGAATGTTATCCTTTCCAGGAATATGACGGACACAAAGGTCAACACCTGAGGTCAGAATAACCTATGTGATACCTAAGAGGGGTGCATTGTGCTGATCTTCAGATGCCGCAAGCGAGTTGAGCAGTCCAACTGCATCCAAACTGTCAGTAAACAGAAGAATGCGACGTGGTGGAGATTTAAAAGACGCAACGTGGAAGATGGCTGACATAATGGCGATCAGCTCAAGGAAGAAGATGTCAATGGCAGTACCAGGAGGAGGTGGCCGGAGTTGGTACACAAACCCATTACCACTATAGTAAAAGCTCAAGGCAAGACGGAGACTTGCATCCGTCCAGAGAACAATGTCAGCCTTGTTGTCCATCCAGTTGAGACTATCCACGAAGCGAACACCAATAGCATGGCGAATGACACCTGCCAACCATGTCAGCTCTTCGCGAACCGTTCAGTTCAGGAAAACTGGGCTTGAGCTGTGAGTCTTTTCTCGTATCTTTTGGAATAACCCTGAAAGTGCAGGCCGCCCACATGGAAGCACGTTAAAGAGCCAATTCAGGTGCCCACCAAGCCGCTGCCAATCACAGAGAATAGGTGAACATTTGGGATGAGTGAGGAAGGAGGTAATGTGCGTCACAATGGTGTCAACGGAATCAGGGGGAAGTGAGATGCTACCACGATTGGGATCAACCCAGAAACCAATGATTTTTAGACAATCACCATCCTCTTGCTTCCTGTCCTCATACGGGCATCCGATAGCTTCCCAGAATGTGAGCAATAGAACCTGCCAACAGGGGCGGCGACGACCATGAAATTTGATGAGGTTGTCGGCGAAATCCCAACCGTAAAAGTCATCCATGTAGACGAGAAGTCCTTCAATGCCAAGCTTCTTAACTGCAATCCAGCAGAGTAACCCTGACAATGAGCAAAAAATGCGTGGAGAGGCTCGGTTTCCGAAAACGAGTCGCCAAACAATGTAAAACTTTCCGTCAACCACAACTATTTGTCGGAGTTGCCATAAAGGATGGGCAGGGAGGTTCAAGAAAGCTGAGGCGATATCAGACTTCCACATGACAAGTCTTTGCCCATGATGCTGGCATCGAGCATTAAACAAGATCTGTCCAAAGATGCGCATGTCGTCATAGTGCACTTTCGCTTCGGTTCTTGGGATACCGTCATTCAGACCTGAAGCTGAATGGTCAGTGATGACATGGGGTTTTTCCTTCTGCCATGCCACAAACATGGGCGACGACATCATCCCCGGAAGAAGATCTGTGATTGGTAGTGGGTCTGACCACCTCTCCACAGCGAGTTCTTTGTCGCAAAAGGCTCAAATGGCATCAAGGTCTTCAACCTCAGGCGCAAAGTTGGACAAGGGTTTGGTAGCATCCTTATCCCAGTCCCCATCCTCAAATGGCCAGAAACCTTCACGAAGGCCACGGATAACTGAGTCAACAAAAGGATGATTGGGGTGATCAGATAGAAGAGATTCAAGGCGATCAATGTTGAATGGGGTGTCAACCTTGACAAAGCCTTGCATTGCAGAAAGAGAAGAGATCAGTGCAGGGTCATCAATGAGATGAGAAGGTGGAGATGGCAAAGGAGGAGCAGATAAGGTTAAAAGAGCGGCCGGAGATTCACAGAGAGAAGCAGAGTTGGACCAGACAAATCCGCGGCGATAGCGAGGTGGTACATCCAGGGGCGCTGCTGCCGGACGCTTGAGATTCACATCTGTCTTGACGAACTGCTTAGGCCCCACTGCCGCTAGGTCCGCTGCCCTCTGCGCCACCAGAGCGAGCTCCTTTTCCTCTGCAAGTTTGGAAAGCAGCATAGCACGCTGCGACGTCTCTTGCTCGGTGCTGACCACCACACTCACTACAGAGACCATGCCTCCGACTGTTCTTGCACGGTTCACTGCAGATACCCAAGTTCCAATTATAGCAAGGAACTGTTGGACGTTTTGGTGGAAGCTGGCCACCCAGAGACGAATCAGACTGCCTCTTTGTCCCACGGAAAACCTGACCCAGGATCGACACAAATGATTGGGCCTTGTCATCCAGCCGATAAGGACTCTTTGCATAACGTTGATGGCTTTCGAGGTCGAAGCGTATGCCATTTGAAGGATCATTCGGGCAGGCACAGAAAACATCAGAGACCAGGTGGGAATAGGCTTGGAGCTCTTCCAATCGATGAGGATAGAGGAGGATGGTTCCTTTGCGCCAGGCAGCGAAAACTCGAATCCAATCGGCTTTGGTCCGAAGGGTCTTTTTAGCGGTTGCGAGCTCCTTCTTGACAAGAGCAAAACCACCCCCAAAATCCTTCGGATCATCATTGTGATTGTAGTTCGGATCCATCGAGGCGAACAGCTTCTCGAAATCAACATATTGGTCCTGTACAAGCAATCTCCAGATGGAGCGAGGGAGTGGTTGATCAACAGGCTGGGCTTGAAGATGGTCAACGATGCTGTTGATGGTCTCTTTTCCAGCGAAAAGGAGTCGGAGTCTCCATGTTTCGTCCAGGTGAGGGTCCTTGATAGTGTTGGATGATAGGTTCTGTAGGTGTGGAGCACCATCCAAAACCATCGAGGGGATTGACCGAGATGTAGATGCACTGGATCTGTCAAAGATTTTGAGGAGCTCCAAGAAGGATCCTTTCCCAGCTGAAGAATTGGGCCTCGCCGCCATGGTAGCAAGTTTCGCCAAAACAAGCTGCCACTCAGCAGCGTCGACAGCGCGGCGGTATCGGTCAGCTTCCTCTTCATTGCCCTGGGGCTGCTCTCCAAGGAGGGAATCACGCTTCTGTCGGAACTCAGCAGCTTCGTCCTCATTGAGACCCTCAGGGGTACCCTCACATTCCCCCTCGATCTGTTGAGATCCTGGACCTTTGACGCTACCATGTTGGGCTTTGAACAGCTGAATGAACTGTTTCCCGAAATCCTCAGCCTCCTTATGTGTTGCTCCAGCACCCTTAAGGCGCTTCGAGAACATCAGCGACAGTGCTCTTCGCCTCGACGGCATCCTCGATGACTTTTTCGAGGCGCTCGATGCGAGCTCGCACATCCTCGATAGCTTGCTCACGATCATGAGATTGAGGTTCGGTAGTCCCATGTTCCATCATCAGATGAGATGTAGATGGACGCGGATGAAATTCGAGTTGCAATAATGATGAAAAAAGAGGGTAATGAGGGTATGGATTAGATCAAAATCTAATCAATGGATGTTGTCAGATGATGAGCGAGGGATGGCAGAGCCATGAGCGAGCTGAGGGACAGTAAGGCTCAAGATGAGAGAGGAGAGAGTGGAAACTCACAATAGGATAGTGAATAGATGAGAATAAGATAAACAAGATGACAGGAGGGATTCACTATCCAGATTGTGAGCTTAGGATGCCCGCAAGAGCAAGAGAGAGGAGGGCTTACCTGCACTGCAGAGATGGTGGTTGATAAGAAAGAAAGAGAGGGGGCGCAGTGCAGGTGTCAACCGTGGTCACACTCACGTGCCATACCGTCACAAGTCTAGCATCCGCCAAAACAATGGCACCAAGCTGCAATGACACGCAAATGGACCAGGGAAGGAGAGAGGTAAGAGAGGATATTGATCCGAGAGGCCAGAGGCCTCCGAAATTGCTCCTTTCCCTTGGAACCCGCATTTATGTCGACCTTTGCTGTCGGACATGTTAGGCTTAGACAAGGACATTAGATAAGGAGCCTTAGATAAGATTGACAATCGGTGATAAAAATAGCTACTGGCGTGTCGAGCTCAACGACAGTGATGCGCCTCATATCCACGCATCGCTTCTGGGCAAGTGGGTACCCTGCTGACATTCATAGATATATTTTGTCTGAGTTATTGACCTATATACGACATGTGCTAAGTCTCGCCTTGCCCCACCCATAGGGCCACCCCTCCTCTCTAAGAGAACCTAGAAACCTCGCTTCCTCGCTCGTCCGCCTTGCCCCAACCCATAGGGGCTGCATTGATCCTCGCCCTACCTATGTCCAATCCATCTCGCATGTTCTCCCCACGGTCCATGTTCTGGGAGACAGCATGACTGCAATGACTTCTTGTACACAAAGGCGAGTAGATTACTCACCATATTGTCAGCCATTCCCTCTCACACCCCCTGGCATAGCCTCTTATCCCATATGCAGAGGAAAGGCCCCACGGCATTCTCCTCATTGTCTGCCTCTCGGTGAGGACGTCTCAGACTTGGTGATGCCACGCAGCGCTTGTGTCCCACTAGTTCTATGGCGCGGTTAGACAGAAATAATGGGGACTTCGAGGGGGGGTGGAGGGGGGCGAACTCTTAATTGGTGTGTGCTTCGTGCTCCATGTAGCCATTTGTTAGGTAGACGGAGAGGACGGAGGGAAGGGCACTCTAGATTGCAACTAGAAAGAAATGAGAGTTATTATGACGCTCAAGTCATATAAATGGCTGACTTACTGGTCGGTATTTCCATACAGTGTTCGCAGTGCTCAAGTCCATGTTGATGTCCTCGTCAATGCCACCAAGTGTATAAGTGATGGGGTGTTGTGCACAGAACCTGCCCTTAACTCATGAAGCGAAAGAAACAGATGGGCACCACTGCAAGCTGGGTGGTTGGTAAGTGCATACCCATTTGCCAAATACATGCTGTGCTGACCTACTTTATAACCTTGTCATTTGGTACTCGACCAAGCAAGGACATGCCAAAGTCTCTTCCATAATGGCGACGGTGTTAAGACCCTCCTGGCTCGATAGCGCTTGATACAGGTGAGATGCGGGTGCTGGCCTGAGAGAGAGAGAGTTGAGACGTGATGCGAGGAGGCACGTGGCCCTTGGACACATGCACAGCGGCAGCAGCTGCCATACACGTCCAGCAGGCAAGTACGCTGGACTTTCCAAATCTCAGATTCTTACACTTGCAGGAGCCTGTGACGGAAACTGTTGAATCCAGACATCAGGAGATTTTGATCAAAGGGATACCACCTCATGATCTCCACGTTTCCTGCTTCTGTGTCATGCAAGACACGTGTGTCTGGAGACATAGCAGGGTCCACTAGCCAGTTGTTTGGGCTGTGAGTTGTTCTCATGTACGCATTCCGGATCTTCAACCACTCGATATCAAAGGCTGCCCAGTGGCAAGAAGCTCTATATCACCAAATGTTAGGAGACCAGAAGTTTTGAGAAAGATGCATGAAGAAATCATGGCAAGCAATGAACTCTGCCCGCCACCAAGTGAAAAAAAGTCAAGTGATCAGATTGATCAGAGCTTGAGGTGACTTGTAATGACACTGCCGGAGGGAGCTGATTCGACTGATATCAGGTATGAGAGGTGGCAAATATTTGGAGCGTTGGGAAAATTGTAGTGAGGATGTAAAAGAGGGGGACTGTTCCTGCTGCAACTATGTTTGGGATCGCCACAAGTTTTGACTGGGAAAGTAAGAGTTGAAGGAGGCCCACAAAGAACAGCAGGAGGGCAAATTCCAGGAGAATTGGGAGGGTTGTAACAATGTGCCTGAGGCCCACTTCTTTATCCCTTCGATCCTTGTATGCAGAATTCTGAGGGCTATTTCTGGAATTCTTGCCTTGCCGTTGTATGTTTGATGCTCTCTCAACCAGTGCAGGACAATGATTCCAATAAGTGCCGCCGATAAGTTTAGGATCAGGCTGAGGAAGAACAGGATATTCATGCTGGCGGTTGTTGATGCTGAATCCAAGGAGAATTCTGTGAGACCCAGGGAGGCAACAGTGTTGTTTGAGCTGGACATTTGGGCAAGAACTTGGCCAAGGAGGAAGTTGGTCACTTCTTGAGGATCAGGTTGAAGTTGGGGGTACGTTTCTACTGCAAATGATGTGACGACCGCTGAGAAGAGACCAGCCACCAGCATGTCAGCCCTGGATTCTCCAGCTGCCAAAAGCAATCGCCCACTGACAAAAACCAGAAGATTCTGCACTTCATCCCTCCAGGCCTCGCATTGGAGCTTGTCATCTGACAAGAACATCTGGAGAATGGGCTTAGTTGGGTTTTGTTGGGGACTTGTCTCCATTTAACCCTACATCCCATGAGCAAAGTTAAGATCAGATTGGAGATTTCTTTCAAGGATCATTGCGACTCACAATAGGGAGATTGGCAGTTTTTTGGAATGTGTTTGACGCCACAGGTGACCAGAGATGACCAAAGGTGGGCATTTGGTCAAGAATCAAGCCCAAAAGCAGCACTCTGCCTTATTCAATGTTTGTGCCCCTGCAATTCCAAAATCTGAAACACGAGGCCAAGAGGCCTGGGCGCTTACATTCAAAAAAGGGCATACTTAGTACAAAGTGAACAATGGGTGTAGATGTACCAAGCACCTGCAGAATGGTAGCAATAGTGATCATTGTGTCCTCTTCTCCCAAAAATCATAGTTGCAGGAGTGCATGGTGGCAGGGATAGAAACTGAGGGTCAGACTGGGCCTGGTTGGGCTGTTTATATAAAGACTTCCTATTGGACAACATTCCGTGGCAAGGGACACCTTCCCGGATCATGACTATGGAAAGTGGGATTGATCTGCTCAAAGTTTGGTCATCCAAACCTCGGCAACGATGATGGCCGACATGTTAGCAAGCTGCAAATATGAAATTATCAATTTCCCTTCTTCCCTTGGTCCATGAAATAATGAAGGGAGTACATTTAATCGGCTAGAAATGTTCGCATCCTCTGAAGATATATACGTCGCTCTACTGGTGACTTTGAGGATCCGGGTCTGAGTAAAAAGGTGTGAAAATATTCAGGAAGGTCCGCGAGATGGCCACTGCCCCCGGTGCATTGAGTCACTTGGGGCACGTCATTATTTATGGTTTATGATGCTGTACAGCTCCGACATGCGACCTTATGGTCTTCGAGCTCATCAACTTCAGGCAATAGAGAAACTCACCATTAATGTCATTGCGATGGCTCAGTGAATACCAGGTCCAGTGAGGCTGGTGTAAGGAAGGAAGGTTGGATTACCAGCGAGGTCCCAATGAGGAAGGGTGCATCAGGAAAAACCTTTTTGTCTTAGGTTGTCTTGAGGACAGGCTAAGACTACAGTAGATGTTATTCAGGATGTTTTATTTTTTTGTTCTGTTCACACTTCATGTATTGGAAGAAGACTCAATTATATTTCTCTATCTAATGTACATTGAACAGATTACACTAATAGTAGTACTGTATGCTATAATACAATCCCCTTCTACTGAAATATGCACTCACCCATAGCATAGAAAGAAGATATCATAATCTAGATATATAGTCAGTAGGATGAAGACAAAAAAAAAATAACGACTCACTCTGGTACCCATCGTGCTGCCACCTGACTCACAAATTCTCACTTTCCCAATTCTTGTGTTGCCACTCCTTCAATTCTCTTCTTGTCCTGCACCATGTTCTGGAATATGTTTATGAGAATCTAATCATTGAATGAAAAAGAAACAAGTACATACCTGTTGTTGAGACCATGAACTGGGGGCTACGCAGGTATGCACTAGGGCTGGGTGCCGGGCCGTAACTAGACAGCCATATGGCATCGTAATACGGTGACGGCCCCATACTGTATCAAGGTTCGGCACCTGGGGAGACGGTTCGGCACAGGTCATGTGTTATGCCATCTTAACCGTCTCCGTATAGCCGTTACAGACGTATTTACGGAGTGTAATAAGTGACTAGTATCCCACAATCAGATGTTCTTGTTGATCAAGCCCGCATGCAAATCTATGAGAACTTGTCCTCCGTTTCTCCATCCTCCACCTGCATTCGACATGAGCACCCTATCCGAGAGCTCAAAGCTGCTCCCTATGAGTTGAAACCCACAGACGTTGCTCACAATATGCCCTTCAGCCAAGCAGGCAGGCAGTGCCAGTGTCAGCTCATACTCGGAGCTTTGGCCTGCCTCGAGGCTCAATCCCATGATGACAGCCTCCACATTGATTGCCTCGCCCTCGCACCACGTCTTGTACCCTCCTATCTACTATCATGTTGATTCTATATTCTCATGCCCATTTACTCGTCATCCAGTACACTCCAGCCAAGTAGGGAATTGGACATGGGCTTAATACACGATGGACGGTTGTTGGTCAGTTCCCCATTTGACATCACCATTTGAAGCACCACTGATATCAACATTAGTTCATATTTTTCTGGGATGAGAGGCACAGAAGTGGTCTGCTGCAGCACTGGAGACATGACATTGAGTCAGGTGAGGTGCGCACAATTTCCTTTTTTGAATTTGCGGAAGCATCTGACAGTGTTCCATAGCACCGACATACAACGGCTCCAAGAACTATACAGTACAAAGCCACCGTAATGGTTACTCCCGACGGCCTGGCAGGATCTTGTACACAGACCTGTGTCTAGTTCAGAGCCGCAATACATCATGGCGGTTACTGAAGTCTCTTTGTGTGATGACAACGTTGAGTCTCGGATTGTAAAGTTCAAGTCAGGTAAAGTTTTTCTTGCTCAGTTATTCTTTGTGAGCTGAGTAGTCTTTAGCAACACACGGCTGCTTCAAGCCGAGCCATCCCGAGTCTCTCAACTTCAACGGAGTTCACTGGATACTTCTCAATGTTGTTCTTTTTGCTGCACCCTCGCTTGTGCTTCCGATGGTGTCTCTCATATGTAGCATACTCCAAGTTTGCCACCCCATGAATGTTGTAGGCCTTGTCTTTCTGTGTTTTTTATCGGGCTGCATGAATGTTATTCTTGGTTTGTGAATTAATTGATTCACCTTCATTGCTGAGAACTAATTTCATAACAGGCAACTGGATCATGCCCTCCATCCTTCGTTATGACCGGATTGTGGCCGCATGTCTGCAGACTGCTCGTCGGCACTGCACCCACTGGACCTTCACCACACCATGTCAATGGCACTAGTACTTTCAACCATCAACCCGATCAATTTTCACAATATTTTTGGTGGGCTTATTGGCACACTCACTTGCTCTTTGTAAGTCTTTTCTTCATTAATTAATTGAGTACCTTGCTCAATGAGCCCTGTAGCTGTCACACCAACAACAACCTTGCTCAATGAGCCCCGTAGCTGTTACACCAACAACAACCTTCTCAGATGTCAACCAAATGCTGGCATCGCACGGCAACCCTGTGGTTCAGCTCATGACTCAAGCTGGCGTGCACTACTTTGAGACGACAGAATCCTTTCCTTGCTGACTCAGACTTGGGATGTCAATGGACTCTGCTGGGATTTTGATGGACTCACATATCAGGTTTCGGGTCTCCATTTTCGGTGGTTCGCCTTCACATGGTGGTAAGCAATTTTTATTTCTCTTGTGCTCCCATCCTAAATGAACTGCAGAAGACCCTAACTCTGATCCCTCCGTGTCTGCCCAAGGAGCATCCTCGCAAGGTTGGGTTACACAATATCTCATACCTTAGCTTCACTAATGCTCTTTGCAGCATCGTCATCACGCCCCACTCGAGTGACTAACAGAAGCAAGCTTATTGCTGCAGTTGTGGCTAAACGACTCGATGAATTTGGTACCCCAGCTGATCCTGCAGACCCAAAGAAGCACCACCGAACTTGCAAGAAAATCCCAAAGACTGCGAGTGATGAGGAGACTGATTATACTACTGACTCGGACCTGTCAAGTGATGATTCCGATTCTGATGTTGAAATGATGATGGGAAATGAAGAGGTATGGGTAAACTCTTCACATTGCCTATAATACTTATGCTAGCTGTTCTTTAGCTTGCTGAGGGCCTCCCTTCGAAGACAGTCCCAGAAACATCGAAACATCAGCCGAAGAAGACCAAGCCAAAGCGCACAAAAACTGTTTGTTCTGTTTATTCATTCTTGTTGGTCCTTTATGTTGACTTCTGCTCTTCAGACCGCAAACACTGTCCAAGATGATAATGAACAACCTCAACCAACTGTTAAACAGCCCTCAAAGGTAACATCTTTTCCAATCATGAGCACATCCTGATATTGATTATGTGGCAATAGATGGCTGGGAAGACATCAAACCCAATTTACCTCTTCTACAAGAAGGTCACTACTGATGCTGATGGCACGACTGGTGATGGGACAAAATATTTCAAGTGTTACCATGGTACCAGAAAGACAGTGAAGATCACAAAGGGAATGAAAGGCAGTCTCAATAGTGAGTTGCAGCCTTTCTGAATAATGCCTGTACTAATTATATATCCAGACCTTGTTGGCCACCTTCAACGGTCATTTCCAGCACACCATCGCCTTTATGAGGTTTTAGCCAAGCGCGGAAGTCCTCTGACCAAGGAGGAGATTGAGATTGCGAGTGGGAAGAAGAGAATGGATGACGCGCTTGTCAAGAAGTATCTGAATGAGCTCGAGACAATTTCTAAGAATATCTGTGAAATGTTCAAGCAGCAGCTCGCCTGAAACCAGGTGTGTTCTAGCTTCTCTCCTTTCTTTAAGTCTTTGCATAGCTGACTTTCTATAGGAGCCTTGGGACCAGGCCCATTTTGAGACACTTGTTGCGAAGCGGGTTGCTGCCTGTGACCAGCCTTTCTGGCTGTTGAGGATGAGGAATTCCGTGAAATGCTTCAGTACATTCATCGCCAATCCCATGGAAAGCTCAAGATCCCTTCTCAGAAGGGAGTTCATGAGCGCATTCTGGAGATGGAAACGGAGATGGTTGATGGTTTCCAGGCAATGTTTAAGGTAAGTCTCTTAATTTAATTTCTTAATTCCTTCTGGAAATGTTTAACGGTTTTCTACAGGAGAACACATCAAACTTTGCCATCTCGCTTGATGCTTGGACATCGAGTAATGGGCATGCCTTCATGGCAATTGTGATACACTATATCAGCAATACCAGAAAGCTAGGTACGCCTTCTTGCTCAACCTTCTCCATAAATACTAATGCCTTCCACTAGAAGAATGCCTGATCGACTTTCGTGAGCTCATCGGTGAGCATTCCAGAGACAATATGGCCGACAGTGTATGGGAGACAATTGAGCTGTACGGCCTGAAAGGATGAGTGCGTGTAATATATTGAATGTCCTTTTGACAGCTCACTGAATCATGATAACAGATAACTGCCTTTGTGATGGATAACGCTACTAATAATGACACACTTGTAGAGCATTTTTCTGAAAGATGCCGTCAAGAGGGCATTGACTTCGATGAGAAGAATGCCCGTATGCGCTGCCTTCCTCACACCATCCATCTCGCAGCATTAAAAGTTTGTTCTTCCCTTTGCCTCGCAAAATCAGTGCTTATGATTATTTGGTCAGCTTCTTGAGTCCGTTGGGGCTCTAACGAAGGAGGAGGCTGCCAGGGCCAACTCACAATCCTCTCCATACCAGGATGCTGCCACCGAGGACATCAGTAGCTCTCAAGATGACCTAGCAGTTGATCATGAGGATGAGCCTGAGGATTGGACTGAAGATGTTACCCCTAATTCTGGTGTTATTGGTCGAGCTGTATTCAAGGTGAGTCTACAAGATTTATCAAGACATTCGATAGTTTACTATTAGTCAGCTTCGCAAAATTGTTCATTTTGTTTGGAGCAGCCCGCAGCAGCGGCAGAAGTTCCGCCAAGAGGTGCTCAAGTCAATGAACAAAGGAGAAACCCTTCCGGGTATTGCCACAATGCTCATCCTTGATGTTCGCACTCAATGGTCATCAACCCACCAGATGCTCTGTATGTGCAAAGTTTTGTCCTCATAATTATTCATTGACAGTTGGTATCCCAAATGGAATAGGCTGTGCACTTGGTTTCAAGGATCCTATCGACAACTATACCGCTTGTAGTCTCCGCGAACATGAGCTCAATGAACAAGAGTGGGAAGCCCTCAAGCATGTGATGGACTGGCTACGGAGTTTTCGAGAGGCAACAATGCAAATGTCTGCTACAAAACATTCCATGCTTTCGACAACGCACGCTGTCTTCCGGGGCCTTCAAGACGACATCAAGAACATCCTCATCAAGCTTCCCAACGACCTTGACCCCACCTTGAAGAATGGCTTGGTAGAAGCTCATCGCAAGTTGAGTGACTATTTCGCAAAGTTTGATAAGTCAAATTATTATCATTGGGCTGCTCGTAAGCCCCTTTCTTTCCTCTCAAAACTACATCTCACATTTTGAACAGTTCTTGATCCCTGCATCTCCTACACCATGCTGCTTGATGACTACAAAGACGACCCAGACCTTCACGGTGCTCTTGAGTTAGCTAAAGCCAGTCTCGAGTCACATTTTGAAACCTTCTACAACACTCCAGCATCCTCCCAGTCAATGATCTCAAGCAGTACCTCACAAGACAGCCAGCGCTCTCCCCACAAGAACTTTGCCTCCCGTTATACCCAGAAAAGAAGCTCAGCGACAGCGGAGAGAAATGAGCTCTGGGAGTACTTCAGGCAGACAGCCGAGCCAGCCAATTTTGAGAAGACAGACCCTCTCAAGTGGTGGAATGTGCGTCGAGAATCATTCCCAAACCTCTATCGCCTCACTCGTGATGTTCTTTGCATCCCAGGTATGTTAACTTCCCTTCTGCAGAACTGATATGTCTCATCTAATCTTGATCCCAGGGTCTGCAGTTGCTGTCGAACGTGTGTTCTCAGGTGGAAGAGATGTTATTGGGATTCAGCGAGCAAGTTTGCATGCACAGACCATTAGGAGTCTGATGCTTGTCAAAGCGCAGCTCCGTCTTCAGCACAAGGCAATTCTAGACATCGTTGGTGACCTCTAACTGCTGCATTCTGGTTTCTTCTTTTCTTTCTTACTTTAACTCTCATTTATCCATCACATACACGTATATTTACATTGTACTAACCGTTAGAATAAATTCTACTGGATTTCATGTACCGTAAACTGTATATGGAGGTGTACAGACGGCACCGTACCATCCCCTGCCTTGAGGTGAATGGTACGTACCGTCATCATGCCGGTCGTATATGAAGACGGCCGTCTTATTTACGGCCGTCGCCGTATATGGTACGGTGTCCAGCCCTAGTATGCGCTGGCAGGAGAGACGCACTGTGAAGGGGAAATATGGGTATTGAGTGATAAGAAGATCATTAAATGTGTGATAGAAAACATACCTTTGAAAAGAGAAGATAGCGCGTTTGAAAGTGGGTGAGGTAAGGGAATGGGAAGAGTCGAGCGAGTACAGTGCTGGCAGGTTTGACGACACTTGCTGCACACTTTGTTTGGTGGAGCTATGACAACCAAACAACGTGCCATGACCATCATGTGACTTTGTTGATTGTGCGACGCACAACTCATTGTGATGATTCTGCGCCATGCATGGCACAGATGTGACCATTCTCCCTAGCTGAATACTGCAAGAAATATATCAGCTATGCTTCACCAGTGATCTCATGATATGAATGAATGATATTCCAAAATTTCAAATTTTTATATTATGTCTGCACAGTTTTGAAAAGGTGTACCTCTAATATCTCAGTAAATATTTGATCAAATAACATATAACTTTGCAGAAATTATCAACAGTATGTATTGTAAATGCCTGTAGATTTTTATGTCCATAGCTGTAGCGGTTCTTGAGATATTCAGCTTCCACCTCCTGTATGAGCGCTCAGCCTGTCTGAGTTTGAAATGACTTAGAGCTTGAAAATGATGCACTTCCTCACAGTGTAGGCTCAATATCTCAGCAACCATTTAAGCTATAAAGCTAAAATTTTCTGTGCCAGTACCTCTGGTATCCTTGTTAATGGATCTCAGCTCGTGAAGCTTCTGCTTTATTATTTGTTGAGATATTCAAATGCGGGTTTTTGAAAAAGCGCAACCCTAATATCTCAGGTGATTTGATGCGAAAATGTTTGAAAATTTGCAGCAACCTTCGCATATAATGTATCTAGCACTGTATAGATTTTCATAAAGATTGGTTAAGCGGTTGCTGAGGAATTCCATCTTGACCCTTGGAAAAGCACCCACCAGTGGCTGTGCTGAGGGTGCAGTGTGCATACTTTACCTGAAGTTGAAGACTCAATATCTCAACAACTGCTTGAGCTATCGGACTGAAATTTGGCATGCAAGTACCTTTGATATTCTTGTTAATGGATCCCGGCTTATGAGCTTTCCGCACTATTATTGGTTGAGGTATCTCAATGTGGGGTTTTGAGAAAGTGCAACACTAATATCTTGGTCATTTCTTCAGGAGACTGTCTGAAATTTTACGAGTGCATGAGAATATATAGTATATAAAAGTGTGCAAATTTTTGTGGCGATTGATTGAGCGGTTGCTGAGGAATTTTATCTTGACCCTTGACAAAGTGCTCAGCAGTGGCTGTGCTGAGCACACAGTATGCTTCAGTGATAAATCACCCGAAGTTGGTGCTATGTGTAGTAGCACATCTTTATCAGGTCCAATTACCTACATATTATATACTGTCAGAACCGCATTTTTATGCCCATTCTGGTTATGGCATTTATTTTTCTTATAAATGCATTCTTTCTATGTAATTCACAATATTCCTGTAAAGAGTTTGCAGTTTCTGGGTTTCTGCATGCAATATCTCCACAATTGCTAGGTCCATTGCATTTATACTCTGGGACCCAATCATATACATCCATGTGGTAATGTGTACCAAGTTTCAGCCAGTTTGGTCACCATTTGCACACAGAATGTGATGTTCTTGACTTTGCTCAATAAGAAAAATGTGCACATCTATATCTCTGGCAATATTGGATGTATCTTTATAAAATTTGAGACTACATGTGCTATCTATGTATCTACATGTATGGAAAAAATTAGAGTAAGAGAGTCTGTTTTGCCCCTGCTATAAGCAAATCTTGCTGTGCTACTCCCCCTCTACAGAGGCACAAACAATATACCTGGTGTCTTTTTATTCAATGAAGCCCTTGAAGAATGAATATAAGAATATTCTGAAATGTCTGGGCCCATATAAATCATTTTCTCATGATCTTCTAGCTGGGACACATGGGAAAAGAAATGTATGTCTGATATTTATTTAGATGGACAGTACTTGAGTTTCAATAGAAAACATCCTCCAAAACCAATAGAAAGGTAGTGTAAATTTCATTTTACTTACCAATTAGAAGAACCCAGAATGTCTCCAGGAGGAGGTCAAGACAGTGAAGACACCTCAGGACAACCACAAGACAGCACAAGTGCCCTGAGGTGCACCTGACTTGGCTGCTGATCTTAAGGACAACCTAAGACAAAAAGTTTTTTTCTGATGCAATGACCGACCCGTGATGTACTTAGAGATACAAGCTACAACTTGAACTACTCTAGTTTATTCCAACAACCCACTATGCCAATGCACAGATCCACGACAATGAGCACTGAGTCCGGAGGCACACGACATGCCATTCTCTCCACCTCGCCTTGATCCCATTTCTTGTCTCTTATTTCTTGTCCCCATATTGACATCAACTTGGAGGCTCGTCGACCAAATCTTTTGCAGCTCATTGTCCTTTGCGCAGTAATTAAGCGCCCTCATTAGTTGCACCTTTCCCCAAGTCATATGCCATCATTCCGCACCTCTAAATAGTGCTTGCTCATAAATTAGAGCTGCATAACAAGGGAACATGACTGTGCACCTCAGAGCTACTCACTCCAAGGTCTGAGCATGTTTTTTCATTCCCTCAATGCACCCAGTTATTACATTGATGCATGTCAACAATGCCACTGTGTATGGCACTTATGAATGAACAGATTTACTTCTTCTATGTATAGACACAGAATTAACCTCCATTTTTTTTGTAGAAAGAGAACAGGAATTCTATTAACATGCGACTTGGATACTTCTCCTAGGCTGGCGTGAGATTACTGGAATCACTGGTGGCTCAGTGGAGTCATACACATGGATCAGAGCTATGAGGCTTTAGCTTTGGGAAGCAAAAATACTGGACACTTCTCACTCATTCTATAAGAAATTTTGATGAAATGCCCATCAGACTTCATGAAGCCTTGCAATTTTTCTACAATTGAGGGCTCGGTAACCTTCCGTCCTCAGATTACTCAACATTTCTTCAATTCAGACTCACTCTTTGGCCCAAGGCAACAACACAACAGGCTCGAGAATATGCACAGGCCATGTCGCCTGACAGGCCGATTAAACATAATATGGACCTTGAATGCAGAAGGGAAGAAGGGACATTGATAATTTCATATTTGCAGCTTGCTAACGTGTCGGCCATCATCGTTGCCAAGGTTTGGATGACCAAACTTTGAGCAGATCAGTCCCGCTTTCCATACACGACAGATAGGCTTGTCCAATTTGGAGCCCCTTGGGTGGGTGGGTTCCTTCGTCCCAAAATGGAACTCGAACCTTCGGCTTTACAATGGGCATCAGATACACGTGACATGATTGCGTTGCACATCGTTGATTACTCGGTAGCTTTACTTTATTTAGCTCTCTATGTGCTCCCTGCCCTTGCTGCCGTCATCCAGTAACCCACTGCTGTTATCGTGGACCTTGTTCGAGGGCCGAATGGTCATTCGTGAGGTCATTAAGCAAGAGGTCCCTCAGTGGTCAAATGAACCTCAGCAAACCTCGCCCAACTAAGCTGAGCACACACTGCAAGGAATGCCAACCATCCTCATAGCCCCGACAGGATGGGGAAGAATGTCAGCCTTCCTCCGCCCTATTCTCGTCCTGCAGCATCTCATCAAGAACCCTCGACTAAATGTCAAGACACCCAAGCTGCTGCAGAAACCTATGGCTTTGGTGGTGACACTGTTGATCAAGCTGGGAAACACCCATGTATAGACTGTCTAAGGTCCGGTCTGCAGCCCTCCAGCCCTGGGTCAGCCCTGGCCCAGCCCCGAGGACCAGGGTCATGTGTATGGCCCGGCCCTTTTAGCTGGGGCCAGGGCCAGAGGGTGGTTGGCCCTCGGCCCTCGGGTCGACCCTGGTCCGACCCTGGTCAGCCCGACTTTGAGGTGGTACCTGACTCATTAGATCAGATATTATATCTAATCTAGGCAGTGGGCGGCACTGTGAACGCCTTTCCAGGTTGCCCACAGCATTACCCGAAGCAGCTGTCAACAACATTCAACCATCGTTGATGTGGTCCTCAACCACTACCTCGCCCACCTGGTCACCCTCCCGCCTCTTCCCCTACCTCCAAGATCTCAAGAAAAGGTAAGTAATTCGTTTAAATTCTCATTTTTGAATTAATTAATCTTCTTTCAACTGTTTAGGCCCTCTCGTGTCACGAACACTACGTCGACACAAGCCCTTGCTCCACCGTGAACCAATCCCCTGGCACAGGGATGGGCTGGCCTTCATGTCTTGCCCCCACCATCCCTCGACCCCCACCCATTGCCACCACCCGCAATTTCGACCCCTAGCATGGCCCTTCACCACCACCCTCTGCCACGTGTTCGACTGCACGCCAATGTGGTCCCCACCCGGGGATCGTGCATGATCTGTATGACCACCCACCATCTCTTGTCTCCCCAACCCCAGCCGATCGCAACATGACAAGCCATGCAAGCACAATGACACAGGCCGTGTGGGTGCAAGCACCCACCAAGCACCAGGCTGATGTCACCCTTTTGCGAACAAGGGCGCAAGGGGTGGGGAGGATGCATGAGCAAATGTACAGGGAGGAGGCAAGGGTGAGCTCCCATGGACCTCACTAGCACAATGACACTGACCAGCCTGCCAGGCCCTACCCTTTCGCCAGCGCAACTACCTTGGTGCCTTGCACTTCTGCTGGCCCCGCTGGCCTTGCCATTTCATGAGCAGCACTGCTGTCTTGGTGCTCACACTTCTGCCAGCTCCACTGCGACGACCTCACTGTTTCATGAGCAGCACCCCCGCTTTGCACTTCCGCTAACTCAACCACAGCGGCGGCACTAGTGCAACCACTCCCTCCCCATTTGTGAGTAGCATCGCCCTCCTCGCACTTCTGCCAGCTCCACAGTGGCATCCTTGCCATTTCGCGAGCATCACTGCTTCCTTGCCCTTCTGCCAGCTCCTCATGTCGGCGGCGCTGGTGCGACCACTCCCCACTGATCTTGCCATTTGGTTTCGCAAGCACCCAGCTTCCCTCCTTCAGATGCAAGGAGGCAGTGTTGCCACCCAACACCCTAATAATGTGTAAAAAATACATTGTACATACATACTCACTGCCACCAAAAGTGATTTCGGCCTGGGGTTCTCAGGGTTCGGGTTAGCACTGGATCATGAAAATATTCTCCATATCTCAAATGTACTAGGCTAGTATAATAGTGCTCTCAGAATACAGGATGTCCATCCCAGAGGTGAGAAAATGCGAAATTTATGCTTGAGCAATTTTTTCACATCTTCAAGGAAGGTCGTAAAAAATCTATAAGATGCATGTATATGTAGATATACTTAGGGAGAGTATATAAAAGCTAAAATGAAAAAGATCAAAGACATGGTTAAGGGGATATGAGGCCAGCAAGTTGAGGTAATTTGTGTGAAAACCCCTAAAAATGCGGAAAATGGCCATGTTTTGGTATTTATATCTTAGGAACGACTTGACAATTGAACACAATTAAACTTGTTTGGATGATTGGTGACTTAGAAGTACCCCTCATAAAATAATGAGGGTCAGAGGATTTTTTCCTCAGGTGCTGTGCTTCATGCATTTTGGTGAAAATGTTGTTTTTAATGATCTCAACAAGGTTTTGCTAATCTCTAAGCACCTTGAAAGTGTAGCCTATGAGTATGTTAAGAATATAAAATAATACTTGAAGCATGCTGACAAAGTCCTGAGCTGTGGCCAAAATAATGGCCGAAATCACTTTTGATGGCAGCGAGTAAATTAGCTATTCCTAAATAAATCACCTTTTTGCTTCATAAAAGTGCCCATGAGCACATTGAAAATGAGCACTGAAAAATAGGTGAGGAATATGTGTTCTTTTAGGGCCAGAGAAAGTTGGCCCCAGCCCCGAGAGCCAGGGTCAGGGCTGGCCAAATTGGTGAGGGTCGGCCCTGACCTGGACCTTAGACAGTCTACCCATGTACGGTCACTCTCCCTCACTTTTCCACCCAAAATAACTCATTACTCTCCAGAAATAAAGGAGTACGGCCTTACGACCCATTGTGCGACTGCCGGATTGTTGCAGGCAGCCTCAAACGAGGGCCAGAACTTGCTACTTGAGATTTGTTAAAAGTGGTCCATTGTTTTTCTCTCAACAGAGCACCTTGAATCCCATGAGGTCGATGCCATTTTGCGAGATAGCACCTTCCGAGCGAATCTCGATTACTGTCAGCTATTTTCTCAGCCTCTTGTCATAAGCCCTGCTCATTATTTACAGGCCTGAAGAGCAACGTCGGGTGTGTCCCTCCAACATCATTCAGTGCATCGACAACTGCCGCCACTGTTTTATGTCAGTTTGGCCTTTGCGTCGCATCGAACTTTGCGCCGCTTGTGCCAAATTTTGGCAAGTGAGGTTATGAGACTGGTTGAGACTGTCGAAGAGTAAAATCTGCAACGAGAGATGGTTGATTGGTGTTTTTCTCCTCTCTTGATGCAGTGGCACCCATGATAGCTTTATTGGAAGCTTCTATGCTATGGCACACAAACTATTTGACGTACGAGACATTGAGGATGGGTTGTCTAGCCCCTAATGAGATTAGATTAGATGCAATTCCGCCCTCACGTGATGCTCAACATACCAAAGGTCCCGCAAATCGGAACAGACCTTATATCAGATACGATCGACTATCATTTGTATCTATTAGGTCTGTCTAGGGAGACTACACGACAGACGCGCTGCTGAGGTTCATTCGAATCCTCATTGACTCAGCTACTTTCCGCTCAACGGGTAATCCGTCAAGAACCGTACAACGATGACCTCAGAAACGGCAAAAATCAAATCCAGGCTCCTTGCTCTCACATCTGCCTTCGACGACCTTGAATCTCAGCTTGAACCACTCTTCGCGCAAACCCTCCCAGAGACCCTTGTCGGCCTGGAGCCCATCCAGCAGGCAAAGCTGCAGACCGCACTGCCGTATGTCATCTACGATCTTATTTTCAGTGAGTCACTGTCCTCAATATACGGACTTACTTTTTTGACGAGAGCATTTGCTTCACGTAGTCTATCTGAAAACGCGAGGAATAGACCCACGGACGCACTCTGTCATCGGTGAACTCGTATGTGACCCGTTTCCCTCTGTACTCGTTTTTCTAATCTCTCGCCTATCTCTAGGACAGAATCAAGCAATACTTCGACAAGATCCAAAAGGCTGAAAATCCGCCAGCTAGTGCGTCTCCGCCAGCTAATCCGTTTGCATTCTGTCTCAACTGGCTCCACAGAACGCACAGATATCGACAAAGATGCCGCGGCGCGCTTCATTAAGCATGCTATTGCCCAGACCCAATGGAAGAAGACCGCCGCGGAGGAAGCTCAAGAAGACGATGTCAATAACGCGTCTACGTCTACATCAACCTCTCTAAAGCCTGCGATTGCAGCCAAAGTAACAAGCAAGATGCTCGAAAGGAAACAGTACGAGGAGGAGCTCAAGGCTCAGGATGAAAAGGACGAAGAAGAGGACGTTCTGGAGGTGTACGAGGAAAACGATGATGCTATGAACGTAGACGATGAACCTAGTCCTTCGAAGTCTACGAAATCAAAATTAAAGGAAAGGAAAGGAAAGGGAAAAGAGAAGGTCGGTCAAGTCGGCTCTCTGTCAGCACCTGCAGGCGAGTCAGAGCCAAGTTCGAAGAAGAGGAGAAGGCCCGCAGTCGATCCTTTTGCTGGTACGTTTCTTACGTTCTTCTTCAGCCAGCTTGGGTTTCGTTCGTTCGGTCTGACCTTCCGTCTTCTTTAGGTTACAGCGACACAGCAACCACCTGGAACCCTGCCACGCCAGATTCAGATCCAAGCCCTGCTAGAAAGAAAAAGTCTAAAACTTCCAGACCTTCCACAGAATCAAGGACGACACCCAAGCCCGACACCGAGGCAGACCCTTCCTCGGAGAAGAAATCCAAAAAGTCAAAAAAGAAGACCAAAAACCTATCATAATATGGCCTCTTCACTGGTACTTCGTCAACTTGATACTTGAATTGCAACGTACTGTGAGGAGACATCGAAAAGTACACGACATTTATGAACTTCTATGTAATGAAAGGGGATGTAGGCACTATTAATACAACTGCTGTATGCAGCTTGAAAAGACATCCAGAAGAAAGCAAGGGGTTGAAGCAAATATAAAGCACCAGAAGAAAATACACGTTGTACAATGTACATCGATGACTTACAGACTATTGGGTTGGTTGTTGTGGTCACAGAGGAGGAAGGAAAGGTTACTGTGAAGTTCGTTACAAGAGCAGAGAGGAGAGGCAAAATGTTCGTGAGGTAATATCGAACAAATAGATAAAAGTACACTGAAGGAAATCGTAAAGGATTCGTAATGCAAAATATATACGTAGTACCAATGTGGGCAAGAGATAGTACAAGAGTATAGCGAGACTCAGAGAGGGGGGAAGAAATGAAGAAGAGAGAACCTTCATCACTGATGTGTGGGCAAGAGGAGGAGGAAGCAGCAGGGCAACGAAAAACCTACATCGTCCTGCACCCATCATTGGTCAGATCTGGGAGGATGGGCGGCGAGCCTCTACCTGATCCAGCACCCCTCCCACTGGACCTCCTCCCACCAGGCGACCACCACCTCGTGGACCTACCTCCACCGCCTGCGTCTGCATCAGCCGCACTCGCCGTCGAGGACTCACTTGCGGCGCGCCTGTTCGCCTTCCTCCGCTTCTCCTTGATCGCCTTGACCGCGTCGACCGTCTGCCACGAGTAGAACGTCTTGAGCACGACTCTAGTTTCGTCGCACTCGTCCTGGCCGTGGCCAGCTTTGAGTTCCTCCTCGACATCGTCCCGCTTGTCGAGGTAGTGCAGCTTGCGGGCTTCGTACGCGCGCCAGCCAAGACGAGGGCGGATGGACGGCGAGAGCTCCTTAACGAGACTCTCGCTTATGCCCCGGCAGTCGATAGCCACGATCTTGGCGTTGAGAGCTTTGCGCTGCCTGCTGAGGCGCACGAACTCCTTGAGGACGTTGGCACCCATGCGGGTGTTGTCCGCCTCGAGAACTGTCAACGTGGTGCAGTTGCGAACGAGGCCGAGCAAGGTCGCATCGGTGATGTTGGTAGCATGGGATATGTTAAGGTGCTGGAGGACATGGCCTGGTTGTTTGTCATCCACAGAATTCTTCTTGGTAGAAGAATCGGCCTCCGATCTACGATTGGCGTCGTCGTTAGTGTCGTCTTCCTCGTCGACGTACGGCGTAACCGTGCTAATCACCGCGTCCGTGATTTCCGATGCATCCTCGAGGTCCAAGCGCCTAATGTACGGCGTCTGTTCGAGCAGCCGTACCAGGCCCGCATCTCTAAGGTCGGGCCCGATGCCAGCCATCTCGAAGAACTCGAGCTTGGGCACGGAGTGGGCCAAGTTCGCGCACGCATTGTCCGTCAACAAAATACAGAACGAGATGTTGAGGTGGCGCAAACGTGTAACGCGACGCTTGAATCTGGGGGCGACGGTGTCGCTGGTCTCGCGGCCAAGGTCTCGGGCAGACACGACGATGGTCTCGACGCCGAGGTCAATAGAGTCCATGGATTCGTCGCATGCCACAAACTCGTCCAAAGCGGAGTTGTGCAACTGGCGGGAGTAGCTGAGATCCAGCACCTCCAGGTATGGTGCAGCGCGCCCAAGCGCACGCATCATCTTATCGGTAACGTGCTTGAGGCCAGACACCCGCAGCTCCTTCAGCTGTAAGTACTCTCTGCGAAGGAGTGCAGCAACAGCAAGCGATCGTATGCCTTCCGCGTCCATACTGTGGCATTGGCTCATATTAAGCGATACGATATTCGGGCAGAAGTTGGAGATGATATCGCAGGTGGTATTAGTGACTGCTCCAAGGCCCTTCACGCAAAGTGTCTTGAGGTACTTGGATCGAACGAGGAGATGATGAAGGACTCGCGTCGTCAATCCGATGCACCCTTGAAGGTTGATCGTTGTGAGTTGGGTGTACGATAGCGGCGACACCTGTGGAACGGTCATACAAAGACCGTTGGCCATGTTAGTCATATTCTCGGGCTGAAGATGGACATGTCCCGCAAAATTCAAGGTGCGAATGAACGTTCCGGCAGATTGGACGATCCGAACGATAATCGCTGGCGGCAATCCCGGGAAAGAGTGAAGGTCCAGATGTGCCCAAAGCTCGCCATCGAAGACGAGCCTCTGCCATCCCTTGGAGACCTAGGGGCAAAGCAAACGTCAGTCAATGTCAAAGAGATGGACGCTCAGAGGCATACTCTGCTCAATTTGAACAGCTCTCGAACTCCTTTATCCCGACCCACCCATCGTCCCTTCGACGAGATCGCTTTGGCCATAGTGAGTCGGCCATCACGTACCGATCGTTGGTACTCATGTTCGTGCAGGTCGACGAGAGCGCGGAGGATATGTAGACGCAGCTCTTTGGGTAGGATGAGATTGAAATAATTTGGGATCACGATAGGAAGGGGCTGGAATATGTCTGTCGATGCAATCGGGATGAAGTCTAGTGCTGAGATGGGGTAGGGCGATGACTGGGATCGAGTCTTGGTCTTGAGCCACACACGAGGAGAGGATTCATGTGATGTCGGGGCGGAACTGGCCGTCGGCTTGGAGGCCGTATACCAGGCCAATGGACTGGCTGGCTCGCTTTCGATGACTGATAAGTCCGACTTGGATATCACTGTAGAAGGCTCAGGGGTCTTCCGAGCGGATTCTATAAGGGGGCGGTCGTTATTGTTATTGTCCTGTTTCTCCAAGCTGAGATGGCGCGAAAGATTGCTGGGAACACGAGATGAGGGTCCAAACGTTGCTTGAGATGCGATTGCTGATGATACAGATCCGAGCGAAGGAGTCAATTGGCGAGATAAATTAGAAAGCGATCGGAAACGCGGTATAGAGGGAAGGGATACACGAGGACTGGCATCGGGTGAAGGAGGTGATTGTGACGGAGGAGGAACGATAATATGTCGGTCGGGTGAAACTGAAGTAGGAGGCAAACAGTCAGATTTCGGAGGTGGGCTGTACAATGTGCCGTACGACGATGGGCCAGGAGTGGGCGGTTCAATCTGCCCATAGTGCAGCTCCATGACCGAGAAGTTCAAAGGAGGCAGGATCGGGTAGGATTCCTTCTGCTTGCCCTTGCCGGAGAACGCGCTGAGGGACGATATGTCAGCGTCGGGGGTCTCCAACTGCTCCATGCTCTCGACGGAGAAGCTGCGCTGACGGTACCTAGAGCTGAAGTCAGGGGATGAGAAAGCAGATGCTGGGCTAAGTGTGGTTATGGAGGATGAGGAGCTCTCAAATGCCCTGTAGCTAGAGCTCGACGGGGACGCTATGCTCGGGGACGACGCATCGAACAGATCGTGGAGGATCGTGGAGGCGCGGATGGGCATTGGCATCGTCCGTTCTTTGCCTTTGGCGGCGGCGGACAGTGTGTGGGGCTCGTTCCCGACCAGCTCCCCAGATGTGGGCAAAGCATCATGAGAAGCCATGGTGTGTGGGATGCAGGCAGGCTGTGGTCTCATTGGAGGCTGCTGAGACGGCTGGCGGGCGACAAAGGACTGTCTTCCATCGTATGGATCAAACTGAAATAGCGGTTCATCGTTATCGATGTCAGGTGTGTTGCTCATGGCTCGTGCCCAGAGCTTTCGATGCGGGGCTTGCAGCCAGATATGAATACGACGTGCAGAGGGCGGTGGGGGTGTTTCAGAAAGATAAAAAGGCCAGGGGCAGAGGGGAGGCAGATAAGAGGGTTCACATTCTCAGCAGGCCAAGAGGGGACGGCTCTTGCGCTGTGCGACGCTCCGTCCATTCCGCCTGTGACGCAACGGCACGGGACCATCACATCATAGCAGTTACCCCGCAATCCACCACTCTGAACAGATAAACTCATGCTATTGCTGAAACAACTAACAACACACGCTAGATATAAGACAGCCTGCACAAGGTCACTATGCGTCGTGGATATAGGTAAGTAATAAAAATGCAAAGCCAACAGCACATCCCAATGGGCGACAAGACAAAACGACAGCAGAAGACTACTAATTCCGAGCCATAATAACACAAACTGGTAAGATAACGGTATATCAGCGCCAAAAGTGAAGGTGAAGCGGCGGGGGTCGCGTGGTCGAGCTGCAAGGAGGGGCAATATATGCTGCCTCATGCCTTCTTTGGGTTCTCCTTCGAAGTCTTCCAGTTGGATGTGGCGAGCTTGAACCTACCATATCCAGCGAAACCACGCAGCAACATCAACAACTGTCTCGCTCATCAAGCATGGCTTTACGTACCTGTCTTTATGCTGCATGTCGGGCTCCTGCTCCTTGAGGCGAGCCATCTCGGATTGCTATACGCGTCAAGCCCACCGTCGATCAGCACACACATCTTTCCCCGACGGGGATAGCTGGCCCCAACGCACCATGAACTTGTTGAACGCGGACAATTTCTTCTTGGCACCGCCTCCGCCAGAAGACTTTGCTGCAAAATGGGCAAACGGCCAGACAGACTGTGGTCAGCCGACCTGGACCATCGAACCCGATCGCGACGGTGACCACTCACTTTTCTTGGCGGGCTTTTCCGCTGCAGCCTTGGGTGCGGCCTTGGGTGCCATAGATGCTCGGGATTATGAGGGTTGTTGAATTAACGGGGAGGAAGAGGGGACGCGTCGAGCTCGCGTGTAGCTAGGGGAGACGAGGACCGCTGGACGACCAAAAAAGCGGGCAAAGGGCGGCTGAGACTCGACAGGGAAAAAAAGAAGGGGTGCAGTAGGACTTACTGGAGGGAGCGACTTGGGCAACGCGGGGGGTGGGGGATGGGAGTGGGTGCAGGAAAAAAGGTTGAGCGATGCATTTTGGTTCAAGTTGGCGGAACTTATACTTACGAGGCATTCAAATGACAGGGCTTCGATCCTGGAACGCCGGGCCCCGGCCACTCCTCATATGTCCCCTGCACCAGCCCTCCTTGTCCTTTCCTCCTCCTCCTCCTGCACAATATTTCTCCTCGTCGCCAGTCCTCCACAGCGCGCTCTCAGCCTCCTTCCCTCCGATTTTTGCGCCAAATCCGACATTCTCGCGCAGAGTGGCAGGGGTGATCACCTATCATTGCTAAGCAGAACGCTAATTCACGCAAAACACGTTGATTCCGCCATCATCTGCCGTCCGTAAAAATATTCATTGCAATTTGGTGAGCACTACCCTCTTCGCAATGAGATTCGCACCAATAAACGTCCTTCCGTCCATATCCACCACTCAGCTGCATCCCGAGGGTGCCCGGGGGTCCGTTGACGGAGCAACAAGAGGCAACAAGATAAACAAAACAAACGCGTCGCGTAACTCAATCAGGAACGTGTCATGACATGTCTCGGTCATAATAGCCTGTACGTTATCATTCATCCTTCCAAAAACAGAACTACCAGTCTCCACCATGTGCTCCTGCTGCCTGTGAGAAGCCCCAACCTCTCTCGCCAGATGCCGATGGTTTAAACAGACCCGGTGCTTTGTTTTGGGATCCCGGTCCCAGCTAGCCCTTCTATAATGCTTGAGCCGCTTATAATTCCTGTCGTTGCGATCAAGAAGTTGCGTCCTAGATATCCAAACATCAGCTAAAAATTTCCCTCCAATCTGCCTGGGCCACTTACCTCGATTCTGTCGTCCGACCCATCGTAGTGCTGCGATTTCGGTGTACGTGCACCCTCCCAGGAAGAGCACAACTGTGGTGGTGGTCGCTATCTGTCGTGATGACCCTGCAGTCGTTGCTGATCAAAATTATCAGTCTTATGATCTCCAAAGATTACCAACCCACCTCCTAGTGCTCCCAGAGGACCTGGTGGGGCTTTACTCGCTGTCTTCTGGACAATTTCCACTGTTTGTCCTGGTATTGCTGCGACGACATCTTCAAATCCCTTCCACCCAACAATTGGATGCGCCTGGACTTTTCCTGTTGATGATTTGTTCTGATCTCCGCCAGGACTCGCCTCTGCACTCGACTTCTCCTTTTCGGCTGGGTTGCTTATGACCCCACCCTTCTGTGCGACGCATTGCACGAGTCGAACGCTTATGGGGGCATAGCCTGAGTAAACAAAGCTGATGTCATTCTCCACTTCCTCAAGGGCTTCCGGATTGTCGTCGATAAGAAGGCGCAGCGACTTCCGCAGAGAAGAGAACGGATATTTCAGGCCGGCCGCGGTTGTGGACATGGAAAGTGGCAGAGGGTTCGGCAATAGTATCGCCAATGATGGAGAGGCTAGTGAAAGTAGCAACGGCAGATATTCGTACCCATACGCCTAGGGGCTTGAATAAGCAAACGAGCGTTCACGGCAAAAGAGCAGCTGAACAAACCTGTAGAATCTCACGCTTCAGGTTTTCCAAATTCTTGGCCTTCACACCGCCCGCTGTTAGGCTAGCCAGACAGAGCAGTCGCAAAACGGTCTGCATCTCGGCACCCTGTGCTATGAGGTCTTCGATGGCATTCAATTGTGAAGTAATCTCATAGGAAGCAAGGAGGTCTCGTTAATTAAGTCTGTCAGCGATCCTCATATGGTATGAGATAAGCAAACGACCTACTTTGTTGGATCTCCAGTGATTTGTTGAATATTTCCGTCCGTGTCAAAGGCACGATCAATTCTGAGAGTCCTGTATCTATGTGAGGTGTTAGATGGGAGTAACAACAGTAAAAACAAGGTTGCTCACGAAGGCGAAGAGCCTGATGTTCTGTCTGCAGGCCTCCGAGCTTACCCACAAAGTCTCGTAACTGGGCTACAGTTTTCGATTGAAGATTCGTCTTCCAGAACAAAACTATCAGGCTGGAAGCCTTTCCTTCTTGGTAACAAAGGCTTACCTTGTAGTCTTCATCTAGGCGTCGAGCGACTTTATTCAACCTTTTACCAACGGATGAAAAATTGAGGTCTCTCAGCTCTGCATAGAGAGGGTCTGTGGCAGTTGTGAGATGGTGCTTCTTCTTTGTTTCCTTTTTCACCGCGACCACAGGAATGTTTGTTCGACCACTCGGCGGCGAAGTAGAAGTACTTGGAGCATTACTTGGTCCAGCCGTTGGAGGTGTCAAGAGGGACAACGGAAGTTCAACATGTGCTTGATGCTTAAAATTAGGAATCACAGCGCCACCAACAAAATGAAGGGAAGTGCATACAGTTCTTTACGCCGATAAGTTCATCCACGAGGCCTTCATAAGTCAGCTGTGTCAATAAGGGTGTGATCATGTCCACCCGGCGGTCCAGTACGATCAAGGAATCGATGCTGGCAGACACTGCCTGTGAGGGATTGATTGTCTTGGGCGTGTGCCGAGTCAGGAGGGTAGCCAATCGCTGTAAAGCATTAGGATACCCGAAGAACCAAGAGCGATTCTTGTACACTGACTTGCGCGTAGTCGCCTTTGCCGATAATTTGCGGAAATACCCCAAACAGTTTCTGGATGGTAAGTAGGGCTTGTGCTGAGTCAAAAACAACGGTCTCATCTCCATCCTAGCATATTGAAATGAGCGAGTGTCGCAGAAATATGATACAGACGCGCTTACTCACAACCCAAAGCTCTTTCAACGTGTGCTCGTGTTCCAACGATATGACGTCGTCAGCGATTGGGATAAACTGCAGGTTATACGACGAAATCGTCACATCTCCCAGGACACCTTCCTCTTCCAATATCCGTGATACCAGCGTCGACACTCGGGGGACAAGTAATAGGGTGTAGTTGTATTGCCGGGATTCCTTTCCATGCCTCTTGATGTGATCTTGAGCAATGTCCATCAAATTGTATGGCGGTCTGACATGGGAGCCCACCTGCGATGATCTTTACATGCTTGATCCGCGGGCGACACAGGTATACGATGTTTGTAGTCGACGAGGTCAATGGACCTGGTTCAAGCCAGAACATCTTATCCACCCCATGATGCTGTTCAGCGTGTTAACATTGGACCCTAGAAGGCAGGGAATGGTCTCGAATATACACCTTCAGCAGGGAAACCTCCGTAACCAGACCCAGAGGGCCCGCTAGAGACGCGTCTAGCACGAGGGTTTTGGCACCATTAACCTGGGTTCATCCTCCATTAATATGCAGCCTGTCCACACGAAACTAGGGCGTACGGAATTGAGTGCGTCTACGAGATCCTTCTTGGCAATCTCTTTGAGAATATTGACATCGAGAGGCGTATTGCCGGTCGTCGAGGCGGGCTGGTTGCCTGAACTCATGGCGGACGCCCTAACAGGTTGGTCTCAATGAGAGAGCACTACAGCTCAATGATCGTGCATTGTGGTCACGGACAGACCGGGCCGGGAACAGCCAAGAAGCGGGACCCCAACGACCGCCAGACGATCTCCCTGTGCAAAATGTTTATCAATCTCACTTGAGGGGGTGCCTGCCTGCTCCAACCCGTTATTTCTCCCAAGGCTACTTTATGTAAATAGGTAACAATGTATATGCGTGTGCATTGGTTGTACAAGATGCGACTCCAGTCCATGCCGTGCTTATCATGAGGTTTAGATAGAGTTTCGGCGAGCACTTCTGCCTTTCTTCCTCGTGCTCTGGCCATCTTTGGCGTTGATAGCAGCTAAAGGGAGGCGACCTTCCTCCTCAAACTTCTCCAAAACATCCATCGAGGCGTGGTAACCTTTCTTCACCAGATCTTCGAATTTGCCGAATTGGAGGGTGCCGTACTGTCGTGCGATTAAATCGCGACCCAAGCCTGAACGACAAAAAAAGCTCACCTCCTGGACCGGCATCTGTATGTAGAGACAGTTTTTGGCCACTTTGGCCTGCTCCAAGGTGTTGACACTCGACACGCTGAGAACATGCGTTAGCCACCGCGGCGTTAGATAGAAAAGGAAAGCCACCCACTAGGCAAGGCGACTCTGTATCTCCGTAATAGGAGGAACGTGTCGTGCATTCGAGAATGGATTCCACCTGTTGATCAGCAGCCACCAGCCAGACACGGTGTCGCCAAAGTTCCTGGGAGAATTGTCATCGATCTAGTAGGATACGCATAAATTATGAATTGCCGCCTCCAAGAGATGAAGCAACCCACAGAACCAACGTCACAGGCGAAAATAATATTCGCGCCCATGGAGGTCATGGCTGCCACCTATGTTCCATCAGGATGAGGTCGCTGATACTTGAAGTCACGACCAATAAAGTTGACATACTGGTAAGTTATCAACTTCGAAATGTCATCAGCACCAATCCCAGCGATGATTATTTCGGACTCACTGTATCCTCCGTCCACCAAAAGGTTCCCATTGTCGCATAGAGGGGGAAGAAGACCAACAAGCGTCATCGAGGCACCTGGGAAATAATTGAGCTCCACGTTTCTAATAGAAGAACAACAATAGTTACGGATGAAGCGCCATGCGTAACCAGTTTCGTGTATTTCCATACGAGAGGTGATGATGTTGGTCGTGTTACAAAAGTATGGCAGCCACATATCTTCGATATGAAGATCATAGAATGCCTATGAATCGATCAATACAGTGGATAGTATGGGCGTTGTGAAGTCGTATTACCTTGTACAGAGAGCGATTGAATTCATGGCCCTGAGAGAAATGTTCATTATTGATCAGAATGGTAGGTTGAAAGGGGAAAAACAGACTGTCGTATATGCCACAATAGGATAAGTGACGTCCGAAAGGATCCTCCAAAAATTGCCCATCCTTCCACTGAACTGCTTCGCTCGGCCCGTGCTCGATATTAAGTCACCTTCGCGGGCATACAAGCCGCCAATGAAGGCCCCAATGCTCGTGCCTAGATGCCATGATGAAATCTCGGTACACATATCCTTAATGCAGCTAATCTCACCAGCGATGTGATCAATGGGAATACCGTATTCTTCCAAGGCACGAATGAGGCCCTGTAAAATATGAGTTCCGCTTTGAATATAAGGCGGAGTGTCTTACGAGATGCGCAAGTCCACGAGCTCCACCTCCGCCGAGAACAAGGCCTATTGATCTTCCACATATCTTTCTCGCCAAACGGGAAAAATCGTTCGTGTGTGGGAGGCGTTGTGGGCGAACATCGGCAGGACCTCTGCGATACTTTTGGAACTCGCTTTGGAATTTGTCCTTCAAGTTCTTGAGTGCAATTACCGCGTCTGGGTCTTTGGGAAGAGCAGACTTAGGCACTGGCACGACAAGACCCTGCAAACAGTCAGACAGGAATGGTTGTTTTGGGATATATTGAACTTACTGGGAGTTCGATGTGCATATGCTGATGAACCCACGGTCGATTCTGAAGCCGCGTCAGAAACTATCAAGAAGATGGTCGTCATTCTAACCTTGAGCCATTCGCGAGTCGTTCCAGGCGTAACGGTGCGGTCAGGATGTAGGAGCACAAGTTCTTTCCGGGCCGTTGTCTTCATCGACAGTAAAAGACGTTCGTACTCTCCGATGGAGGGATCATCGCCCATACCAACGACCATAACGCAGTCTGCCTATAAGCTTTGTCAAATCGACTCGAGAACGAGGAAAGAACCCGCCCACATACCTGCCGAATGCATGTTTGAGTCCAAGAACTATTTACCGGAGAATCGGCCACGTAGAGCACAGTATGGAACCGCTGCTCCTGGTCTGCCAGCCACCCCGCTGACTGAAGCAGCATTCAGGATCACGCATATTGTTCGACGAAGGAAAAAATCACCTTAAGCTTTCCCATTCGAGTGAAAGCATGCTTCCCCAGCTGGTTCGAAATGACAGCTTGATTAAGATATGATGTCGAGGCACCAATACCCTCCAAAGCGGCTTGCAACCTTTTAGCAAAAGCTTCGACAGGAATATTGCGAGAAACAGGCAGAATAGCCACGGTCTTCAAGTTCGTGTTGTTATACCCAAGTTCTGGACCAGAATTGCGAGTTTCACCCTTCGACTTGTTGTCGACCTCATCCCTAACTCTAGAAGCAATCATTCGCAGCAGTCTGGGCAGGAACGTATCAGCGCACACAACAAACAAATACTATAAAATGAACACACTGAGCAGTGGTGCGAGAATTCCTATTCCACGACGTCGGTCAGCGGTACATTGCATGGCAACATCATCCAATACTCACCTTGCGGAGACTGCGTTAAACAACGTCCGTGGCACCCGAATAAGCTCGGTGTCTCGTATAGCATGTACGGTATTTCTTCGAGCAGAGCTTGTGATGACGTCTAGCTCTCCGACGGAATCGCCTTGACCGTACTCGCCCACGATAGTGACCGCGCCACTCTCTGACTCCGTAATTGCCCGCAATCGGCCGTTGATCACAATATAACAACTGTCGCTGACGTCCTGCGGTCGCCACAAGACTTGACCAGCGTTCACTTGCATCCAATCAAGAGAGGCATCAATGTGCAAAACTGTGGGAAAAGTCAGCAAAAATAGTATGGAGGATGTGTGCAATCTTACTAAGAGGAGAAAGTAGTGAAATTAGACGTTTGGCCAAAGTGAGCAGAACAATAGGACGCTTTTCTAAGATACGTTCCAGAGCATGAAGGGGCAGGAATCCGACGTAAGTGTCTGTCTTGGCCTTGATATCGACATATGAAGCAGTGTTGCATAGAGAGGCGAGGTATCCGGCGATACCACCTGGCTTCACTGTGAAAAGGAGCTTTTGCTCAGGTGGACTTCCCTCGTTAGAAGGAGGTGTGCGTCGATTTTCTGGGTCCAGAGGGTCATCGACGTGTCCTGAAGACCTCGATGTTGAAAGATCACTTGGATTGGAGTCCTTGATCGGGAGTAGAATATCCAGAAAACCCTCGATGACATAGAACAGGCCTGCATGTACCATTAGTCTAGATTGGTGGATTCCTCAGTAAAGCTTCACCTGTGTTTACTTCGCCTGCTTTCGCCAGTGTTGTTCCAGCGGCGTAGAACAGAATTTCGACCTCGTTGTCTAGGCCGCTGAGGTAATTGCTCGATGATGCCGCAGAAGAGCTTGTGATACTAGAAACATCATCACCGAGATCAAGAAGCGATAGCGATCCAAACGGCGAAGCAAAGGCACTCGTAGATGATCTACGATAGTCGGTGGGAGGCGAAGCAGGTGAGCGATCTTCTACAGATTCACTCCCGCTCATTGGTGGCTGTAGGAGACCGATAGATTTGGCGATACACGACATAACTTCTTCACGAAGATCGAATTCGTCAGCTGACCAGCGAGGTCGTTGGGGTTGGTTTGTCTTCTTCCCTTCAAACGCATCATCGAAAGAGGGGGGCGCCAACCTCGGCGTGTTTAAAACGCTAAATGTCCGACTAAGAGGGCGGAAAACATCATTAGCGCTGCCCTTGGGAACAAGTAAATCTCCAGCCTGAACCATATGTCGCGAAGACTTGATGGGTTTCGTGGGCACTGGAATACTTCTGCTGCTATAGACAGAGGGTCGAACGGGTATCGGATTTTCATCAATTTTCCCCAAGGAAGTTGTTGAGGCCTCTCGAGAGCCATGCGACGTCGCACTGCGAGAAGATGCTTCTGAGATGCTGAAGTAATCGCTCTCAGCGCCTGATCCGGTAGAAGTTGCCCCGTCGAATCTGTGTCGTAGGTATTGCAGACCACCTCCTTCGTAGAAGGACGCTGGGAGAGGGTGGCAAGCAATATCATTGATAGCTTTCTCCGTTCGCAGGACTTCACTTGTTAAACCGAGATACTTGTGGGCTGCGTAGAATGTAACACGCGAAAACCTCGCGAGAATAACTAGAGGAAATCAGCACAGACATGCGTCAAGAACGGGAGAAAGGCATACCTTGTACAATATGACCAGTGGCCTTCGGGAACTTCTTCGTCAGACGACGGAACGCTTCTGCAGGAATGACCGCGAGAGTGGTGTCGACTGTTGCTCGCGCAACAACACCTCTATGTACCTGCGTTGGTTTCCGAGGGGGTTTCGGTCGATGCGTCCACCGAGGTATGGTTCCGATAGGAGTAGGATCTTCATTATCAACAGAAGGCGAGTCAGTAGACAGCCTGTATTCCGGTCCATGAACAGTGGAAGCAGTTGACGAGACTGAAGATCGTCGTGGTGTCGATCTCGCAGACCTGGTTGAGGATTCAAGATCCAAATGCGAGACGTCAGAGTTTGCCCGGCGCATACGGTTTCGAGGCACTGAGAGCGGGTCGTCAAAGCTCGACATATCGTCAGAAGATACGTCAGGGTGTTCATCTTGCCAACTCATTTGTACGTCTTCTGTGAAGAGACTCAAGATGGTAAAGAGACTCGACAAAGTTCCGCCACTTCCGACCTCGTTGAGGAGCTGATACCCATTCATGTCTTCATCGTCCCAGAAGCTCTGTTGCACTTCAGGAGGACGGCCTGTCTGCGCAAATACTTGTACAGTCCCTTCAACTACGCAATAGAAACTTTTGTCTTGGTCCAAGGATAAGCTGTCACCTGCGATCAATCTTCGCGTCTGTAAATGACGAGCAAGCTCATGAAACACCTTGCTTTGTGTATTAGATCGACGTTGGCAGGTTATTAAATTTCGGACGTACAGGTTTTTCTAACTAGCGCAGCAAAAATTAGACTATGAATATATGTAGAAGTCACGGAGACTCACGAAACCAAATACTCTGACAGCCTGAAGGAAATCATCAAGGTAGTTGTGGAATGTTGGAGGAGGATCTTGAACCTGTTAAACTGCAGCTTTCAATATCGACGACTTGAGCTCACCTGTATTGACATCAGGGTGTAGTTCGTTGGCATCGGGCTTGACGAGAGGAGGTTCCTTGAGTTGCATGTAATCATTGAGGTATTTGAAGCGAATCCAGTAGTTCAATGCGACTGCCGAGCAAGCAAATAAGATGGCAAAATTCCAGAATCCAAGCTGAAAAGAAGTATTATGGAGTGAACTGGGTTCCTATAGGCTGGCTACGCACCGTAAGCGTCATAGAATAGGATAATATAGCGTATATGAGTCGAGGGACTGTAATAGTCGCGAATGCAACCAAGCTCTTCGTCCATGAGAGTAGCCACACTTCCAGGCGCTCCATAATCAGTTCAAAACGTCTCATTGAAGCGTTCTGCTACTCACGAATGACCCAAAAAGACGCAGAAACCAACGACACCAGCGGGTGTCGGTCAACAGGCTCTGTGAGGACATCAGAATCCATGGCGGCCAAGGTAGGGAGAAAGCAAGGCGGTTACTCCCCGCCACGAGGACAGATCTTGGGGGCTGATGACCAGCGGTGCTTGAGGGCGATGTTATCTGAATGGCACGAACGTGGAAGGTTATACAGCAGAAGGTTATGCAGCAGATGTTGGTCGGAAGGTCAGGTCCGCGATTGTCGAATCCGGAAATAGTGTCGTCATCGTCGTCTCGTGCCTCCTCGGCTATCGTGAGGCAGCAAATGTGCTTTGCCGGAGAGAGAGCTAGAGCGCAAGGCGTCGTTTCAGAAAGTCAGAATGTGCAAATTCAATTGTCTTTCCTGCTATTTGAGAAGGTAATGATCATAATACATGGATGTGGCGCCGCCGTTTTCTACATAACCACATTCCTGACTGCTTCTATCCGCCTTGCCTCGAGCGTTATAGCCGACATCTAACTCATATGAAGCAGGGTCTTTATCTCTGACTATCATAGATACGTTCTAGAAACTGTGTTCTGTCGAGTCCTTTCCAATGGCCGAAGTACTCGACGATCCTGATGATACGGTCGATAGGATCCTATCGATGTAGTTGGCACCGCTCCTGCGAAGAGAAGAGCGAGTTAGATCAGTTTCACTAACGGAGAACATTTCCATGCCATTTTTGATGTGTCAGAACATCGCAGCCAATTTCCTTCTCTTTGCGCTGGATGAGCTCTACGTACGCAAGCATTCCGTCTTCCTTGAAGCGTGAAGACAGTTCAGCAGTCGTAACAGCATTGCTATGTAGGCCTGCCAATGAGATGAGTTGAAGAACAAATCTAAAAGACTGTTCAGTCCAACAGAAGGGTATGAATGGGGAAACAACCAACCCTTCCTTAGCCAAGTCCCAGACGAAGCTCTTCAAGGAAGCATCTATCAAACTGTGTCAAACCGCTGCCAGGTAGTGAAAAAATTCAGCCGACCTGAGAATCCATGCTGAGACCAGTTGAAGCTTGGGCTGAGGTTATAGACAAATAATCTGCAGGAGATTGATGTCAGTAATCTTTCGCTTCGAATGACAGAAACGCTGACGCACTTTCCGGGGTGTTGTACCCTGATCTTTCCAGAGAAGTACTTAGCTTGCTCGAGGTTCGGCGACTTCGTTTCGAGCCACAGCAGGTCAGCATAGGGTGCAAATGCCTTCGTTCGCTTGATGGCTGCTTCAACACCGCCGGTGTAGTGGTAGTAGCCTTCACGAGTACGAGGAGCTACACAGGAATCAGATAATTGAAGCCTTCGAAGTCGGCAAACGTGTACCATCCCAATCCCAGAACACAGGTTCTCCAAGGATGTCGGTAGCAATTTCACGCGCCACAGAATTGGGCTTGCTGTCAACAGCCGATAGATAGGTTTTTAAAGCGCTTTCCTTATCCAGAATGCTAGACGACGCAATAGCCTTCTCGACGGCTGTTGAAACAGCGTAAGCTTGGTGCTCAAAAGAACTGTTTACGACGACGAACCTTGATTGAAAGTAGACATCTCGTGGCTTTCAGTCCAATCCTTTTCAAGACGGTCAACTTCAGCTCCCGTTGCACCTCTCGCCTCAGCTTCGGAAAGTACTTGCGCAAGAGGTTCAGAGCCCTTGGTCGTTGTTCCAACAATGAATTCATGGTCCGCGACATCAACATTTGACGAGATAAGTTTCCCTGATTCCGAGTCCGTGCGGGCGATCAACAACATTGTTGACTTCATTAAATCCAGTTGGAAGCGAGCAGCAATAAGACGAGAGATATGAGTAGAGGTTGGTACGAGGACTTTGCCTCCGAGATGGCCGCACTGTATTTGTGTGAGTAGAATACTTGAACGGAACGTTGTTTCGACATACTTTCTTTCCGCCGTGCAATTGGTCCTCTAAGTGAATGGCGGATGTTCCCTATACGCGAAATGGTTATAAAGGAGTGCGTGAAATAAAATTCTCAGAACCCACAGATTCAGCAAATAATTTGGTCAACTTCATAACAGCGGAAAGGCCTCCATGGCTGATTGAACTGTGAGACGATTTATGTATATGCGAAACGTCGGTAGACGCACCCAGTATCAGCATCAGCGATGATGGGCCTCAAATAATCAACGAAAGGCATCTTAGCCCGTTGTTCTGCAGTCGCGGTCATACGTTCATCGTAGTGTTTCTTGTCATGCAGTTGTTGGGCACGGAAGATACGGTGGACTTGATTGGGAACAGTGGTGTAAGGATAATCGCTGTTATGCATTAGTTCAAGATTTCCTGCCAGAGTAAAGACGACTTGCCCAAGGTCTGGACCAACTTCATTGTTGCCCGTCGTTAGAACACTCGACGCTGCCCATCCCGACACGTACACGACCTCCTGGTTACGAGCCATCTGGGTCATTTGGACTGGGTCAATGGCACCCATTGTGTGCACTGGCTTTCCATCACCAGCATTATTCTTCAACAGCGCAAAGAGCTTGTCGGCGAGGAGCGAACCGGGAAGAGGAGTCACCGGAAGAGTTCCTTGCTTTGAGGCGACCGAGGCGGCAGTATAAGGTCTCTTGATGCCTTCAAAGCGAGGTTGGAAGAAGAAGTCTTCCATGTCTTTCGTCCGTGCTTCGAATTGGGCCGCCTCCTCATCGAGAGAAGGAGGGTGTGGAGGGAGAGCAGTTGAAGACATGGCCCTCTGGGCTGTCCGCGCAAAGGAAGAGATCGTGTGTGCTGTTCGTAGGCGAAGCATTGCGGGGGTTCTCAATGCAGTAGAGTGCCGCAATTTGCGAAGATACGTCCACTCTGGCTCTGTCGCGGAGAATCAATCGTACTGGGTAGAGAGGGAGGAGGTTGGAGGTGCAACTCCGCGAGTTATGGGCGGCACTCAACGTTACCGCGACTTCGTTATTCCCGAATTCCCAGAAAAGCGTCACCAGGTGGAAGGTACGCGTCGAGAGAGGGATAACTTTGAGCAGGTCCACTACGTGCTATGGACTTGGTACGGTTTCCGTTCCATCGACCCCGGATGTCATCCGGGATCGGATCCAAAATTAGCCGCCAGGGTCAAGGACTACTTATGTCGGAAATTTCCAAATTGCCTTACAAGGAAGATGCCTTACCAAAGCATCACAAGAAGCCGAAAAGCCGTTTCGGCACCTCACAAGGCGGTTCGAGATAGGGGTGTTCAACAAAATCCTTTATTTTTCGGCGACTGTAAGGAATATTAGAGAAAAAACAGTACCAGAGGTATATGTCAGATGTACCTCACCTTTTTATACTACTTTCAGAGCGGCAGAATAAAATTTTTATTGGCCTAACTAACTCTTGTAATGCGTTGTACAGTCTATAAACGGTCATTTGGACGCCGAAAAGATGAATTTTGAATATCTTATGAAGGGCGCAATGTCTCGGTTTGAAACTTGGCATACACACTTTCACTATACCTTTCAGTACCTGTGTAAATTATTAAGTTTATCTAACGACATATGAAGCGTCCGCTGTCAAATTACAGGTGTACAAACACCGATCAAAGGAAATTCGGACTCCGCTCGAAATCACCCATTTTCATGTCCTCAATTGCGGGGTCAAAACACCTCTATGTCTATCTAAATTTTGCATTAATCTTGAGTTCATAAGCACCGGTTTATGAAAATATTATTTAGGTGATGAAAAGCGAAAGGGAGGTGGAGATATCTGGATGCTAAAAGTGTCCAAACGACCGATCATGTACAATCGACCGTTTATAGACTGTAAGGCAAATGTCTGCCGTCGCTAATAATGCCTTGTAAGGCATTTCGGAAATTTCCGACATTACGGCCTGTATTACAGGCCATAGCCAATCATGGACCAGCAAACAGGCGCGCTGTCGCGCTCACTCGTGACTCATTTAAAAGCCTGGTGTCTTGCAAATACCTCTTTGTTCTTTTCGAGATGCACACTCGATCCTCTAAGCGGAGTGCACCTTCCCCACAACCGTCGGGAAGCAGCAACAAGAGATCGCGCAAAGCCTATGAGCAAGAAGACCATGTCGATGCTATTGTCGTTGAAGATCCTGACAACGAAGATCCTGAGGACCCCGAGCTCAAAGACATACTAGCCCAAATCGACGCGCAAGAAGCAAGCGAACTTCTCGCAAGGCAGCTCGAGTACGAAAACATACATCCTGTTGGTTCAGGCTCGAAAGACGCACCTATCGACATCGACGGCGATGAGGCCTTGGCCAGACGTTTGGCCGAAGAATGGGCTGCTGAGGAGAATGGTACTGAGAACATGATTGTGGACGTAGATGAGATGGACTGCTCTTCAGATATTGAAATACTCCCTGGTCCATCTTTCACTGCTTCGACGAAGGCGGTGTATACAACGAATAAGGTAGCTTCAACCTCGACGTCGCATCGTGTTGCCTCCCAGACTCCATTTTTACCGTCAAGCTCCTCGTATAAACTGCCATCCATTTTGCCCGATGAAGGTCTTGAACCGCAGAGGCAAACCTTCGTAAGGACTCGATCATGTACTAAATGCAAGAAGGACGTTGAGTCTCCCCGTGCTTTCGTGGGTCGAATCTTTCCTTTCAAACTATCTCGTTGACAGCTATCTTTTAGGTCGTGTTCTCGGATGTTTTGCTACCTCCGAGCTTAGGAGTTCTCCTGCACGCGTCGTGTTCTTCCTGTCGGACAAATCACTGCAGAGGGTGCTTCAAGCCCCTTGACTGTCCAGCAAGCTGCAAAGGCCCTTCCAAGAACTTGAAGTGCGAGACTCTCAACTGTTGCGCAGAGGTGCGGGCAATAGCTGTATTTGAGATTTTAGCGGCCTTCGACCGTCAGTTGATCGCTGAAAAAGCTGCTGCCGACTCTCGTGCGTCCACAATTGCAAAGGCGACGAAGTCTGCATCAGCTGCGTCTGTTGGACCAGGGGGCACGGGCTACGGCCGCGACGAACACTATCCTGCATCTAGGGCAAATAATCAAAAACGCGCCCAGGAGAGGGTGGCTGAACCGTCAAAGAAAGCACTGCAATGGGAGACCACTATTGTTCGCACTCTGAAGACCCTCGTTGAGCTCCTTCCAGCACCATACACTGACGATCCTCAAGTATACGATATGCTTCCTCACCCCTCTATTGGGCACCTCATATCCCTGTCGCAGCTGCCTGCACTTCTGGCGAGCCTTCTCCGAAACGACTCGGTCACGGACTGGATATCGCGGAAGGAAACCTACAATGCAATGTTATTACTCTTGCGGCGTATGGCGGATTCTGAGCTTACTGTACAGTGTCTAATCGGACAACGCTGGGAGACGGCCACCACCTGCGGACTTGAGAACTGGATGTGGCAAGAGGGCGAAATAACTTGGAGGAAGAGCATCGCCGGCGAGCTCGAAATTGCCCCGGCGCTCTACACGTACTTCAAGAAGTTGACGAAGCAGTCCCATGCGTTCCAAGTAGGGGCAATGCAAATGCTCGGAGGGGATGCCGAGGAGGACGTCGACGAGATGATGATACAAGGCACTTCCCTTTGCGGCGATATTATCGCTACGAGCGACGATTTGGAACGAGCCATTGGCGTCCTCGGGCAGCCGCTAACGCAAGAGGACCGCGACAATCGGGCCTCTCAAGCGGAAAGTTCTTCGAAGGAACTCCGGAGCAGGAAGAAGGGTAAAGGCCGCGACGTCTCAATCAATATCGACGAGCTCTACGTGGCAGAATGCGAACGTCTGGCGTTTAAACATGTATCGCTGGCGGACCCTAACGTCGCTCAGCTTCAGTACACGCATTACAATTATGCGCAAGAACTGAACAATACGCAGACATCCACTCGTCTGCCTAAAGACCGCCTCCACCTTCTGAAAGAGCTCGCGGTGACAGCTACAAGCCTGCCTCCTGGCGTTTGGGTTCGAGTGGACGAGGTTCGCAATGACGCAATGTACGTGGCCTTCATGATTCGAAAAATTCTTTCGCTTATCATTCTCAAAGCAAAATTATGATTGCAGGGCCTGAGGGCACACCATATGCAGGAGGCCTCTTTGAATTTGATTGCTTCATCCCTATCGAATACCCTAACAAGCCACCTCTCATGCATCTAAGGACGACTGGGAACGGCACAGTACGATTTAATCCCAATCTATACAACAACGGCAAAGTATGCCTATCACTCCTTGGCACCTGGCCGGGTCGGTAAGGACGTTCATCCATTGTGTTGATCTCGCTCTTGAATCATCATTAGCCCCGAGGAACAATGGTCACCCAAATCTACGCTCCTTCAAGTCCTTGTAAGCATACAGAGTATGATACTTATTGATGCACCATATTACAATGAGTACGTACGCTCATTCTGATGGACGTCATGAATGATAATACTAATCGTACTGGTCAATTAGGCCCGGACATGGGCAAGCTAACGTGAAAGCTCCTGTCAGCATTGCTTACAATCGAGACATCTGTGGGCATACGTCGCGTTGGGCTATCGTTGACTGGCTCAAGGACGAGCACAAGAATGGAATTTGGAGGGTATGTGGACACCTGCTTCATCCGCGCAAACGTAGCTCAATCGAAAACTTTGCAGGATGTGATTTATTCTCATTTTAGTACACGCAAAGATAAAATACGCCAGCAGTACGCCTCTCATTTTTCTGGAAACGCACGGCATGTGGCTCACTTTAGTGGCTCTAGAATCGTCGAATGGTCCAAGTCCGCCCCTCAAATTCGAGCTTACTCGGCCGCTTCAACGCAGGCATATTACATTCAGCCTTTTTCGTCAGGTCCGACGGCGAATTATGGACAAGGCCGTGGTCAAAAAGCATCTAAAGGGCTTGATCTTCTTGAAGAATACGACAAGGGTATCAAAATCATTGATGCTTGGAAGATGGGAGATGAAGCGGAGTAGTGTCTATGCGGTCACTCACTGCCCAGTCCTCTACCTACCAGAAGAACATCGCCTGCCAGCTCCCTTCACGCATCCAGCTGTACTCTAAGAAATTCGAGAATGCATACCATGCCATGCCGTACACCTCCCGTCTTCGCACAAACCACGCGACAGCAATGCGTGCCCTTTATCGTTTCGGGAGATTTGTCAGTTCCCTTGTGCAGAGATCTCGCAGATAAAAGTCAAACTGCATGTGGCCAACAGGGTGAAGAAGGTAGCCGCGATCTGACGCAAAGTTCTTGAGTTAAAATGGGGGCTGCAAGGGAGTCCGATGGTGGACCAAGGCCATCTCAATCAGTCCGCCGTAGTCGCTGGCTTCGAAAGGCGCCGGATCAAACGGGCGATAGGAGACGCAGGTGGTGCCCTCTCTGCGAAAGACCATGAAGCAGAACCGCCTTCTCTCCGACTTTTGTTGCGGTCAAGATGCATTCGGACTCGGGGTGTTATCCAGCGCACGGTCAGATCTGAGCGCCCCGAACCATGGGTTTAGAGTACAAGGTTAAGTTGGCGGTGCGCATGAGGCTGATGACGGCAGGGTAGGCGTGGATGCCCTCAGCCACAAGGACGGGAGTGATCTCTAACTGGCGCTTTGCTTATTCCTGCAGTCATTAGAAGGCCTTTCTTGACGTGTGTCCGGGCACCACGCCTTGCCTGGAAATGCCCCAATCTGGTACATGAAACCTTCCTTTTCTCGTCTGCTTACTTCGAATCGACCTTCGCAATACACCGCTGTGGGACGCGACAGACCATCATCGCATCGTATTAATGGCCCGACCGATGCAGACCTCTTTAAATAACATCCTGCTGCATCTCGACCCGCAGGAATTTCACGTCACGTCAGGCCCTCCCACCCGTACCGAGTGTTTCGCTCCCCGGAGAAATAGGTGTATGTCGATCCACCCATCTCCTTATGTCCGCGCTCTTTGGATCCATACTTATGTCGGCCCAGAGTCCAGCTTTTGTTTCTTCATCCCCCTCAACTGCTCCTCCATGGCATCCACTGCACCGTTCGCCACTGTTACGACCTCCAAGTCCACCTTAATGCATGCCTGTCTCGCCCAGCTGTCACCAGAACTCCAGACCATGGACAGCATCATCCATGCGACGCCCAAAGCATTCTCGTGCCGGAAGCCCACCCTCCCAATCGAAATCCTCCTCCTCATTAGGGAATTCGTCTTCCCAATCGTCACCACCCATCTCGTCCAACAATCGACAGCCGCGCTCGAGAGCTACGAACGCTCGCTGCGCAATCTCCTTTGCCCCGACTGCATCGCGTACAACCTCGACATCTACGGACCGGACATTTGGCAGTGGGAGCAATTTACTGGAGCGTGCGCTTGTATGGAGATTGAAGGGCCTGGGTCGCAGCGACAGAGTTATCGCACTTCCGGGTACAGGCAGCAGGGCCATCGCAGCCACAGGACGACGCACGTCAAAGGAGGGCCCAATCCCAAGGAGTTTGCGGATACTCACCACTGGCTAGAATCGCACCTCTCCCGCCAAGCGGCTTTGCGCGTCCAACAATCCCAGTCGCATTCCCGTGGACATCACGAGCCGCACGCGAGCAGTAGCGCCTCGGCGACAGCGCTCCAAGCGACTCCTCGCCCCGCGCCATCAATCGATATTTGGGATGTCGTGTCAGCCGTGCTTCGAGAGTTCGGCTGCGAAGCCATTCGCGAACGGGAAGAACGGCCGTCGCGCGCAGGCGGAGCTGTTCCCAGTGACAGTAGCAGTCGTGTCGGAAGAGGGCTCTTTCCGCTTCGGCGCGACCTGGTCCAAATCGTCCCGCTGGGTCACGTGGGCTCAGAGTGCGCTTCAGAAGCGGCCTGGCGCGCCGAGGCGGTGCTTCACTGGGCCACGCGAGATTTGGGCCTCGAGTCCACGGAGGTGTTTGGCGCTCATAAACGCGAGATGCCCACCTTTGCGCGTCGACTCCGCCGGTCAGCCGTCGCACATTCCCACCAGTCGCGGCCGTTCCAGGCGTTGCTTCATTTCGTTGGGTCGCTACTGGCAGCCTGTCTGTCCCTCCCGTTGACCATCACGACCGTCGCTCTCACCATCCTTTGCTTCTACTCCAGGCCGAGTTCTCTCAGAATTATTTAAACCATTTGTACTTCGATTTCATCATACTTGACATACACGCATTAGACTTAGATACTTCAATCATAGTACGGTCCCAATTCAGCTTTACCTTCTCATCATCATTCAAGTACAACTTGTACAGTTCTCCTTCCACGATGCGCCACATTGATACCCCACCATACATTCTCGCTCTCACCGTCTCCATCACTTCTCACTCTAGCACGATCAGTCGCCGTGTCAGACCAACAGTAATGCCACGGACGCTTCTCTTCCCTACAGAAAGTCTACTTTATTGACGCTGTAAAGGCTGATTCATGGCAATCATCATATATCCTTTACCGTAATGAGTACGAGTCTTCAAAACTCCGAAACGCCTTCTTCGCCTCTTCTGGTTATGGGAGACAGGTTACGACGAAGACCCACCGAGCGGGTGTTTCATCAGAATCTGACTTTGTCCTTGAACAGTTTGAAGCTCAATTGAAGCTTGGCTGGACCGGCGAGAGACTTACCGTGTCAACTGACCTCATATTAATATTATTATTGCCCTGGGTCTCGTAACTACTGTAATAGCCTCCTCTTCGACACAGAAATTGAAACCGGGCGGCGAACCTCCGGAGAAAAATGAAGGTCTTCACGTAGCTTGAAGTGGATTCGAATAGGGGCATAAGACGCGCTTTGAGTCGACGACGCACAACGAGCCCCTGTTGGGTATCGACGGGCGTCTAAAAGTAAACGAGCCTTATGTAAAAACTATAGCCGACGTCTTCCACTCCGACACGACCAAAAACAAAAGCAAGCGTATTATCGGCGCTGCACCGGCATTTGCACTCTACCTAATCTATAATCACCATCTCTTCTTGAAGGTGTTCTCACTGTAAATCAGAAGTGTTCATCAGCCTCGCTGCAAGAGCGCCGATCATCCAACAAAGCCCGATAGCTGTGGAAGTCAGCGTTCTAGTCTGGCGAAGGTCTGTCAGTCTTGGAGATAAGGAGGCCTCACCGAATACTAGGATTGGCGAACACGCGCCCGGCTTCTGGACCTCCCAGGCAACTAAGTGTCGTAAATATCGGTTTGACGCGCGGCCTGACACTCCTGCTCCAGACGCCAAATGCCAATACCACGAATAGGCGCCTCCGAGTCAGCCCGACATACAACATACAACGGTGTGAGTTATCCCGGGTTACGTAGTGCCACGGCGTTGCTGAATGCCTGCTCCTATTAAGCGGTGCGCGATGGATTCAGATACGTTTCAAAGTCACATTTATAAATTACGTCGTATTTATGTAAACAAGCACCACCGTACTGAGAAATTTCAAGTGATAACATGAATAATTGGAGAGGTACAGCGTGTAGCCTAGGGAGAGCAAGCCATAAATATTAAATGCGTAAACCCCTCTGAATCAGGGCCCGGGACTGCTGCTACTGCTTATATAAAAATAAAAATAAACTCGCAGCTATGTGAGCGCTTTTTGGACGTGACACTCCCCGCTGAACGTTGAACATCGACTGTGACCCCAGGTGCTGCTCGCTCTCGCGTCCTTCCAAGTTCTACCAAACATCTTCAAGAAACGAATACTACCACGGCTTCGACGGACGAGCAACGAGGAAAGTGAAACTCACAAGTGGAAGACCAGGAGACGACCGATGGAGGAGGATGCCACTAAATGTGTAGAATGAAATGGATAGACAAGATAGACTGGCGATGCAGAAATCCGCTTCGAAGACCTCACAGCGATTGCGAAGGGACGCGGGAGGGTGAAAACAAGAGAACTTGAAGGATAAACGTGACACTCGAAGATGGTGGGCGTTCGGGGGAAATATGCATTCATAGAGGGTCGGGGCTTATAATTTGTCGAAGAGCAATTTTTTGGGACAAGGTTATATGAGTGATGACCCCGCGACTTGTGAACGATGATTTTTTGGGACAAACCTTTTTGGTAGGCCAGTTCCAAAATTAGGAACAGCTGGACGCGCCCTGGGTATCGGTTTCGACAAGGAGAACAAGAGCCACGCCGTCCTGATAGTATACTCTACTCTAGTATAATTTTCTCTTGTTTGTATAAGAGTCAAACTACAAGATTCGTATTTCGGACCACGCCGATGTCCCGCTGCTTAGGGTTTCATTCACTGTCGCGCCTGTTTGGTTGGCTGGAAATCTGGATCCGTAGGAGATGTCCACAAGGGGTTTTGTGAATACAAATCCTCCAAGGAAAGGCTCTTCTAGCTAAATCCAGGTCCCGAAGCACACCTAGTATAGTAGTATCCGCCAGCAGCACGAAGATGAGGGCACGAGTGAAGAAGTAGCACCAGCATGTGGTAATACCATAGGAACAGCCCCTGATCAGCACCCCTCTAGGAACCACCATTAATGTGAACTCAGACCGTAGATCCTATCTCCCTTTTGCATGCGCGTTGCGCAAATCCAACGACGATCAGCCTCGCGACGACTAGAACGTGCGTATTCCTTCAACAGCCTTCAAATTTCAACCGACGAACACTTTACCGGTTCCTGATTGCAGATGATCACGAAGACTTGGAAAACGTGGTTTGTAAACGAGGCAAAACGAGGACCAGAAGACCATGATTTGCATAATACTGGATGACTTTCCTTAACGAATTTGAGGCTCTAAAGTAAATGACGGGGTGCCAGCGTCGGGGATTGAAAGAAAGAAGGGGAGTTTCCAGACGTTGTGGCCCGGAATTTCGGGCCTGGTGAAAAGGGCAATGAGGCATGAATAAAGCATGCCGAAGGCTGCCGTTGTCAGGAACATTCATAAAAGGGAAAGTTGAAGCCTGGAATGAGACTTTAGAGCTAGGAAGGGGGTGCTTACCCTCCTCCTACACTGCCAAATGTATGATATCTCGTAGTCACGTTTTCTAATTTCATTGGACGCATACGTCGACGCACATGGGTTAGATACGGAGTCAGCTATATAGCAGCTGAAAGGTTTGATGTTAGGTTAGCTGGTTGGCACATGTTCAGACATGACAACTATGTAGTAGGAAGAGCATGCCGAAGATCTTATCCCATCCACCTGTCAGATCAGGAAACAGCTCCATCGCAGCTGAAATATTTAATGTTAACTCAGCTGGCTGGCACATGTCAACATGTAATATCCATGAAGCAGCTGGACTATCCTGGGCATCTTGTTCCACCCATCTGCCAGATACCAAACCAGCTCCTTCATGGCTAAAATATTTGATGTTGGCTCAGCTAGTTAGCAGGCGTTTAGATGTTGCAGCCATGTAGTAGTAGGTCTATCCTGTGGGTCTCGTCTCATCCACTAGTCAGACAATTCACATATAGTGACCATGTAAGGGCTCGAATCACATAATCTATTTGGTACTTATGTCGCCGGCACATGCTTTATATGAAGAAATTTTGAATATCATGAGAGTTACCTTTGACGCGATCGCGTGTCCTCCTCATAGAAGGGTGTCTGCCGTGAAATAGGTTCACTCGAGTCAAATCAACGCCGCCACCGCTACAACCAGGTCATAGGTACCTCCTGTAATCACAGCGTGTAGCATAGTCCTTACAATGTAACTGGAAAAAAAACCCTTGTCATTATTGTGTATGCACCAAAAAAAAATACATGTCAGTGTCCAAGAAATCAAGATGAAAGCTACATAGCATGAATGTTCAACTCGACGTATGCCTTTGCCCGTTCCCTGTTGTTCTTAAGCATCGACCTCGTGTTCTTGATGCTACGAACCTTGC